AAAATGCGGCGGGGTTAAACATGTTTTGTGAGATATAAACCCTCCCCCTATACCTCTAGCCAATGTAGAATAAACAGCAATACTCATAGTAAAACTCAGTTTAAAAGAAGTCCAAGTCCGATGTCAGAATAGGTAACAGAAGAAACTAAGCAAAATGACAATGATACATAAATTAACAAAGGACTACTAGCAGTTACTGACATGCCAGCTCCAGACCTCAATTAAACTGATTGAAAGATTATGTCTTCATCATATAAATATTCTACAACTAATTTTAATGATTTCTGGATAAAAGATTTAAAGGAAAAAAAGCTAATGAAGCCATAAAAATTATGTTTGATTATTAAAGATAAAAAACACCCTGACCAAAAGAAAAATGAGTAAAAGACAATAATACTCAAAACAAAACACAGAAGAGTACTCAGATTGAACTCAAAAGAATCCCAAAAAAACCAGAGAAGAACTTATGCACTGAAGTTTCAAAGTGGTATATGAATTATTGTATTCAAGTCCTTGTATAGAATGAATTATTTAATATATGTGAAAAGGAAAACATTGAAAAAGTGTCCAAGAATATCTTATCAATTCTGTGTATAGGAAGTTCCTAAATCAAGCTGTAATTGTTCAGAAATTCATTATTTAATGTAATTACACATAAACCATTTCAACATGAACTTTACCATTCCATTTTACATTGTAAAACCCAGGAGAGTCAATTCATTATTGATAAAAGATTCAAAACACAATAAACAATCTTCAGGAGTTTCAGAGAATCAATTTTCAGAGGAAAATCTTAACTTTGAGGATTGTCTTAATAATACCCCATTTTCTGTAAAACAATATGAAAATACTTGTAGGTGGTTTCATTGAAATATAGACTTCTGTCATGATTAAAAGATATTGAATATTGCAAAAAAAAATCTTTTTAGTATGAAGTATTAATTTAGTTTGAATTTGCTTTGCTTCATAAAAAAAAAAAACCAACTCACCCAGTTGAGCATTTAAGGTGAATTTTACAATCAGAACAAATTCCATCATATTCTGTTTGCCACTTACTGTGTTACAATCCTGTGATATATAGATACAGATGATGGATGACAAAATATCCTATTCCTTCCAGTTCTTGACACTCCACTGTGTTTCACATAATAGTGTTGGTTTTTCTTGAGAAAAAAACATCAATACAGTTGCCTTTGAAAAATCTGGTAGAGGTTTTAGCAAATTTCTTTTATAACAATCATTAGGATTATTTGATACTAATGGTATGTAAAATTATGTTGTAATGTTTGCATGTTAGTAACTCATTCAACATGGGTATTTGAATATTGTATTTTTAACTCTCTGTTGCTTTCATTTTACTGATACTGTTAACTAAAGTATTGTAAATATAAATGGATTGAAGAAGAAAAAAGAGATAAAGCAGCAAATATACTACAATGCAATTCGAGATTTAATGGTTGATTTTCATGATGAAAAAAACGGGTCATTATTTTTACATTTATCTTCAAAAAGCACCACCATCCCTATTTTGTCTATTTCTGCTGTAAAAACTGGTTTATCTGCACAGTCATTCATATGTATGCATTACCTAATTTGTACCTATTAGAAATTTGACTTATAAGATCAATATTGTTGTCCCCTTGATAATAACTTTTTTCAAAAAGTACTGACAAATTAGGCTTAACTTTGACAAATTGTGGAATTTTTTAGGATGACTCTAGAAAGAGAGAAGCATTTATGGACATGTTGGCTAAAAGATATCCAAAGTATGCTGAAAAAATTAGTGGGACTTCAAGTGAAGATGGATACCCCATCCGACCACATGTATGTATTTATAATTGCGGTTTTTATCCAATGCAATCATAGGTTTGAACGTTGTTTTCAATTTAGACTTTTTTATAATTGCTATGATAGGCTTGTGTTAAACACCATGGTACCATTTCAATCCTCTGGACAAATATATATATATTCAGAACTTTTAATGAAAGATTCTGCACAGACAAAGAACATTTAATTGCCTGGATTGAAAGCTATATACATTTCATTGGGCTATCACATTAGAGAATCTGGGGCCTAGGTGCTCTGAGTGGTGTAAGTAGTCAAACTACTGTAACACTAGCCTGTCACCACTGAGGTGAGTTCGAATCCCCAAAGTGACTCCAATCTTATAATAATGACTACCCAGGATTGTCAGTTATCCTACCAAAGGTAGTGGTTCTCTCCAGGCACTCAGGCTTCCTCCGCCAATAAAAACTGACTGCCACAAAATAGCACAATAGTGCTGAAAGTGGCTTTAAAGACCAATCAATCAATCATTAGAGAATCTTGAATACCTTACAAAATACTTGTTCATAAAAGCCAGCTATTTTGTAGCAAAACCTTAATATATATATGAAGACATCTAACTAGATTTCTTATGTAGGATAGATTTATGAATATATGGTGGGATAATACCAAAAGCACTAAAACCAGTATAATAGACAACAAAACACAAATACAGGCCAAACAAATGTACCGTAATTGGCCTTGTATAGTTTGCACTGGTACATTGTTTGCACCCCCCTTCTCGCCATGAGAATTCAGGTAAAAAAACATTTTGTAACTGTTTTTGTAAACGTCTAATGAAACTCCGTTAATTTCAAATCCTGTGTGATCGTTTGCGCTATTTTCATGGAGAAATCCGTTTTCCATCATCAAATAGAAGTTGAAAATGCTTATAAATGATTCTAGAACACATCACAAGTGTTAAAATAAGTCAAAATCACAAAAAAAACAATTGAGAAACTTGTGTTTATTTAAACCGGAAGTTTGAATATCACACGTAAATGAAAATAAATACGGTGAGAGTGTACTGAAAATCCGTACTTAATAGATATCACTAGAATACGACTTTGAAAGTAAAACAGTTCCATCCTTAAGTAAAATAATGTCGAACATATTTATCACATTAATGAATGAAAGATCTGAAGGTAAAACAAAGCACATGCGTCAGTATGAAACACCAAAACAGAACAAATAACCGATTAAGTTTTGTAGTTTATACATTGTTATGCATAAGCTGGTTCCGGCTGACTTATACACTTTTTTCGTTCCATTAAATTCAAATGGATTCCAGTTTATTTTATGCAATGCAGTGAAAAGAAACAAGAAATTTGTAATGAAGCATTAAATTTTGAAATTTATCAGTTTATATTTGACATGTTTGATATTGAATAAAAATTGAATTAATATGGATTTGGTAAATTATAAGTTTTAAAAATGATAAGAGCACCCTCTACAATTTCAATAACAATATTATCTTATTTCTTGCTTATCATACTCTATAATCCACACCCCTGTCTGGCATGTTCAATTTTGGAGAATAAAACCGCGGACTATACAAGCCTTACTTCGGTAAACAATACTATATTTGAAGTATATTGCTGGCAGTTACTCAAAGCAAGCTCAAAGTACTCAACCTAGTACTGACAGGAAATCAAACTGTCCTTCTCTCTTATATTTGTGATTTCACTTCATACAAAATGTAGTAAAATACTATACAGCAGTGTGGTAATCAGTGCAGCAGGACACAATATTGTACAATGTCTTGAGTAAATTTGTATAAAATTTCAAATCCATTAAAAAAAGAAATTTGAGATTTGTTTTTAACTAAGAATTAAGAATTAATAACAAGTAAAAAAGTACAAGTTACAATGATAATACAATGAAAGATAATTATAACATTTATGTATAAGTATATCAAGCCTGAAGAAATATTTGAGGGACATTTCCTAATCTTGCTTTCTTTATGAATAACATTCTACTGGGTGTAGAATACCCTTTTTTTACCTCACCTGACATAAAATGGGAGCTTTCAACATCACTTGGTGTCCATTGTTGTTCTCTGCAATCTGTCATTTCTTCACTTTTCACATTTTCATCTTTTTTGTCTGAAATCTTGTCGCCAATTTCAACCAAACATGCTAAGAATTATGTATGACAAGTCTTTCACAACATCTTCTGATTCTGATTGGTCAATTAACAAAAACTTAACAATGAAATGTTTTGAAACTTTGTGTATTGACAATTGGAAGACTCTTGGGAAACCACCCTTATTTGATAATGCACAAAAAGGTAAACAGGAATCACAAAAATACTAGGCAGCATTTCAGACCACACCAACCACCAACACCTGACTCTTCTTAAAAAAATGACAGATATACAAACGTATACAAAAAATACATAAAACACTCCGCCCAGATAGCCAGTGACTTGATACAGAAATTCAAAATTATGTGGATTTAAGCAACCATAGAGTAGGTCACAGTATGGCCTTCAACAATGAGCAAAACCCATACTAACAGCAAACACTTACAGCATCCCTGCCAATTACCTGTGATTGATAAATTAACTCTTAGGCAAAAATCAGTAAACATTGTCTACTTCCCAAACGTTTCTTATATAATTATATGAATTATATGAATTTTATGAAACAATTCTTTTAACTGTGTGAATTTGATTTCAATCCATTTGTGGTTGCTTGATTACCATTATTTTGTATTTATAAGGTTGTTATATTTCATTGTGTTGCATTGGGGCCTCGGGAATAACTGTGTTACCCTCTTAAAATCAAGAACTATTATTACCATTATCATCATTCTTTTTTATTGACAAATGGTTAAGCAGAGAATCTGAAGGACTAGACATGCTCATCGGGGACCCATAATAAGAAGCCTTTGATACAGGAAGACTGACCTATGAAGCCTTTGATACAATGGACTGACCTATCTCTTGTCACAGATGTATTTAATTATCTTTGACATAATTCAGACTGTCATGGACCCCATGTAGACATGGCCTTTTACTATTTGTAATCTGTTTAAATCCCTACACTTGATTTCCAAGTCAGGTGTGCATGAACACCTTACAAGTCAATTAACATACCTGTATATCTACATATATTTCTAAAACACCTGTCAGTGATTATATCACCTTGTGTATTTAATTGTCCCTTCTGGCAGGTTTGATTGTGACAATAGAAACATTTTTGCTACCGGGAAATACTGATAATATTTACTAGACGTAACTGAATTTAAGATTTGATTGATCAATTTACAAGAAAAAATATTGATTTTGATCAATATAACCTGTTTTTATTTACTATGCCTCTTTCGGCATATTCATTTCTTTAATTCAAAAGATAAATTCTATTGTGAAATCAGGATATGAAATGATATTTGAAAAGGTTTAAAAGCAGTGTTTCAAACATTTAAATGGATTTACATGACTGAATCATAGGCTGTTGTTAGGTTTTTGTTTGTGATGAACTTTAAAAAACTGTCATATGTACAGGGGTACTTTTTAGGAATAGTGAGACCTTGTACCTCTGTGTTGAATTTGCATTTTTTCTTGGATTGATCATCATTCTGTAATCTGCATCTTTTTTTAATAAACAATGCAGAGGGGCCATGTGTTTTTACCACTTCAAAAAAGGATAATCTCATATGATCTGATATGCATCTGCATTCTGTTTTATAGCTTTGGAATTATATAAACCCATTAGGAACTAATTATAATTATTGGGAGACAACATACAAAGGAAATATAACAGGAAATTATGAATGGCAAATGGTTATTGCTGAATATAAATATCTAAGCTTTCATTGTGTTTGTTCAGTGCAACAGTTGGTTGATTTTCATATAAAATGTCGAAAATAATTAAATTCGGAAATAGCTATCTTGACCACTGTTATTAGGATGGATTTGGTGAACTGGAAAGTTTGTTTTAATTTATAACTTACTGAAATTTTGACAAAGAAAGACTTTATTGAATTTATGCATTTCTGCTTGAATGGCTTCTAAAAATTTGACAACTTTCTTACAATTTTTGTTCAAATATTTCTACAGAAGACAATGTAAACAGATTTTGTTATCAGCAGAAGACAAATTGATTAAGTTAATCATAGTCACCAGGATGTTTGATAAATTGAAAGGTGCAGTTTGTTTAATTTGTTAGATTTAAAGTGCAGTTTTAAAGACTTGAGTTTTAAACTAAAATACATGCTTTTTGGATTAAGATTTTAAATGAAACAGAACAGTTTTCCACCTAATTGTACATGGATTAAATTATAAGAGTTAAAAAAAAGAAGAATGAATCCAACAGAACAAGTGATTTGGAGACACCATAATAACAAGGTATATAACTTTGATGGATTGTAACTTTCTACATTCAATACTGGAATAATGGTCCATTTAGAAATGAAAGACTCTTATCTACAAATTTAATGATTTTCTTATTTTCATGATAAGATCAGTTTCTCAGTTACTTCAAGTAATAGATTACAAATGTATCTCTATTTAATTATAGAATGATTATAAGATGTACATTGTCCTTATGAGAAAGTTGATCTGATTTTGACCTCATTTTCATGGTTCATTGATCAATGATAATTAAAGGGTAACTGGGGTATAGTAATATTGTCACTTTGATCTTCTTCTGCTCAGTAGTAAAAAACTTGCCAAAGTAGGGAGTCCATTTGGCTGTCTGGATTTATAAGTTGGCAGCCATGTCTGGCCAGAATGGGGACATTTAATCTGATACCTTGTGAAGAGAGAATGCCACAATCTCTGCACTTCAAAGAATCCTTGCAACAACACTTTGAGGAGTCCATTGATGGCCTATTACAAGGCAAAATTTCTGCCCCTAACCATGCCTGTCGTTCCACCCTGCTGAACCTATCTATTGTATTAATTGTTGATAGTTTCTTGTAAGAGTATGCAGGAAATTGTATATGTATTGTTCAACAAAATATGATGTTCTAATGATTGTAAGGTGTGCATGTCAGTCTGAAAGGATTCATTTGACCTTGACTTCCTTTTCATGGATAAGTGATAATGTAAAATTTTTTAAATTCCTGTGCTAACCCTTTTGTTGAGCCTGTAACATTTATGTTGCAAAAGCAAGACATAGCTATCCTAGATTGCAGTGGTGTCTACATTTAGGTTCAGTCTGTCCTTTTAGATTTTTTTAGGTATCAATAACTATGTCAAACCTTTATGGAATTTTATGAAATTTGGACAGAAGCTTTTCTATGACCAAAAAGCCTGTATTCAGAGCAAACAATTTGAAATAATTATTTTCCTTTTTCCATATTTTTCTGATTCATCTATCACTTTTTAAACCTTTATGGAATTTTATGTGAGTTGGACAGAAGCTTTTTTATGATGAAAAGACATTACCCAAAGCAAAATAAAGAAAATATTTTCTTTATTTATTCTGTATTTTACTGATTAAAGGACTTAGTTTTTTACAGTTATCAAGTATACAGTCTGGGCTTTAGTTTGTTACACATCAATTACTTCGTCAAACCTTCATAGAATTAAATGAAACTTTGGCAGAAGCTTTTTTTATGATCAGACATAGTGTCTAAAGCAAAATTTTGAAAAGATTTTTTTTCTTTCGTTTTTCAGTATAATACTGAATTATGGACTCACTTTTTACAGTCAGTGTTACACTTTTACACTGACAGCAGCAATTGCAGGCCAGACACAGGGATCCATATGGAACACTTTACTGATTTTTAGATAAAATTAATTCTTAATTAGTAGAGCAGGTATTTAATTGTTCACTCTTGTTCTTAAATAAGAGGCCGAAAGAAACCATGTCAGATTTCCCATGAATAGATACAAAATCATCATAATATTTCTTAGACATGTTAGAGGGCTTTTTAGGAAGGGAATTCTCTCATACCAAAACCAGTAACTTCATCAAGGTTGTAGTTTTAAACTTTCCAAAGTTATATTTAAAAAAATGTGTTTGGGAAAAATGAAAACATGTTTTTTTTACCGTTTATAGACTTGTTACATAACAATACCTGTAGATAACGAAGTACACATTTAATATATGGATATGAGTCATATCTGTGGAAATCAATTAAATTCAAGGTACATGTTTGTCTGATATTAAGTGTAAAATAAATTTAAAACTTCTTTACACAATTTGTAATGGTTTTGTGAATACATGCATGCTAAAGTTGTAAAACAAAATGATTAATAGTGTTTATAATTAAAATGTTGGACATATACATGTACTTAAATTAAATTGCATAATATATATTAAGGAGGGTAATGATTAAGGGAAATCTGACCAGCGCAAATTTGAAAGGTCTTAATGTTAAAGTTGTAAGATGATTTTCTATTGATCAATAAGCCTCAAATATTGAAACACATTATGTTTTTGTATAAAGGCAATAAAGGCAATGCATTCAAAATGTTTGCCCAATTTATTTCTCAATGATTATTCCTCTGTCTGTTAGTCCTTCTATCTCACTTTTATATCTTTGTGATCTTTCACAGAATCTTACTTGCATCATGATGTACTTTTGCACCTCCTGTTTAATTTTACACCTGAATGATTTTTGAAACTTTTGAATGGCACTGTCTCCCTATCAGGATTGAAACCTTTGCAGTGTAAAGTGTTTTCTGTGAGGATGTAAACCATCAAATGTTGTAGACTATTGGAATTATACATATGGTATTTCTTCTTTCTACCTAAATTGAAATGGTCCCCTGAGAGAAGATAAATTACTGTGTTACTAATTCAGTTTGTAGAAATATTCAATAATATTAGGAAACTTTATGGGTTAATAAGATCTGTAAGGTTATTGATTTAATGTACACTACTCTATTAGAATTAATCTAATGCACTCAGTATTTTATTATAGAAATGAATAAAATGGACTAAATGGTAATGGCCTTATTTTCCCCCATACATGGAGTAAGAAAATTTTTTTTAAAATGCCATATTGAAGTAGTATATTGAAAATACTACTAGCTTCTGTTCTTATATTTTTATATGAAATCACAAGGAAGGGTTTAACAGTTCTGATGAAAATGATTAGTGATAAGATGCTATCCAGGATTTTGGAAAAGGGGTGCCCAGGGCCTCCGAACTAAGCAAATTTAGGAATGGGACATGTAAAAAGTCTATGCATTGACCATATATGTAGCTCCAGAAGGTGGGTGCCTGGGCCACTTCCTCCCAAATCTGCCTCTGGTGATGAGAAAAACACGCATTTTTATATCATAAGCATACCTGCTATAAAGGTTCATATCAGGTTTTCTGACCAATAGACATTTAACTGCTTTGCTTGATGTTAAATTTTTCAGATATTTTCTTGCCATTAACTATGTTGCCAATTGTTGTATATCACTCATAGGGGTTTTACTTTAAAGTTTCTCTGCAGGTCAAACATGGCATATTCTTCTTGCCTTATAAACCTACATTAATACTTAATGAACACAAATCCTAAGTAATGGACAATTGGGTAATTTTAAGTAATGGTCACTGGGTGTAGTAAATGCTAGAACTAGGATTAGATGGAATATTGGTACTGAAGGAAGTCAAGTGATGGGCTCTTCGAAAAACTCAAAAAAACGGTTATGGGCCCTGATGGAAGTCAGAGTGAGGGATACTAAAAATCTAATTTAATTTATTTAATGATAAAGCATAATCCAATTGCTTTGAATGACATCATGGTGTGGGAGGTGTAAAGCTCTATTAGGTTTTTGGCACTTATATATGTCTGAACCTGAGGTAAAACTACATGTCTGAAATGTCATAGATCTATACATCCATTAATCTATCATGGATGGTGTAAACTCTTTGGTCACATGTTATGCAAATTTAAAAAAACACCATATAGATCGTTCTATTGTCTGGCCTAGCAAGACATAGGGATTTTCCAATGACGGCGTCAACAATTGTTGAGTTTTCTGCTTAAGTTAGATTGATAGGAACTACTTGTGATAGATCAATGATATTTTGTATGAAGTTGCATTACTATCAGTATATATCAGTTTGAAGACAATTTTGAGACCCTGCCCACTAGGCCATGGTCCAGTGACTTTGAATTAATTAGCCATTTTCAATGTTAAGTTTTCTGCCTAAGTTAGATTGATAGGAACTACTTGTGATAGATCAATGATATTTTGTATGAAGTTGCATTACTATCAGTACATATCAGTTTGACGACTATTTTGAGGCCCTGCCCCCTAGGCCATGGTTCAGTGACTTTCAATTAATTAGCAATTTTCAATGTTAAGTTTGATGATTTAAGTTAGTTTGATAGGAACTACTTACAATAGACAATATTTTCTATAAAGTTACATTGCTGTTTGTCAACCATTTCGAGGCCCCACCCACTAGTAGGTCCAGCGACTTTGAATTAATTAGTAATGTTGCTGTCCATCAGATTGTCTTTTTCTGAATTTTATGCCGACAGGCGAGACATAACTCTGTGTCAACAGTTTATTTTTATTATAATTTCTTTGATTAATTATTCAAAAATATCAAAACTTTATGCTTAGCTTGAAAACAATACCGGTAATTTGAAATTAAAAAAGATTTCAATGCCAAATGAGGTGTCTTTGAGATTTTGCATATAAACATGTGACAAAAGAGTTTACAAAATTCATGACAGATTGATGGACTATAGATTTGACATTTGAGACATGCAGTTTTGCCTCAGGTTCAGACATAAAGCTGAGCATTACACCTCCCACACCATAATATCATTCAATGCAATTGGATTATGCTTTATCATTAAATAAGGTCAAATTTTTGTCTCGCCTTGACGGAGTCAAAAAGCGAGATATAGGTATGCTGTTTCTGGCCTCGGCGACGGCAGCGGCGTCAACAATGTATTAGTTTGTGATTAGGTCTAGTTCATGGTGAACCACTAGTGGTAGGTCAATGATATTTGGTATGCAGTTGTATTAGCATTGGCACATCTCATTACCATGGAGATTATTTGGCCCCGCCCCCTCAGTCAAGGTCTATTGACTTTGAAACTTTGCTTAGTTTACATGTATTAGTTTGTGATTAGGTCAGTTTATGAGGAACCACTAGTGGTAGGTCAATGATGTTTGGTATGCAGTTGTATTAGCATTGGCACATCTCATTACCATGGAGATTATTTGGCCCTGCCCTCTCAGTCAGGGTCTATTGACTTTGGAACTTTGCTTAGTTTACATGTATTAGTTTGTGATTAGGTCAGTTTATGGGGAACCACTAGTGGTAGGTCAGTGATATTTGGTATGCAGTTGTATAAGCATTAGCATATCTCATTTCTATGGAGATTATTTGACCCCGCCCCCTCAGTCATGGTCTATTGACTTTGAAACTTTTGCTTAGTTTTCATGTATTAGTTTGTGATTAGGGCAGTTTAAGGGGAACTGTTAGTGGTAGGTCAATGATAATTGGTATGCAGTTGTATAAGCATTAGCACATCTCATTTCAATGGAGAATATTTGGTCCTTACCCCTCAGTCATGGTCTATTGACTTTGAAACTTTTGCTTAGTTTTCATGTATTAGTTTGTGATTAGGTCAGTTTAAGGGGAACTGTTATTGGTAGGTCAATGATAATTGGTATGCAGTTGTATAAGCATTAGCACATCTCATTTCAATGGAGAATATTTGGTCCTTACCCCTCAGTCATGGTCTATTGACTTTGAAACTTTTGCTTAGTTTTCATGTATTTGTTTGTGATTAGGGCAGTTTAAGGGGAACTGTTAGTGGTAGGTCAATGATAATTGGTATGCAGTTGTATAAGCATTAGCACATCTCATTTCAATGGAGAATATTTGGTCCTTACCCCTCAGTCATGGTCTATTGACTTTGAAACTTTTGCTTAGTTTTCATGTATTAGTTTGTGATTAGGGCAGTTTAAGGGGAACTGTTAGTGGTAGGTCAATGATAATTGGTATGCAGTTGTATAAGCATTAGCACATCTCATTTCAATGGAGAATATTTGTTCCTTACCCCTCAGTCATGGTCTATTGACTTTGAAACTTTTGCTTAGTTTACATGTATTAGTTTGTGATTAGATCAGTTTAAGATGAACCACTTATGTTAAGTCAATGATATTCCCATTTGCAAGTTTCATTTCCATGGAGATTATATAACCCCACCCCTTAATTATGGTTCATTGACTTTGAAACTTTTACATAGTTTACAAGTTAATGTTTGTGTTTAGGTTTGTTTAAAGGGAACGACTTATGAGAAGTCAATAGTATTTGGTTTGCAGTTGTATTAGCTTTGGCACATCTCATTTCCATGGAGATTGTTTAGCCCTGTACCTTCAGTCATGGTTCATTGACTTTGAATATTTGCATAACTTACATGTTAAAGTATTGCTATTTTAATTTCAACATTTGCATTATCAAAATAACAAATAGGCGAGACATATCTCTGTGTTAACAGTTTATTGAAAGATACACCCCTTCTAAATTTTTGAAAGCTATCATTTTGCATTAACCATAATATCATGGTGTAAATAAGTTATACCACATGGAATTAACACTTTCAGAGGTTTATCTACTGGTAATTCTATTGATAATATTCCTGTCCACAGATTCACTTGTCCTTCGACTCAATTTGATCAGGATAAAAAAAGTTGTTTTTGTTTTGATTGAAATTGTTTTTGGATTGATTGAAAGGGTAATAAATCATGAATTAAAACATGTGTAATATATCACAATGTATGTACACTGATACATTTTATTGCAATCAGATAATTTTCATTACAAATTCCTCCATAACTAATGTAGAAAATGCAAATTCCTTTTTTTTTATAATTGAAAGTTCTAATTCAGTTGTTTGCACAAAAGCATAGAAGTAAGTAAATTGATTTATTTTTTTTGTTTTTCAGTTTCACTGTTCATGTATTCAATTTTTGGGGACTTAAAAATTATATATACAGATAGCAATCATGACGTGGATATTTGTGAAGGATTATCTTACTAGTAGTGTGTCTGTGATATAAATGTTTCACAATCTTAATGAAGTTTAAACTGGATGTAAACATTGTAATGGTACACTGTAACTCTGTACAAGAATTTAGATTTTAAATGCTGATTGATGTTGGTGTCTTTGTACAGTGTGACCACCTTGGTGGTCTCATGGTAGCATGCTGGCCTGGAGTATGAGATGTTGTTGGTTTGAATCCAAGCCTGGCCAATAAAGACTTGAAAATGGGTATTTGCTGCTTCTCTGTTGAGCACTCAGCATTTAGGAGGAAGACCAAACGCTGGTTGGCTCTGAGTTAGAATAATGTGTCCGAGAAAGGTGACTGAGTGAGGTCTTCCTGGGGACTGTTACCTTGTGAACTAGCACGTTAAAAATCTGAAAAGAATATAATTTATAACCAGGCAAACTAGTAGTTATATGATCACAAAATTTTTGAAGCCGTATGATGGTATGACGTTGTTGTTGTCATTGTAGTCATCCGAATACATTTGGTTTTAAGACAATAACTTGAGTATAATTGTATGGATCTTTATGAAATTGTACCACAAGGTTTCCATACCTAAAAGGAAGGTTGGGGTTACTTTTGAGGGTTATTGTCCTAACTGTTTTTGGAATTAGGGACCAAAAGGGGCCAAAACTAGCATTGTTCTTGTTTCAGGACAATAACTTGTGTATAAGTGTATGGAAGTTCCATATCTCAAAGAAAGGTTGGGATTGATTTTAGGGGCTATGGCCCTAACCTTTTGGCAAAAAAGGGGCCAAAAACAATACTTTCTATAGTAATACTTTGTATAAATTGCATATTTCTTGACTGCAATTTCATTGGTGTTTAATTAAAAGTCTTGAATTCTTGGGGTTTATTTCGTATGCTGAATCTTACCCTGGTTTTTAGATTTTGGAATTTGGGCCCCAATTTTAAAATGGCCCACATTCAGGTCCAAAGGATCAAAAATTAAACTTTGATATAAAGAAAAATTGATATGCTGAATCTAACTGTATTTAGAATTTTGATTTTGAACCCTGTTTTTAAATTGGTCCACAGTAAGGTCCAAAGGGTACAAAAATAAACTTAGTTTTATTTTATGAAATAATTGAATTTATAGGGTTCTTTGATATGCTGAATCTAAACATGTATGTATTTAGATTTTTGTTTTTTAGGACCATTAGTAAATATGAAACTTGATGAGCAACACTGTCTCCTTGGTGCCTCTAGTTGATCCTAATAGAGTTGCCGGGTTAACCCCATTAAATGTATTCATATATGTAAAAAAAAATAAAAACAACAGCTGTCCTAATTTCCTTGAGCAATCCAAAGAAAAAAAAAGAAGTGATTATTTTGAGATTGCATTTATTGATAGAATACTGCTATATTTACAGGCTCGTAGACCAAGAGATCCCCACAGAAGGGCTACGGTGGTGACCTATAACCCAGCCAATGTGAGAGATTATGAAGATTTCGAGACTATGTCCAATGTGGAAGGACCTGTCAGTTTTCAGAGAGGGAGTTTCATGAGGAATAGTTTACCTATTGTCCGATCTCCACCTAACACTTATGATAGAGCTATGGGTAAGTGAAGATCACCTATTAATCAAGGAGATGATATACTCACTTGATTTGTTTTTCTTAGCTCACCTTGGCCAAAGGGCTTTTCTTCTCACTTGGTGTTCATCTCATTGGTTTGAATAGAGACAATCTGACTGAATGTTGAGATCTGCCTACTGTCTGTTTACGTCAAAATTGTCAGATGTTTTCTTTAAAGAGTTATTGCCCTTAAATGTCAAATTTTACCATTTTTTTTTCATTTTTGCCTTTTATTTTGAAATCTGTAATAGATAGAGAGAAATTTTAATCATGAAAAATGATCAGCAAGACAAGATCTACGAAGCGGTCAATGGCTGAAATCGTCAGAGGACTCATTATTGGAGTAATTGCTCTTTAAAGATGATTCTTACCAATTTTTTAAATTTTTTCTTTTATCTTGAAGAGAATAATAGATACAAATGTAGGTAGAAACTTTAAAAAGCTAAAATGATTAGCAGGACAAGGTCTACAAAAACGTCTCCTTGTCTAAAATTGTCAGTTAACTCTTTATAGAGTTATTGCCTTTTCATGATGATTTTTACCAAAAAAGTAGCCATTGTTGAAGATGCAGGTGAGCGAAACTCTAGTTACAACTATTGCTTTATCCACAAAAATGAAAATATATCAAACTCATAAAGGGCCAATGACCCAATTGATAATTTCATCATATTCTGCATGTTTATGGTTTTATTTTATAGTTAAGAAAAAAAGTTTTTTCATTACTTTAATTGAAAATTATAATTACAATGAAAATTATAACATGGAGTATTTCAAAGCATCAGTCTTTGATTTGATGATTGGAAATAAGTGTTTTTCAGCTTTTAAACATGTTATCAGTAACTTAATTGAAATTCATCAAAGTTGTGATTGATGAAGGCAAACTATACATTTTATTTGCGAAGTTTTAAAATTTAAATCAAATGACACAAAATTGTAATACGATAGTTTTAATTAAGTAAGTTCACATTAATGCAACAGATTACTTTTGTACTAAAACTTCATTTGCAGTCACTTTTGTTCACTTAAAACAGTAGATCATGTCTTTTTCTATTGAGAGTTGCAGTTACTGTTATACTGTTGTTTCAAAAGTTTTAAAAAGATGGTATTGTCATAAAAATGAATAACCAAACTATATATCTCATGTATGTTATAGGTATGGTTTTCTTGGTGTATCAAGATGAAACAAAGAAATCTGATCTTCCTAATGAAATCACACACTTGGATACAGTCAGAGCTTTGTTTGTAAGATCCTTCCAAGAGAAACTCAATATGGAGTATTTGTCATCTCCAAAGAGAAAAATCTATATCCTAGACCCAAGGACCAGTATTTACTATCAGCTGGAAGATTTGAGGTAGGCCAATTGCAAGTTTGAATTTCCAGTGAAATGGAACTTGATTTTAGTACATGGTTCTCCAAAGTGTGAACCATATCAACTTAATCAGTTATAAAACTGAAAAAATCTAGTGAATATGTGCACAAAAACAACATTAAAATATATTTCCATATTGCATATGATACATTCTTGTGATGATTTGGGACCAGAGACAATAAGTTCCTGTTTCCTTGATAGTGCCTTTTTTTTTTTATCAGACCTGCTACATGATTGTATGAGGATTTCCAATCATCAAAACCATAAATGCGTTTGCTAATAAAAAAAAATCCCATTTTAATTACGTGGTTTGTGGTATGTGAGCTAGCACAATTTACTTTACTCACGTTTATACTGAATAACTTGGAAACCCATGCAGTGACCAAAAGTAAATGAAACTTGTTTAAAAGAACAATAGACATGCAATTAAGGGCATACAATACAGAAATGATCTCTCATTGATTTTTCCTTAAAATTTTGTCACAAAGTCAATTTTGATATGCACTATAGAAATATGCAAGTTTTGTTACAAAAAGTTAGCCTGTAAATGGATGTGATTTCAGAGATATTAAGGATAGAACAGTGTTGAAGTTACTGGAGAGTGATAGTGATAATCCCCAGAAAGTAAGGGAACTACCTCCAGAGAAACGAGGGAAAAGATCTGACCAGGGGATATATGAAACACCAGCAACAGCAATAACAGATCAAGTAAGCTTGAGCTTTATGTAAATAATCAAATTACATGTGTCAAATTCAGATCCTGTGTCAGCTTCACTTACAAGTTTCTGACAAAGTTTCTTTCTATTTTTGGTTTAGTTACTTTTCTTGATCCTCTGGTTTTGTCGCAGTGATACACCCCTTCAAACATTTTAATACCGAAATTTCATTGCTGATGTAACAATTTCCAGAACAGAAGATATACTGGAGCGTTTTCAAATAACAAATTAAGACACAGAGAGTTGTCGGATCCATGTTAGCAAAGCAAGAACATAGAATCTGTATTTTAATTAGATTGAATTTTTAAAAAAGAACAATTAAAAGATAAGCATTCTAACTGACCTAAATTTCTATGCTTGTCATGTATTGTTTTGGGGAAATTAATAAATTTGTTCTCTGTGAAATTAATACATATTGATTAATTTGAAAATGTGCAGTATATTTCAACTTTTTTAAGTTTAGCCAAAATATCAAATAATTCCTAAATACAGTAGCTGAGTAATATGTAAAGAAAATTATTGACAGACAAATGAATGGTCTGATGGCCAGACAAGGTTATTGCAGTATACTTCCCATGGTTTGATGGACAGACAAGGTCATTGCAGTAGACTTCCCACTTTGTATTTGGGGGTATAAACACATTTTTTTATAAGGAATGTTTTAGGAAAACTGTCTTGTAACTTTAATTCAACACATAACTGTACTTTCACATATTTTCATGTTATAATGAGAAAAAGTTATCAATAAGTTATAATTGAATTTACTTGGTAAAGTTTTTTAGTCCGTATTAAAATGAATAAGATACTGAACAATGAATCAGAGATTGGTAGATATTTTCAGAGCTTTCAGTATTATCTTATTCAGACAAGTATCAATGGAGACATCAGATATCGGCCATAGATGTGATATTTCCTCATCCTGCACTGTCACTGTTGCTATGTTGCTTTACCATTGCTTTGATATTGTATCAGACTTTATTTAATTGAAAGAAAAATGAAATGATACAAATTTTACCTGTTGAATTAAGTGTAAAGGATACATTTCTTACAGATTCCATTGGAAAACAAAATAGAAATAAACAATCCAATGAAAAATAATGTCAGAGTATTGAAAAATGTCTTCTGAAAAATTCATGCAACTTTGTAACAAAGTGTTGGCGACCAATTTATTGTTTACTGTCCAAATGTAATTTAATTGTAAATAAACAGTCATATGTAATTACCAGTTTTTGGAAAAATGCTGATATCAATTTAATATATATGTATTCCTTTATTTTTAGGTAAGAAAAGCCCAGACCTTGCCTGCTTCCATGTCACATTCCTACCCTGTTTACAGGGATCCTATTTATGCCAGTGATTATGATCTCTATAGATCTCCTACTCCAGATTTGACCAGAAGTGCCCCATCACATCATCAACCAGTCAACTATGCACACAATGCATTGTATGATTCACCAGACCGTATCCGTGGCGACCGAAGCACTCCTGATAGACACAACTTAGGACCAATCCCAGAAAATATACAGATGCAGAATGGTTATGTACCGGTACCACAATCTTACCAAGACCATGATGGACGAGGCAGACCAACATATCGTCAGCAGGGTCCACAAAGAGGTCCAGAACAGCATTATAGGTCAGTGTCTCCACCAGTACAAAGAAGCCAGCTACCTCCTGGTGATCCATTGAGGAGAACCTTGTCACCTACACCAGCAACTGGTATGCAGATCTATGACTACCTCCATGGACCAGGCGGAGCAGGTGCCCCTGGTGCTCCACCCCAGACTTACATTGCCAAAGGTGTCAGGGCGAATACGATGGTCTCCCCTTTAAGAGCTTCAGGTCCACCTCCTGATACAAGTAAGTTCCCTTTTATTCATAGATGTTTATACTGCAGACATATAAAAATCAAGTATTGAAAAATGTTTTTTTATTATAACATATAATGTTTTGTCACCATACAAAAGTTAAAGTCAATATTGGGTTGTGGTTTTAATTTAGAAATATTCTAGTTGACAAAGAATTTAAAATAATACTTATTATTATATAAATGAAACTTTTGTTACAACACACATGTGAACCTTTCATCTGGGAGGTATAAATCTCCAGATATTTAGTATGTATTCAATTAAACATTTTCATTTAGATTTTTAAAAAATCTTCCAGTTGAAAATGGTCTGATCACTGGGTTTGTTCCTTAATTTCTGTCAAAAATAAATGAAACTAGAAAAATTTCTTGCTCAGAATTCTATCATATATTATTGGCATCTGGAGAAGGGACAACTTTTACTCACATGAAATTGCAGGTATTTAAATTAGATTATGTCTATTTTCCTGACAATATTCAGATGATCAGCTGATATTATAAGTAATTCATAATTTTAAAGGAATGAGCTGAGAGGTTTTGGTCAAGTGCAATTGGACTTTGTTCTCTTTGATGTATACTCAACCTGTGATTGTTTCCTTACTTTGTTGCTTTAGTTTTGAATAGCCTGACAGGTGTGAGAGTTTAACCCTGTTTTTAGAAGAGTTACTCCTCTGTACTCCATAAGAACTGAGCTATTGATGTTTTTTTGCATCCTTTGGCAAATACTGTATGCATATATAATAATGAATTCAATTGGAAGGTTTGGAAAGGAGGTGGACAGGGATGAGAGGTATTTGGAAGGGTAAGCAATTATTTCTCAACTTGTTCCATCTGTTAACAAAACTGAACAACAGTGAATGAAAATCTAGTAATAAGTTGAATTCTGTGATGTTATAAATGGGAAAAAAAGAACACACTTCCAATACACAAATCAGTTTGTAGATTGATCTTCATAAATGTCGCGTTAAAATTGGTGAAATGTTTTATTTCAGGACATCAGCAAAATCGTCACTCCTTAGCATTCACACCAATGTCACCAAGATCAGCTGATCCAACCGTCCAGAGATCTCAGAGCTACAGGGTTACTCCAGAGAGAGAACAAGTACCTATGGTTCCTCCTCCTCCTCGCAGTATTACACCCTCACCTACAACTGACCCGGAAACCAGGTAAAACATAACTCTGTGATCATTATAGGATAACAAAGGTACTATACAAAAACTTGTGTATCATTATAGGATAACAAAGGTACTATACAAAAACTTGTGTATCATTATAGGATAACAAAGGTACTATACAAAAACTTGTGTATCATTATAGGATAACAAAGATACTATACAAAAACTTGTGTATCATTATAGGATAACAAAGATACTATACAAAAACTTGTGTATCATTATAGGATAACAAAGGTACTATACAAAAACTTGTGTATTATTATAGGATAACAAAGGTACTATACAAATACATGTGTAGAGAGCTTCTGATAAATGTAGAAAATTATGCAAAGCCAACTTTATTTAGTCATTTTACCAAAATAGATAATAAGGAAGGGCTTTTATGGACTTTTCTCAATCTGAAGCATAGTAATGTGCTTTTTAGCTCACCTGGCCCACAGGGCCAATGAGCTTTTCTCATCACTTGGCGTGTGTCGTCCAGCGTCCAGGTTTCTGACACAGAATAACTGTAGTCAAATGCTGTTGCGTATTGACCCCCCCACCCCCCCCCCCCCCCACCTTTTATTTTGCAAATATTTGAAGAAATTTTCTCTTTAATATCTGAAATGAGAAAAAATTGCCCCCCCCCCCCCCCCCCCTTTTTCCAAAAAAAAAAAAATCTTTCCCTCAAGATATGGTCATAATCTCAATTCAAATTTCCAAAAGAGTTTGCAACCATAATTACCAATTTAAATACATCATAAAAGTCTTGAAATAGAAAATGACATACATAATCATGGCTATTAAAATTCCTTTAATAGTAACTTCTAACAATTAATTGACAGCTAATCACCTCAAGACAATACAACATCTTTATGCATAATTTAAAAGCAATGTAAGGGAGGTAATCCAATTTTTTTTTTTAATACTTTAAATGTATTTGGATTACCTCCCTGACACTGCTTTTAAATTGTCCAATAACCAGGGGACCCTTGTTTTTCCCCCTTTTTTGCCCCTAATTCCTAAACGGTTTGAGTCATAACCATCCAAAGTCAATCCTAACCATCCCTTTGTGGTATGGAAACTTGTGGTATAATTTCAGAGAGATTCATACACCGTTCCACAAGTTATTGTCTGGAAACTAGAAAAATGCTTATTTGGGCCCTTTTTTGGCCCCTAATTTCTTAACTGTTGGTACCATAACCCCCAAAATCAATCCCAACCTTCCTTTTGTAGTATTGAACCTTATGGTAAAATTTCATAGAGATCCATTCACTTAAACTAAAGTTATTGTGGGAAAACCTATGTGTCTTCGGACAACGACGACGCCAACGTCATACCAATATATGACCGCAAAAATTGTTTGCGGTCGTATAAAAATGATCAGCAAGACAATCTACAAATAATCCATGACTGTAGATATCTTCAGTTGACTCTTTATTGGAGTTATTGATCTTTAATGATAATTTTTACCATTTTTTTAACCATTTTGCCTATTATCTTGAAAACTATAATAGATAACTAGAAACTTTAAAAAAGAAAAGTGATCGGCAGGATAAGATCTACAAATACGTCAAACATGGCTGAAATTGTCAGCTAACTCTTTAAATACTGTTATTCCTTTTAATGATGATTTTTACTCAAAAGTGGCAATTGTTGAAGATGCAGTTGAGCGCACAGGCTCTTTAGAGCCTCTAGTTTGACTTCAGGTCTGTTACATGTATTCAAAAATTACAAAATTTTTGACAATCTTGAACCAAATCAATGAGATAATTTTAAGCTGAATATATAAAGTTAGTGAATGAAGAATGAATTAATCTTTTGTTTCTTTTTTGTACTTCAGAGTACGCATGGAAAAAATGGAAGTGCAACTTGCAAATTTAACAGCCTGGGTGCAGACAGCAGTTGTAACAGGATCAAGTAGGGAAAGTAGTATAAGAAGTGGGGCTAGTACAACACCATCAGATTTAGGAGACTCTAAACCCCCAAGTGTTGTAGGAAGTAAGTTATGAAGTTATTGATGGTATTGGGGTTTAGATTAGGAATGGTTTACACTATATATAAGATTATTGATAACTTTGATGAGTTGATTTGAATTAATAGAGAGCTTTGTGTATTTTTTGGCTGTAGCACCTTATTACTAACAAAACTTTGAAACAGTCAAACCATGTTTATGATGAGGAATTTAAGAACATTGCATTACCTAGTACTTTTTCAGTTTCTAAATGGCTATCACTTACGATCCAAATTGTGTGTTAAGACAGTTTTACAAAAAAAAGTTCCTTTTGTCTATATAAGTAAATAATATATGAGTCATGAATTTGCTAATATTATTACATTAGAAAGCTAAAAATTTAATCTCACATTTATTAGGATAAAGTTTTACTTGAAATAATGTAACCCATCTTAAAATATACTTAGGTCCTTATTTTTGAGAACTTTTTGAAGTAAAAAGATTCTTACAAACAGTTTCTCTTGAATTTTTATTATTGTCCCCCTCGCAACGCGTTGTGGGGGACATAGAAATACCGGACATCCATCCATCCGTCCATCCAGTCTTGTTAGGGCTCTCATGTGTACAATTCTTGCCAGATTTTTATGAAACTTATATCATAGGTTTATAGCAGCACTGTCTTTGACAAATTCGAAAATCAGTGCCGATCAATAATTTTTAAAAGAGTTATGCCCCTTGGAAATATAAATTATAATGGAAATCACATTGCATTTGCTCTAAAGCCTACATTTCTCTAAGATATTAATAAAAAGTTTTAAAGAACAAAAAAAAAGTGCTTTTTTTAGTTATTGCCCTTGTACCTTGGATAGATAAAATATATGCAACGCGAGGGACATTGGAACTCTGTTCTTTCATTGTCTACTACATATCACCTGCCTGTTTCAATGATATTTTTTAGTTTTATAAACAACTGTACATTATTTATGTTATATGTATGATAGAGGCAAAGGTTAGGTTCTGTAAGTATAAATTGTTTATATTTTGCATTATTGCCTTAGGTCTAAGTTATTTTGGCATCCAGTTTGAGCTTAGGGTTTTTACACTCTTTTTATGCCAGTTGCCTTGGTCTTTTTCCAAGTATATATTTCTATTTGAAAATTATTTTCCAATGAATATGATATTCATATTGTCAAATAAAATTACTAACAGCATGGTTGCATTATTTGAGATAGCTTTTACCCAGAATGCACCTTTCTTGCAGAAGATGACGGAGACAAAGTCAATGGTGATAAAGGTATATTTATGACCTGCATTGCTTGTTTTGGTGTATGACATATTCTGCATGTTTATAATCACTGCTTGTTTCAGTATCATGCTGCACGTAGGGTCTGGGGATAATGAGATAAAAAATATGTGTTGGATTATTTCTCAGGTCAGTCGTGGGTAAAAATTCACTTTTCAGTTTTGATCATTGACAGGTAAAAATTAATAGATAATGTTCTAACAGACTCAACAACCAAGGTGGAATCTTGATTATGATGTATTCAGAATTTAACTGTTGCTGCAACATTCAAACCTTTCTTTCTTAAAATTGTTTGGCAACTGTTGTTTTTACTGAATTTAATGAATAGCAGCTTTGCATCAGATGAAAATTTTAAAGTAATTAATACATTTTGATGGAGGTTTTTGCGGTCGTATATTGGTATCACGTCGTCATCATCAGACATTTGGTTTCCGGACAATAACTTTAGTATAAGTGAATAGAAATCAAAGATATTTTAAAGCAAGGTTTATAACCACAAAAGGAAGGTTGGGATTGATTTTGGGGGTTATGGTCCTAACAGTTTAGGAATAAGGGGCCCAAATAAGCATTTTTCTAGTTTCCAGACAATCACTTGTGGAACGGTGTATGGATCTCTCTGAAATTATACCACAAGTTTCCATACCACATATGGATGGTTAGGATTGGCTTTGGGGGGTAATGGCTCAAACCGTTTAGGAATTAGGGGCAAAAAAGGGGGAAAAACAAGGGTTTCCTTGTTAATGGACAATTACTTTTTAAGTACAATGTTGATTTTGAATTACCTCCCTTACACTACTTTTAAATTATGTATAAAGAAATGTTGTATTGTCTTGAGGTGATTAGTTGTCAATTTATTTTTAGATGTTACTATTAAAAATGCTGATTAAGGAATATTAATTTTAGACATGATTATGTATGTCATTTTCTATTGGAAGACTTTTATGATGTATTTAAAAGCCTAAAAGGGTAATTATGGTTGCAAACTCCATTGGAAATGTGAATTGAGATAATGACCATATCTTGAGGGAAAGAATTTTTTTTTTTGGAAAAAGGGTAAGGGGGGGGAGGTGAAATAAAAAATTGTGGGGAGGGAGGAACTATTTTTTTTTCTCATTTCAAATTTTAGAAATTAAAAAGAATATTATTTTTATTTGCAACAGCATAGTGTATTGCACAAAAGCAAAAAAAAAAAATCCAAATTCAGACCTGTATCAAGCACGAATATTTTGTCCATTTTTGCCCCAACTGTTGAGGGTTGGACCTCTGCAGTTGTATCTAGCTGCGCTCGGCGAAGCAATTTAGCTATGAAGATCTGATAACTTTCATTTTAAACAAACATGATTTAACAGATAAAATCAACTGATTATTGCAGAATGAATTTTGATACATAGGAAAATTGAAGTTGATAATTTTTTTGTTAAAGATAATATAGAACATAGCTCCTCGGTGTAACCTATTTGCATACCTAAGGAATTAGATAGAGAAGAAAATAGATTGTATAACAACATTATATTAGCTCATTTACATGATTTTTTATGATGTGGAGTTATCAAAATGTAGATTTTTATGGATATATTTATTAATGTCTGTTTCATGCCTAAAATTTTGAAATTCTTTTTGGCTGAAAGTGTTTTGTCTATAAGCTCATAGACATAATTTTGTCATGTGACCGTGACATCACCAACGTTTTTTTTCAAAATTTACTCCTTCAAAATGGAATTTAGAATTAAATTATAAGGAATGACTGTAATATTTTTTCTGTCTATTTGAAATTACCTGAAAAATGTGGTGTACACTTTTAAATAACCTGCTACACTGGTTGTTCAGTGTGCACCACATTTTTTATGTTATTTCTTCATAGACAGATAAAATAATACAGTCATTCCTTAAATAATTCATATATGTTTACTGTAATACAACAAAATTGCCAACCACAATCAGTCCTAGAAATATGAATACAAATTGAATTTTGATTTTTTTCATTATCAAATTAACTGTTCAATCATATCAGTTTAATGTTAACTCTAAGTTCTAGCCAGTAACTCAATAATACTCTTGATATGATGGTTTGAAAGTTATGCATGTTTGTTGTCAATATAGCTTTAAAAAAATCATTTTGCAATTGTTGTGCAAAATTTGCGAAAGTAGATGTACAACTAAAATGATGAAACACAGCTAATGTACACCATTTAGAAAAAGTTTAGAAACTAGATACAACTTAAATACTGTGAAAGTACTTTTATTCGTGGGTATCAATTTCATGGTTTGAGCAAAAGTTACATGTGTTGGGTTCTTAAATTCATAGATTTATAAGAACCCTACAAAACAGATTAAAATTCATCTTTTATTTCGTATTTGAATGTGCCAAAATCAACCAAAGTCTTATATGTGCACTTGCACAAGGTCGATTTCTATCCGATGCTTCTCATATGTTGTTTAATAATGATTTGTGGACATTGCACTTACTTGTTCGTCTTTCATTTCTGACAACATTTCATCAAATTTTCAATAAAAAAATTGCTTTTAGAAATAAGATGATTCATCTATTCCTACACATTGTCTTGATTGATGGAAATTGCAAAGTAAACATTTTAATTGTTGCACACACATGTAATCAGAAATGATGACACTAATTAACCCGAGATCGAAGGATCAACAGATAAACGATCATCAATGGTGTTATTTGGGCCATATACATGTCTCTTAAAGAAAACAGTTACATAGAAAGAATGCTATGAGAATTATGAGGAGATAAATTGAACACTTCATCATCGCATATCATCACCGGAATTCTGACTTTCATTGATCAAAACTGATTTTTCATGAGAATTAAAAGGTTAAAAGTCATACAGTTTAGGCTTTTTAAAGTTAAATGCTTTTGGGTTAAATCCTGTCTAAAGTTGTATATAAAGCTCATAGTGCATTTTCTGATATTCAATGTATTCTGTAGATTATATGCCCATATCCATGTAGTCAAATCTATATGGGGATCTTTCTATGTCTTGATTTGGACAACAGTTGTTATACTTCGTTGGGCAATTAGATTAGTGGATAAAGCCATCCATGAAACCATGAAAATTGGAGTACTTTCACAGTAACATACTTGGCTGATTGTGCACCATTTGGCAAAAGTTGAGAAAGTATATGTATAACTTAACTCACGTATGCAGCTATATGTACACCATTTAGAAAAAGTTGAGAAAGTAGATGTATAACTTAAATCATGTATGCAGCTATATGTAAACCATTTAGCAAAAGTTGAGAAAGTAGATGTATAAAAATAACTAACACAGCTGAATGTACACATTTTCAACAAAAGTAGAGAAAAAGATGTTCACCAAAGATAATGTACGCAGTTGATTGTACATTATTTAGCAAAAGATGTACAACTTAAATGACATACACAGCTGATTGTACACCGAAGTAGAGAAAGTGAAAGTAAATGTACAACTTAAATATCATACAAAACTGTTGTAACAATTAGTTGAGTTTCATATGATTGAGCAGTCTCTTCTTTTTTATTTATTGTAAAGCAGAAGCTTCTTATGTTACGCCCATATGCTTATTTATAGAACAGAATTTATTACCTCAGTGACAACATATCTAGAATAACAAACCAATAAGAAGTTACAAACTTTTGACACTAAAAACCATAATAAAACTTTTATGGTTTTAAGAGGTATTCGTTAGGCTTGATAATCTGTTCTAACATTTTTGTAATGAGTGACCCGCAGTAGGTTTTATTAACTATTGTCATTTTAAAGTGAAATATTTTAGGTTTTGATTCTTCTCTATGTTGTTTACTTTGGATGCTTGAAATTTTTTTTAAATTTTTTTTTAATTGAAAATGAGTGAGGCCATAATAATGAAGTAAAGTTTTAGATTAAATGTGTTTCTTGAACCATATCTACAAAAGATAAAACCAAACAAAATAGTACAGATGTGTAAAAAAACATAACCTAAACAAATATTGTGTACTTCCATTTAAGGTTTTTCAGACATATCATCCCAGTCATCTCACCATACCATTGTTACACAGAGTATTAAAGATGGCATCCTAAATGTTGCCAGGCAAACATCAGATTTGAAAGTAGATTTAAAACATTTGCGAAGAATTCAGCAGCTTAATAATGAGTCAATGACTGATTCTATACAAGAAACTATCAAAAAGATTTCAGTGAGTAAAAGCTTTTAATATAAGAAAGTTTACGATTATTTTTATCTTCAGAAATAACTGGTTTGAGAAAATATTTTTTTTAACTGTCCTCACCCATGCCTTAAGCCTAAACCTTTGCTAGAGGTAATCTTTTTTTTTGTTTTGTCAGATTTTACCTTTCCTTTATTTGAATGTTTATATATGTATCTTCTAAATTTTTGATAAAATTATCATTGGGAGATAATGCTGGATGTGATAAGAAATGCAAAAGAATTTTTGACAGAGCTTTTGTATTAAAAACACTTTTTTTGTGAATGCTCTTGGTATATTGGATAAGAGTGTGTTTATTATTTGTAGAAGGTGCTAACAACAGTTCCTGGAGCTGAACACCAGGTACTTCGTCAACAACGATCAGATATAGACACACAATGTAAACATTACAAAGATGATGGCAGTAAAGTGTTAAGAGAATTGGGGTATGTTCTTTGTAAGGTGTTGTTGATAAAGGGTAATTTATTTGAATTATAAGATGATACACTGACAAGAGTTAGTAAAATCCTATAAAATAACTACTGAGATAATATGCTCATAATTATACCTTTTCAATAAAAAATGATCATACATAGATACTAACCAAAATTTGAGTAATTACCTGGGACAGTTTGCAGCATATTTAATCAAAAAGAAGAAAAACCAAGGTGATATACAGTGCATTTCCATATTATATAATTGTTTGATAAGTCAAAACTTTGTTAACAACTAAACAAACACTGTTTCAGTGCAGAAATAGAGCAATGTCATTAATAAACAGTAGCACACAATTTACAGTTTAAGAAAAGGTGGTGTAAGATTAATGTGGCAGACAAAATTAAGATAGCAAGCAGAACAAAACCAGGTATATAATCCATGCCTGCAGAGTTCTAATTAAATTCCATAAAGGTGTACTGTATATGAGAAAATACAGAAATTTTCTGAGCTAAATTGAAAGATATGTTGTTTAAATTTAAAATTTTCATTGGAAAGTTATTTCTTATTTTCACTTTGTTGGACAGATTTTCATGTGTGCTATGTGTATGGAAACTTAGAACACTGGCATATCAATGGGGACTGAGAGCTGTTTGATTTTATATATAATAAGATGAAAGTTAAGTGTGACAAGATGTATAAATTATGACTTGTTTTTGCAGAGATTTAGAATCATCAGTAGAAGAAATGAGAGAGGATGTGATATCTAGGCAATGTCGAGTTAATCTGGCTGATGTGGAAGGAATGGCTCTTGTTCTTAGTCATGTGACCAAACATCTTGGAGAACTTAGATGTATGTTGCTAGTTACAAACATAAGGCATAGAGTACTTTTGTTCTTCTCAATATATTTGTGTATCTCAATATTTTGTCTTTTTGCTAGGTGTGCTCTTCATTTTCAAAAGAAAATAGAACAAACTACTTTCAAAATGTAGAATTATCTTCTCATAAACTATATATATTAGGGATGTCAACGAGAACTCGAGTACTTGAGTATCGCTCGGTACTAAAATGATACTCGACTAATCGGTTTTCTGTTAGAATGTTGTTGCTTTCTTAAGCTTAAACAAAAATGTTTTTATTGAGAGCCCCTCCTAGGAAATTATATATTAATCAAAATTAATAAAAATAAAAATACGATTAGAATGTTTGCATTTAACTGTCATTTAAAATTCCCCCAAACAGAGATATGAACAAGAGCATTTTTTCCAAGGCTTTCACACTAGCTAATCTTAATCACTCCCCCACCTCTGTGCGTATATATTCATCGGCAGATCTGTTAATATACTTACAAATCTCCTGGTCACAGAAAAAGTTGAAAATTTACTTGAAGACAATATTTTTAAATAAATACAAATTCTTTGCACCTTATTTAGACCCTCAGAAAATGATTAATGACAAGTTCTAATCATCACCCCTTTATTGATCATTTAATGTGTTTTTATACGGTTCCCAAATACTGTTGTTTGAGTAATAATTTTTCTAAGATATTAACTAATTACTTGATTAGATTATTGCCAGTCAGTTTACATAATTAGTACATGTAGTAAATGAGCTATTAATTGTGGCCTCGGACTATTATCTAGTCCTAGGTAATAATGTTGAGGGTTTTACGATCATTAAACAACTACCCACAATATATAAAATGGGTATAATTTTGTAATTCCATTTAGTAAATGTTTTACCGAGCGAGTACTCGAGTATCGCTAGGTAAATCCAACGAGTAATCGATTAGTAAATCTTCACCGAGTTGACATCCCTAATATATATGATAGAATTTTACAAGAGTTTACCTCAAAAAATTTACTAATAGCGTATTTGTTATAGTAACTCTATTTACTAATTATTGAGATTTTTTTCAGGTCGTTTCCCAGGATTACAGGATCATATGAAGAAAGTAATGAGTGGTGAAATGGAAGTGGTCATCAATGAAGAAAAGTAAGTTATAAATTGAAACTTTTATGAAACAATGTTTACACATCTTGTTTGAATTAGGCTAAGAAATAGGTAAATATTTTGGCCTTCGTAACTCTTTCTGTGTAGTGAAAAAGATGGTTTTCAAAATGTCGCATGGAATGAGAAATATCTAATGTATTAAAATCCCAAGGTATAATCAAATTCAAAATCCTTTTCCACTTTTAAAAAGATAGGGTAAACAGAAAAGCCATACCTCCCAGCTGTCCTGATTTTCTTCTGAAATACTGCCAAAGGAGAAGGTATAAATATGAGCCTTTAGTTGGCCCCTGTATTTTCAAAAATAATAATCTTATTCAAGTCATTGAAAATTATATTAATTTTATTGATAAATGAACCAGTTGCTTTAATCTGCAAGTTTAGCCCAAAATTGTTACTTGTGACGTCATTATGACAGATAGGTAACAATTCACCAATTATCTTGTTGATTACCGGTTATAGCTTAAAAAGGGTGTCAAATTTCAAAGGAAATCAGGTAAGCTTGTTCTGAAGTTGTTTTCAAAATCACTTATTCTAATGTCAACAATTTGGATCTCAAAATTCATATCCTTGGTCAGAGAGAAACTAAATACACATATTTTTCATACGACCGCAAAAAAATTTCGGGTTGTATATTGCTATCACATCGTCGTCGGTGTCCTCCGAAGACATTTGATTTCCAGACAATAACTTTAGTTTAAGTGTATGGATCTCTTCGAAATTTAAGAAAAAGGTTCAATACCACAAAAGGAAATTTGGTATTAGTTTTGGGGGTGATGGTCCCAACCGTTTAGGAATTAAAGGGCCCAAAACAAGCATTTTTCTAGTTCTAGGACAACAACTTGTGTATAAGTATTTTGATTGCTCTAAAATTGTTCCACATGGTTCAATACCACAAGTAGAAGGTTGGGATTCATTTCGGGGGTAATTGCTCAAACCGTTCAGGAATTAGGGGCCAAAAAAGGGTCTTAAACAAGCATTTTTCTAGTTTTCTGACAATAACTTGTGTTTTGATATCTCTTAAATTGTACCACATTTTACAAAAAGAAAATTTCTTCAAATGTTTTTTTTTTGAAAAAGGGAGGGGTTGGGGGGTTAAAAATTATTTGGGTTTGGGGGGGGGGGGGGGGGCAATTTTTTCCTCAAGATTTAAGAAGTTGTCAATTTTCCAAAGAAAAATTGGAGGTCACAATTTATTTTGCTAATTCTTTGTATATAGTCTGAAAACAGATGTACTAAGTATTGCGCAACAGCACAGTATTGCACAAAAGCAAGAAATCTTCAATTGAATATAAATTCAAATCATAAAACCAATTTCAAGTTCTTTGACTACATTTATTCTGTATTAGAAACCTATAATGTGTCAAATATTTAATTACAATCCAAATTCAGACCTGTATCAAGCTTGAATATTGTGTCCATTTTTGCCCCAACTGTTCAGGGTTGGACTTCTGCAGTCATATCCAGCTGTGCTCGGCGAAGCAGTTTATTATTTAATCACTTTAGATAATATGAAAGTATAAAGATGTTAATATTAAGGTAGATAACTCTAACTATAAATGCTTAAATTCTGCTGGAAAAAGTTTGCACTAGTTTTAACGTGATATTTTTATGCCACCACCATAGTGGAGGGGGCATTAAGTTTTACCCTTGTCTGTCCGTCTGTCCGTCCGTACGTCCCAAAGTTGGTTACCATTCTCTAACTTTAGTTTGCCTCAACCAAATGTTATGAAACTTATACACAATGCTTATTACCACAAAGATCAAGTTTGAATTTTGGTGGCATCAATTTAACCGTTCTAGAGTTATGCCCCTTTACAAATGGAAAACTTGCTGAATTTTTCGTTTCCCTTTAACTTTAGTTTGCCTCCACCAAATGTTAATAAACTTATACACAATGCTTGTTACCAAAAAATACAGATCAAGTTTGAATTTTGGTGGTGTCACTTTATACTGTTCTAGAGTTATGCCTCTTTACAAATGGAAAAATAGCTGAATTTTTTGTTTCCGTTCTCAAACTTAAGTTATCCTCAACCAAATGTTATGAAACTTATACACAATGCTTATTACCACAAAATAAAGATCAAGTTTGAATTTTGGTGGTGTAACTTTTACTATTTTAGAGTTATGCCCCTTTACAAATGGAAAGATTGCTGAATTTTTCGTTTTCGTTCACTAACTTAAGTTAGCCTCAACCAAATATTATGAAACTTATACACAATACTTATTACTACAAAACTCAGACCAGTAACAAATTTGGGTAGTATCACTTTTACCATTCTTCAGTTATGTCCCTTTATAACTTGATATGATATGCAAGTGGGGACATCATCTGTGTCCCATGGACACATTCCCCATTTATTTAGCAAATTTTAGTACTTACAGGGCAAAGTTTTTTTCAAAGGAAAATGCCTCCTATTAAAAGTGTAGGTAAGATTTTTTTCAGGACAATCATACCAAATTTGTTTTTGATTTACACATATGTTTTCAATTTTTAATTAATGAAAAATACAACATTTGCATTTTTTTTTTGGTAATCTTAGCTTATTTAATCACTTGTGAAGTAATGTAGAATCAATTGTTAACATTTTTGACTTCTATTTGATGAAAGAAAGCAGATCTTTCCATGGAATTTCCTGGAACTACCATTTAAGACATAAAACTTGTGTGGTTTTTTCCTGAATTCTGGTAGTGAAAATTAAGAGTATGCTGGTTATAGATTGTACACAAATTGTTTTACGGTCGTTTTATTTGCATTAATACATTTTGATATTGATTGATTGGTGTTTGATGCTACTTTCAGCACTATTGTGCTATAACATGGAGGTCAGTTTTTATTGGTGGAGGAAGACTGAGTGCTAGAAGAGAACCATCAACCTACAGTAGGAAAACTGACAATCCTAGTCAATTAAGATTGGAGTCTAGCACACCTGCCACATGCAGGATTCGAACTCACAACCTCAGTGTTGACAGGCTAGTGATACATTAGTTTGACTACTTAGATCACTAGGCCACTGAGGCCCTGTTTTGATATTCATATTCTATTGATACTTCAGATTTCTTAAAGATGAACCAGATAGAATTGAAGAAGCTTTAAAGAGATGTAAAAGGTTAACTGGTACACTTTTTACTTTGAAAAGGTAAGATCTTTATCTGGATCTGACATAAGAATTAATAAAAGTTGGTAATAATTATGGTTTAATTAGAAGTAAGATTTTTTAATTGTTATACGCCCGTTTACAGGACGTATTATGGTATACCTCTGTCTGTCATCAACATGTCGGACAATAAATCAAAAAGCTTTAACCAATTTGCATGAAACTTTGGTGAATTTTTTATATCTGTTGACATGAACTCCCTTTCGATTTTTATAAATTTTAAATTCTCCCTTTTACAAATTATTGGGTTTTATTCATTAAAAAAGGGGGGTTTTCCAGTTTTCAGACAATAACTTGAAAACACTTTTACCAATTTGCAAGTAACTTTGATGAATTATTTATATATATTGATGTGAGCTCCCTTTTGATTTTTATGAATCTTAGATTTTACGTTTCCGAGTTATGGGGGTTTTATTCATTAAAAAAGGAGGATTTTCCAGTTTTCAGACAATAACTCAAAAATGCTTTGAGCAGTTTTCATGAAACTTTGGTGAATTGTTTATATCTATTGACGTAAGCTCCCTTTAGATTTATATAAATTTTATAGATTTTTTGTTTCCGAGTTATGGATTTTATTCATAAAAAAGGGGTGATTTTCCAGTTTTCAGACAAGTTAAGTGCTTTGAGCAGTAGTCGCAACTTTGGTTACTGGTTTATATCTATTAAGATAACCTCCCTTTAGTTTTTTATAAATTTCTGATATGACATTGAGAAGTTATTGAACTTTATTCTTTGAAAAAGCGATGGGCGTATCATGCGCTTATGGCGCAGATGTTTATAATAGATTGGAATGCTTTATTCAGATACCTCTGATAAACCCCCTTTATCAACAGGAATGAATTTTGGACCATGATGGGATGCCTTCCCATCCTTCAAAGATTTCAATAAATGATCAATCAATAATGAAAAATTGGAAATATATATGTATCCATAAAAGTTATATCATTAATTTAGTCATACCACTTAGTCATACCACTATCAGATACATACAGTAGTTTTGCAAACAGCTCCCATGATTTTGCCATATGAGGAAAATAAATTCGTATTGTGACAGTTCTACAATCGAAGTGTTATCAATAGATCAGTTCTTGACATGCAAGTTTTTCACTGAACTTCAGATAAGCTGTACTTAAGGAACTTAGTTAAATGCTGTCTGTAGACTATACAGTTCACAAAATGCAATGTATTGCTTAAACATAATCATATTTGATTTCAGATTTTTCTTTGTTACTCATCAGATTAAAAGAAAAAATCTTATTTCACAGTTAAAACATATTATTCCTTTTTTTTTAATGCCCCTGCCATAACGCAGGGGGCATTAAGGTTTACCCTTGTCCGTCCATACGTCCCGAAATTGGTTACCGTTCTCTAATTTTAGGGCTATCCCATTAAAATGTATGTGGGAGGGTAGGAAGGGAAGTTTAATTATTGAATGTGGGTCATGGGTCTTTTTTTCAGTATGCATCTATTACCATTATGCAAAACTATCTAAAAAATGGTTCTTGGTTGTAGGGATATTTTGAAAGTCCCTTCCTACCCTCCCACATACATTTTAATGGAATAGCCCTTAGTTTGTTTCGACCAAATGTTATGAAACTTATACACAATGCTTATTACAACAAAACTCAGATAAAGTTCGAATTTGGGTGGTGTCACTTTTACAGTTCTGGAGTTATGCCCCTTTATAATGTTATATGCAAGCGGGGTCATCATCTGTGTCCCATGGACACATTCTCAATATTCTAAAGAAATCCCTTTTTTAAGAATTTTATAATTTTTACAAAAGACAGATAAAATGTTTCACATGAAATGATTGTCTTTGTAAGTTTAAGAAATATCTTTCAGGTTAGCATCAGCTCAGGAACAACGTCCATTACATGTACCAAGTGGTGACAGGGTAGGAGGAAGGATAGCTACACATGTAGATAGAAAAGAATTATTAGACAATATACAGGCTGTTGTTCCTGATCATCAATCACGACTTCAAAGTATAAAGGTAATTCAAGGAAATCTTGTACTTGCCTACACAGTGAGACTGTTTGTAATAAAAAAAAAATGGATAAAAATTCTTTAGTTCAAAAATTTTCTATTTAATAATTGTATTCCAATTTCACATCCATACTGGAAAGAAAATGTTCCAGATGTTTCTCATATTTTTTCCTCTTGGTATAATGATCCATTAGATTTGAGAACATATAATGCATATACCTGACAATTTAAAAAAAAATGTTTGAAGTTGTTCCAGCAACAAAGAAAAATGGACATTTATCTTTAATAAGTATTAAGATAAATGTTCACATATGAATTGTCCATTCAGATTTCAAACGTATGCTTGATTTGAAGGATATATGTGTGAGTGTTATTGTTTAAACTATATTCTCTGTACAGCATTGAAAGTAACTATGGATACTGATACTGTTAGAGGTCCATCAGCCATTAGTCATTGTAGACATTATTATCTGTTCTGCTTGCCTATATTTTGTTGGTTTGCATGCTTATTTTCTCATTTCCAAAAATATGATTCAAAAGGTACCTGATAAAGCTCATTTGGTCTCTCGTCTGAGATAACAGAATTAAAAATATTTCTTTCTATTGATAAATCTTTGTGGATTTTTCAGAATCAAGCTGTGAGTATCATACTTGATATCCTGTAGCTATATATATTATTATTAAGCTTATGAATTGTCAGGTGTTGATGCAAAATTAACACACAAATTGCTAGCTTTACTATCCAATACTAACACTACTTCTGTAATCTGGATATTATTAGCTTGGCATGAAAATATAGGGCAAAATATCAATGGAACAAAATTAATACTGGTTGATATTTCACAGCTCCAGGAGATAAAAACTAGAATATTAAAGAAATTTTAAAAACAAATGGTTATGGTACCAACAGTTAAGGAATTAGGGGCCAAAAAGGGGTCAAAAATAAGCATTTTTCTAGTTTCCAGACAATAACTTGTGGAACGGTGTATGAATCTCTCTGAAATTATACCACAAGTTTCCATACCACAAAGGGATGGTTAGGATTTGCTTTGAGGGGTTATGGCTCAAACCGTTTAGGAATTAGGGGCAAAAAAGGGGGAAAAACAAGGGTGTCCTGGTTAATGCACAAATACTTTAGTACAAAACATAATTTTAAGCAGTGTAAGGGAGGTAATTCAAATACATCATTTGAATTACCTCCCTTACACTGCTTTTAAATTATGTATTAAGTAATGGTTAATGAACAATTAAGACAATTTAAAAGCAGTGTAAGGGAGATGTGTGTTAAAATACGCAACAGCATAGTGTATTGCACAAAAGCAAAAAAAAAAAAGGGGGGGGTAAATTTTTTTTTTTTTTTTTGTGGGGGGAGGGGGGGTCAATTCGCAACAGCAAAGTGTATTGCACAAAAGCAAAAAATTGAATATAAATTCAAATCATATAACCAATTCTAAGTTCTTTGACTACAGTTATTCTGTGTCAGAAACCTTTTATGTGTCAAATATTTAATTACAATCCAAATTCAGACCTGTATCAAGCGCGAATATTGCGTCCATTTTTGCCCCAACTCTTCAGGGTTGGACCTCTGCCGTCGTATCCAGCTGCTATCGGCAAAGCAATTTATTGTGAATTGCTAGTGGATATTTTAGGAAATGAATTCTGTATTTAAGGTTTAAAGATAGATAACTTAGAAAGTGTCTGCCAGCCTGACCAACCCTAATTTTAGGGGTATTTAGTTAAATATATTATTTATTAAAATAGAAATACTATCAGACATATGAATCCTATGGAGTACTGATTAATTGTAACTCCACAACATGCCAATGTGGTGTTGGATTACATCTGGGGCATGTCTGCCTTTTGGACGTCAGTCCATATTTGGTCAGGAGACTGACTGAAACCAATTGAAAGTTGGCTCTCAAGGTGACCGGTCACATGACTAATTAAGAAATTGTTTGAAGCAAAGTGCCCTCACTTCAGTTTCAATTTGGCGTGGCTGTGAGCAGCAAAGTTTATTTTGGTCATTTTGTATTTGTACTATTAAAGTCAGACTATTTCCCAGATTGAAACCAGTTTTAAAACTATTTGAAAAATAGAATTATATGCTTACCTACCCACCCTAATTTTTCAGCATGTTAGCACAAAATAAAGTGAAGTGAAGTGAACATTCATAAGATCCTTTCAACGCCTGTGTCAAACTGTATGAAAAATGTATATTCAGATTTTCAATTAACAATATGATGCAATGCAACTTTTGTCTTGAATTAGTGTAGTAACCCATGGTTTAAGGAAATTAAAATTGGCACCATTTTTACTTCCAAATGTTTGAATTGACAATGAAATTTATTTGCTCTTGCAAAGTTAGGATGAAATACATCTTATCTTTGAAATACTGAATGAATAAAAGGAGATGATGGGGGTATACAACAATCAATCAGCAACACAGCAGTATAAAATAAGCCAATAAGAGACATTATATGTGTAACAGAGTTCAACTTACTGTACGAGTCTAATAAATTAAGAATATTAAACAGAGACTACCAAAAATATGCGATCAATGCCAAATCTTTTAAAGAACAAAAACGCTAAAGATATATGGAAAGTGAACCACTTTGGAGGTTCCTTACTTTGGACAGACTTTATATATTTTGGGGTAAATCTAGTTTTTAGAGGGGGAAATATTCCACAAAGTACAATCAATCAATACAGTTTCTGTATTCGGTAAGAAAAATGTGTGTCAAACTAGAATTACTTTTAGAAATAGTCTGTTCGGTAAGAAAAATGTGTGTCAAACTAGAATTACTTTTAAAAATAGTCTGTTGTACTTCCATATCCATGCAAGTTTTTGAAATTAACATTGATATATGAAGCAAAACTCTACATGAAATATCTTGTTCATTATACATTCTTTTATGAAGGAACTACTTAAAAAAACAATCATGCTTAAAGTTGCATAGCAATATCCTCACGGAACTTATAATTGTAGTTTGTATATATGTGGATTATTTTGGTAATCATTTGATTTCCATTCATTTTAAAGCTTTGATACATGATGTTTGATGAATTTCAGGCTGCAGATGCTTCCAGAGAAAGAAAAAAGAAGATTATTACCCAGCAGGAAGCATTGAAATTTGGAAAATCATTAGAGAAAGCTTCAAAGGCATTAAAATCTGCTGCTGAGAAAGAATATGCTACTAAGCCAAAATCTAAAGTTGATACAGGTTGTGCTAGTAAAGGACAATGTGAAATTCAGGACTCTAAACCAGACCCATCATGTGTCATCAAACCTCAATCTACCTCAGAACCTCCATTAACAACGAAATTCTCTGTTCCACTGACTACTTCTACAACAGAAAAAATAGTTCTGTCTAGTTCAGCTAAAGGAAGTGATGGAGCTACTCAGCGAAAACAAATTGATGAAAAAATAGTGAGAACTACAAGTGATACAAAGGTACCACCTTCTTCATTGTCTTCTTCTGAAGAAGAAAATATCAAAAGGTCGGCTGCCAAATTGTCCATTCAGAAAAATGCAGCACGAGCAGCTTTCTTTAGTTCTCTTACAACACCCCCTACTTCACCATCAGAAGAAAAAAAGGCTGTATCTCCTGATTCAAGAGTCTCACCAACTCGAACGACAATGGACTACACTGTTCGTATTTCGCCATGTCGGTCAACTGTTTCAGGAGCTACTAAGTATATTGTTAAGGATAGTACTAACATCAAAAGTAGTTCATCAGCAACGCGTCCTACAGCAAAAGTTTCATTTTCATCACCATCGTCATCATCATCATCGAGTGATTCTAGTCCTTCACCAAACTCGCCTATTTTAGCAAGTGCTAGAGTTTCAAATATTCCTAGGCTTTCCGCTAGGCCAGAAACTGAATCTCGAGAAAAATTTACATATCAAAAAGAGGCAACTGTGCAAAAACCTTCAATTTTGAAAAGTTCTGGTACAAGAATTGACCAAAACAAATCGAAGGAGGTCACATTGACAGGAATTGATAAAGACAAATCTTTTGAAGATAAACCGGCAGAAAATTCAAGATCAAGTGAATTACTTCTTAAATTCAGTGATCAAGAAAAATCTAAGGAAATTTCTCACTCAAATGTACAAACTGTGCCAAGATCTCAGTCAGAAACAGTATCAAGTCCATCAAATAAACCTGATGTTCGACCAAAGAAAATCCCTCCTCCACCTCCACCAAGACGGAGTAGTAAACTTGTTAGGAGTGGCCCTGGACTTATGTCTCCTGTTGGTCAGGATGAAAGTAAATCTGACATTCATGATTCCAGCATCGTAGCTGGAAATAACGATGGTACAGTGAAATCTGCAACTACTTGTACTTCTACACCAAAACCTGCTATTCCTCAGAAACCTTCTAGAATTACTCGAGATAGACTCTTAACTGATCAGTCTAAACAGGCAATAGAAAAAAGTACAAATTTAAATGGTGCAGCCATTAAACCTAAATCATCAGTTGATGTGAAAAAAGATTCAGATGAGTTTGGACATGAAGATCCTGAAGGCAGCATAGATAGCAGTGCTAGTTCTAGTAGTAGTGAATCACAACAAAGTGTTGTAGAAAAAGACAGATCTACAACTACAACACCAAATGGGGGACCCTCAACGAGGAAACCTAAACCCCCACCACCTGTTAGAAAATCTAGTCTAGCTGACAGTTATGAAGAAAAATCAGACAGTGGTAAAACTGATGATGTAAATAAAAGTTGATGATTGTAATTAGTATTACCTTAAAAATCAGGGCTTTGTTGAAAATGTTTGTTCATATATATAAAGGCTTAAAACAGAGTGTCAGCATTGCTGTGTCATATTATTTTCTTTTAATACTCTAGCAGAATATTTTTTTTTAAATTGCCATGTGTTGCTTTCACGTAAGTTTTTGTTGTTGATGAAAATGGTTCAGACCCAGTTAGAATTCAGACTTTTCCCATTACTTTTAATCAGACTAAATTCATTCAAATATACAACACATTCAAAAGCTTAAAACAGAGTAGCTTTGCTTTAATTTATCTTTTTTTTGTTGCAATTTTCGTTTCAAGTTTGGTGAAAAATGTTTGTAGATATAAGTGAAGAATTAACTTCCGGAATTAATACATGTCTTCACACAAAAACCCTCATATCTTTGTATCAAAATAATGATTCAGATATATACAGTTTTGGTTATTAAACTTTTAATTTTCCTGCCAAAAAAATCCTGTATCTGCATTTTTGCAAGGATTTGGGTAATCAATACAATTACATGTCAGCCAAATCAATATTCTGAGCTAATATTCAAATTCATAAATCTTTATATCAATAAATTATTGTTTGATGTTTGTGTTGACAGCCAAAAAAGAGAATTTTAAAATAAACTGTTTTCAAGATGAACATATGCAAGGGCATTCCTTTTCAGCTACTGTTTTTGTCATGCTGCCTTAGCTATAGCTATACACGAACATCTATCATTTTCATAGATATATAACAGATATCATGCATTGAGATATCAAAAGTTCATATGCTGTGCATTTATTTCATATTTTAACATTTCACACTTCAATTAAAGGTATTAATGTTTTTACTTTTGATACATGTTATGTTTATTAAAGGTGCTTTTTGTGTAACTGGCATGTTATATATTTGTATTTTTTCTTGTTATGAACCAGAAGGGTTGTGAACTATTTATTTATACACAAAAGTTAGTGCAATATTGACTATTGGGTTGTTTCCCTTGTCATATATATATGTTAAATGTACTTATTAAAAAAAGGAAGAAATATACTTTGTTGTAGGTGAAAATTCACTTAATTTTTTTTCAAGTTCATAGTTTTATGTATGAAATGTATGTCATTGATTGGAACAATAATAATTGCTATACAACAGTAGTAAACTAAAGCTTTGAACATGACATTTATTATAGAATAACTTTCAGAAAATTGAGAGTATTAACTATTATTTTAACATTGTGAACAGTTATGCTAATTTACTCAGTATTCTTTGTTCCATTACTGTTATGCTAAAGGAATACATTAACAAAGAAGAAGGTACTTGTAGGGAATTATTTGGCCCTGTAATTTTAAGGAAATGTTAATATTGTCTAAGTTTTAAAGGCTTTTAAAGACTATTTGACTGTGTTTCTTAATTTAATTGTTAGGGAGAAAATAAGCTAATATCAGTTAAGGGATCACTATTATAATTTATTGCTAGCATGTAGATTAACATGGAAATATTGGTTTGCTTCCTCTAACAAACTATGTTTATGGTAATGTAAATTTTTAATTTAATTTTCTAAAAAAAATGTACTTTCATTGTAAAGTAATAGAAGTAATTGTGGTATGACCACAAAAATTTTAAATCTTGGTACTGGATAATTATAAAAATATTTCCAAGGTCATAAACACAGAAGTTTCTTTGTAACAATATATGTTAGGAAGGGCTATGGGTGATTACAGTTACAAAGTTTTTGATATCATGCTATTATAGATATTTTTTTGATCCACCACATTAGTGGCCAGTGTATATAGTTTAATACAACAGTTGTCATATCTGCAGATATTAAACAGATTTTTCAGTATGTAGTAGTATACTAAAGACTTACAGTTTTTGAATAGATTAAATTAAATTGAAAGGCCTAGGAACTTTGAAGAAATTTTGGGAAGTTGTATATGTTTTGCCTATTGATATTATTATTTTGATAATGGTGGGTTACAAATCAAGTTGACATTTCCTTCCATTTGACATACTTTTGATAAGAGGCTCTTAGACTCTATAAAATTGTACATGTTGAAACAATTTTGTATTTCTATTCTAAAACATGGTAGCAAAACTTGGGTATTCTGTTTCTGGTTTCAGCCGTGGCATCAACAATTTGTTAAATTTGATTAAGTCAGTATAAGGTAGAACTTTTAAGGTTTAATACTTTTCCAAAATTTAGTTGTATTAACATTGGCACATTCACCCTGTCAGTCATGGTCTGTTGACTTTGATAGTTTTGCATTGTTTGCATGTTAAAGTTTTTGATTAGGTCTGTTTAAGTCAACGTTATTTGATATGCAGATGTATTAGCATTGGTTCATATCATTTCTATGAAGGTTATTTTGTCTTGATTAAGGAGATTGATGCTGCTATGTTAATTTCAACATTTGCATCATACTATCAAAATTACAAACAGGCAGGACATAACTCTGTGTCAACAGTTTATTATTTTGTGGTGGCTAATATTGTCCTAATTTATAGTAGTAATAATGTTTTGTTCTGGTAGAACTTTTATTCTTCAAAACTATAGCCCTTAAACTTAAACTAAAGTCGTGGAATTGTACTGTTGGGGTATGAGTCCTTATTGTCTTTTTACTGTACCTTAAGGAGATGTTGAGCTGATTTTTTGTATGTTGTGACGTGTAATAGTGTATTGCAGTGCGACATTTGTTCTAGTTTTGAGAATATGATCCTTGATCTTCTCTTATTTCTGTGGCATTCTTTTTTAATTTTTTTTTTATTGGTAACAGTATCTTTTCAAGTTAACTTAATATATTTAAATCAATGATTTAAGCTGATTTCAGTTGTTTATGTTTTGATAGCTGTAGTAATATTATGCTATCCCAAAGTATTTTTTCTTTTAAAGTGTTATTATATTTTATGAGATATTACAATGTCAGGTTCACATGCCATGATTGTGGTGGATTACTATGTAAATCTATATGTCTTACATAATGTTGCTGGAGAAAAATACAAAAGAATGGAAATTAAAAATAATATTATTAAAAAGATTATGAAGCAAAATATCCCTGTATTTTAAGGAGATCAAATTATTGATATTGAAATTGTATGATGATGTCAGTGCTTTTTATGATTATGTACTTACAGAATAAGAAACTGTTGAAAGCATTTATGTTGTTGTTTTTATTACATTTATAGTACAAAAACACTGATGGAAAATAAGTAAAGACTGTCTCAATGTGGGATAATATTATGAAAAAGAAACTTGTATCACCAAAAGTTTTATATTTCATTCCCTATTTAGATTATCACTCCAACTGGCTGGTGCTTAACAGATCCTTATGAGATTCTTGGCATTGATTTTTGTTTGACCTCTTTTGAGGAATAATGAGCTGTTTCAATTCTTTCAATCAAATCAGTTTCGAATAGATCAGATATAATCACATTTTCTATTCCTTTCAAATAACAATTACTAAATTAACTGGGTAAAAAAGATACATGTATGGTCTGGAAGATTATGATATAAAGTCAATAAAACAGTTATATAAGTTCACTAAGGAAGGCATTAAGAGATGTCAGTCCAAGTATACATATATTGAACCAACTGAAAAATATACTTAATTAATAGATAAAAATGAGCCGACGTATCGTCATCAAGGAAAGGAAAATAAAGAATAGGAAAGGAAAAAATACCTGGATTGTCTTACGACGATCAGAATAAACATTTGATTCCAATAGAGTAAGTTTTAATAGGTGAATAATGTGGGTCATGAGTCATAACAATGATAATGCAATTGATGGCATGTTTAAGACCATGTAGGATTAAGATATTGAATAGCTTGGCAAGGATTGGGGTTTACTTAAGTGGATACAACAATATTACAACTGGATATTGATATCCTCTACAAAATAATTATACCCCACGCAACGAGTTGCGGAGGGTATTATGTTTTTGACCCGTCCGTCCGTCCGTCAGTCTGTCAGTCCTATTTCTTGTCATCGCAACTCCTCTCAAACCACACAACAGAATTTCACGAAACCTTTTTAGATAATAAGGACATACTATATAGTTGTGCATATCGACAGGAAATTACGATTCAATTTTTTTTCTAGGAGTTACGCCCCTTTGAACTTATTTGCCCAATATACTACTGCAACCTTTTGTCATCGCAACTCCTCTCAAACCACACAACAGAATTTCATGAAACCTTTTCAGATAATAAGGACATACTATGTAGATGTGCATATCGACAGGAAATTACGATTCAATTTTTTTTCCAGGAGTTACGCCCCTTTGAACTTATTTGCCCAATATACTACTGCAACCTTTTGTCATTGCAACTCCTCTCAAACCACACAACAGAATTTCATGAAACCTTTTCAGATAATAAGGACATACTACGTAGATGTGCATATCGACAGGAAATTACGATTCAATTTTTTTTCCAGGAGTTACGCTCCTTTGAACTTATTTGCCCAATATACTACTGCAACCTTTTGTCATCAACTCCTCTCAAACCACACAACAGAATTTCATGAAACCTTTTCAGATAATAAGGACATACTACGTAGATGTGCACATCGACAGGAAATTACGATTCAATTTTTTTTCCAGGAGTTACGCCCCTTTGAACTTATTTGCCCAATATACTTCTGCAACCTTTTGTCATCGCAACTCCTCTCAAACCACACAACAGAATTTCATGAAACCTTTTCAGATAATAAGGACATACTATGTAGATGTGCATATCGACAGGAAATTATGATTCAATTTTTTTTCCAGGAGTTACGCCCCTTTGAAATTATTTGCCCAATATACTACTGCAACCTTTTGTCATTGCAACTTCTCTCAAACCACAAAACAGAATTTCATGAAACTGTGTAGATAATAAGGACATACTATGTAGATGTGCATATTGACAGGAAATTATGATTCAATTTTTTTTTCATATACAATTTTTTTTCTTACACTTATTTTATTTCTCCAATGACAATGTGGGGACGTGGGGTATGTGAGCCCGCTCACTAAGGTTCTTTAATTAGTTAATGTACTAACTTGTTTGCCTTACTGCCAAGTAAATTTGATGATAATGGAAAAAAAAGAGGACGCAAACGATGCAATTGAATTCGCTGGACAAAACAAGTATAAAAATGGAGGCAGAATACAGGCTCAAAAGAGACTGCATTGCTAATTTCGATTTTACAGGTTTTTGTCTCACCTTGACAGTGGCTGGGGAGGCATCAACAATGTATTAGTTTGTGATTAGGTAAGTTTTGTGGTGAACCACTAGTTGTAGGTCAATGATATTTGGTATGCAGTTGTATTAGCATTGGCACATCTCATTTCCATGAAGTTTATTTGGCCTCGCTCCCTCAGTCGTGGTCTGTTGACTTCGAAACTTTTGCATAGTTTACATGTATTAGTTTGTGATTAGGTCAATTTATGGGAAACCACTTGTGGTAGATACATGACATTAAGTATGCAGTTATATTAACATTGGCACATTTCATTTCCATTGAGATTGTTTGGGCCCACCCCCTCAGTCTTGGTCTATCGACTTTGAAACTTTGCTTAGTTTACATGCATTAGTTTGTGATTAGGTCAGTTATTGGGAAACCACTAGTGGTAGTTCAGTGGTATTTGGTATGCATATTTACTAGCATTGGCACATCTCATTTCCATGGAGATTGTTTGGTCCTGTACCTTCAGTCATGGTTCATTGACTTTGAATATTTTGCATAACTTGCATGTTAAAGTATTGCTATTTTAATTTCAACATTTGCATTTTACTGTCAAAATAACAAAAAGTCAAGATATATCTCTGTATTAACAATTTATTGTATTAGTTTAATTAACCAATTAAAAATTCAACTGCTTCTGATAATTATAATTTTCTAGTGACCAGAATTGAATGAAAAAATTTCTCAGATATTATGCCAAGTTGGGCCAGACTGTTTAAGTAGTATTAGAGATGAAAATAGCTGTTGGGTTAAATGCTTATTGGGAATCAATGTGACACAATTACTGCCATACATGCTACTGAATCTATCACAACTGAGGAATCTTTGATAATTTTGGTTAGATACACATTACAGTTAAAGAAAAAAAGCTGAAGATGTAATCAGATAGTGTTCAGTGGAATCTATGGGGCAGCATACTACCATGAATTCTCCCTGATCTACATGAAACTTAAAGAATCGTCAGACATCAATCCTATTGGCTTTGTCGTTTCATAGGAAATGAAATTTCAAAACTGACCAATCCAGTAAGAATTGTCTCTTGCAGCTTTAGTTTTCACTCAAGTAGAACAAATGACCTTCCATATTTTATTCCTGCCAAGTTGTTTAGTTTGACCTATTGATGAAGTTATGTTTGAAGTCGCAGTAATCCTGGATTTTAGCCAGATCATGAAAGAAGTCATTTAGGAACATAAATGCTTTAACTGGTTCATAATGATCTTGCTCTTTTATCCAAAATACCCTGTTAATACCACCCAGCATTGATTGTCAGACACATACTCTTGCCCATTTGGTAAATGGCTAACAAAAGGACCAATTCGGTGCAAATAGGCTCTAGGATTGTAGAAAAAAAAAATCCATACAGGTTTTTGATTTATTAGCCTGTTGATTCAGGTGGTGACTCATAGCAACCAGCTTATCTGTCCATCTGTCTTATCACAATTCAATTTTGCTCTGTTCGGTTATGAAACTTGGCATGATTATTCACCACTGTGAAGCATTGTCATGTACAAGGAAGAAAACTGTATATTGAAAGTCATGATCAAAAGCTTAGCCTTTCACTTGGCATATGTACAAAAATCTTTTATGTTTTCTTTTAACTTGAAAACCCTTTGGAGTTCAGGGGTAAACTTGGCATTGTGTTTCACCACTACAAGAAGTATGTTTAGTGCACATAGAAGAAAACCCTACATTGATGATCCTTTCAAATAACACATAATATATTAATAAAACATGATAAAAACATTGGATGAACTTCAACACCCCTGCGAATTATGCATGTACAAAGAGGGCACCTTGACATGGTGAAAAAACATTGTGTACCAATTGATATTTAAATGTTAAACATTGTAACATAATTCCATATAAAAATTGAATGTCACTTACAAAAGTGGTGTGTCATTTAAATTTCTACCGTTCATGGGTATAAGCTTTGTTTAAATGGAATAACCCAGATTAAGTGCATCACAATTTTGGGATTGTAATACTTGTAGCGAGGTATTCTGTGATGGCTCCCATCATTATTTTCTAGCAGTATTTTTGATTTTTGTAACTTTTCAACCTTTCGTTTAAGTAATCTAGAGATAAAAAATTCAAAACTGCAAATTTTGTATCTTTATAAATTAAGGAGATGTGGTATGATTGCCAATGAGACAACTATCCACCAGATACAAAATGATGTAGAAGCTTGAGATCACTGTACAGCCTTCAAAAATGAGCAAAACCCATACCACATAGCAAGCTTTCAGAGACAGCAAAATGTCAAATTTATAACAATTGACACAAGAAAAGTAACTCTTGATTTATGTACAAACAATAAACAAAAAAAATATGATATAAACCAGGAATTATTTGAATCTGGAAAATTGATGAAAACAAACCCACTTATGAAGAGTTAACCATGCATGCTCTGAAATATCAGTGAAAGTAATTTCAACCTTAGCCATGCACACATGGCTAACCCTCTTTAGTGTGGTTAGTTTTCATCATACTTTTCTTATCAATTTTCCAGAATTCAAAATTATTCCAGTTTCAAAGAATTCCTTGTTGATACGGCAACAAACGACAACCAGTAAATTACAGGCTCCTGATTTGGGACAGGCACATACAGAATGTGGCGAGTGCCCAACCCTCCCCAACCTGGGACAGTGGTGCAACAGCACAACACAAGATCAAACTGTACACTGCCAAGGTTTACATGTCTGTCAGACAGGGTGTATAATAACTATTTGTATAATAAAGGTAGAAGACCTGGATACGTCATACCTTGTATACAAATGTCTTATATTCTGTAGTTTTGTCTGGCATGTCTGTTGTCTTTTACCTCATTTTCATTGATCAGTGACTGCTTAAACATGATTTTCACACTTATTATGTGGTATCACTGCCAATTTTGGTATACATGTCTGTCAGAAGGGTGTATCTGACCTTGAACTGAACTGAAATGTATTGAGTGAATTCTAGTGTACAAGTTTGTTTGGTAGGATCCATCTGACCTTGACCGTATTTTATAGATCATTAATAATGTTAAGTGTATATGATACCTGTAGTAAAACCTAAATCTGAAAGACTCAAAATAAAATTAAGTCATGATCACTAAAGCATGCCAGACATATCAGTGTGTGTCTCTCTTGTTGAGATATGAGCCAAAAACTGCAGTTATACCATATATATATATATATATATATTTTACCAAGGGTGGTCATGTTTGTTCACAAATCAAAATCTTTGAGACTTTGTAGAATGAACAAAATAAGGAACAATGACGAATTCACAAAAAGTTTGGTTTCAGAAGATTTGAGAAAGTTTACGCCAATGAAAGACAAAGGGATGGCAATAATTCACATTACCTTTTGGTCCAGGTGTGCTATAAGTGTTCACAGAAAAAGGCTAAAATATTATTTCATCACCAAAAACCACTGAAACAATTTTAATAATATCTGATGCAAGAAGGAAGATTTGTGATACATTCAATATTTTTTCTTAATTAATGGTAGATATTTTTTCTTCCATTAGATGAGCTTGAACCTTGAATCTCTTGAGGTACATTGTATATGCATATACATATATGTATAGTTAGAATTACACTTTGGGAACAATATAAATTTGCAAGAGCAAAAAAAGAAGTTCCTACATTGTTGGGCTAAATTTAAAGATAAATAAATGTGGATAGTGTCCACATGTGGACACAGATGATGCCCCCTCTTGCATATCATATAGTTATAAAGGGACATAACTGAAGAACGGTAAAAGTGACGCTACCCAAATTTGAACTTGATCTGAGTTTTGTGGTAATAAGCATTGTGTGTAAGTCTCATAACATTTGGTTGAGGCTTATTTAAGTAGAGAACAGAAACTAAAAATTCAGCAATTTTTCTATTTGCAAACTCAAATTCAACTTGATCTGTGTTTTATCAGTGGAAGTCAAAATTAAACATTGCATTGTATAAAGCATTGATTGTAGTTGATTCAACTATGATCATGGACAAAGGAAGATAACTCCAATTTTAAAAATTACTTGATATTTAGAAGAAAATAAAATTTTTGCAATTTTTCCATTTATAAAGGGCATAACTCTAGAATGGTTAAAGTGACGCCACCAAAATTCAAACTTGATCTGTTTTTTGTGGTAATAAGCATTGTGTATAAGTTTCATAACATTTGGTTGAGGCAAACTTAAGTTAGAGAACGGAAACTAAAAATTTTACAATTTTTCCATTTATAAAAGGGCATACCTGTAGAATGTTTAAAGTGACACCACCAAAATTCGATCTTGATCTGTGTTTTGTGGTAATAAGCATTGTGTATAAGTTTCATAACATTTGGTTGAGGCAAACTTAAGTTAGAGAACGGAAACTAAAAATTTTGTATTTTTTCCATTTATAAAGGGGCATAACTCTAGAACGTTTAAAGTGACGCCATCAATATTCAAACTTGATCTGTGTTTTGTGGTAATAAGCATTGTGTATAAGTTTCATAACATTTGGTTGAGGCAAACTCAAGTTCGAGAACGGAAACCAATTTTGGGACGTACGTACAGACGGACAAGGGTAAACTAAATGCCCCCACTGCTACTGTGGGGGCATAAAAAGTATATACATTAGTTTATTGGTGTATACTATTGCCTTAAATTGGTGTAATATTTTCTCTGATAACTTGATACACAACTAGTTTAATTCTTCTGTACATGTACAACAAAACATAATTATTAATAATTTTATTTATAAATATTTATACAGCAAAGTGTACGTGGTATTTGTTCTGGCACTATAACAAATGTTGAAATATATCTTTTCAACATTAACATCATCAAATATGACTATAAAACAAATGCTTTCCCTAAATTGTAACCCCATTATCTTTCATCTATCTACAACTGGTAAAGAAAAAAAATCGGTAAATATTACATTATTATAACTTGGGTCACCACCCTTAATTGCAGGCATAACTAAAAATTTAACATGAGACAGAATACAAAAGTAATGTCCAAATATTCAAACACTGCCAACCCCATTAAATTATCAATTTAATTAAAATTGAGAATGGAAATGGGGAATGTGTCAAAGAGACAACAACCCGACCAAAGAGCAAAAAACAGCCGAAGGCCCCCAATGGGTCTTCAACACAGCGAGAAAATCCCAAACCCGGTATGTGTTTAAATATATTAAATCATAAAACAGAGGTAAAATTATGAAAAAATTGTTCCAGAAAATATGTATGTGTACAATGAAACAGAGAGATAAAAAGGATTAAAATCGAAATTCTGTCCATAACTGGTGTTTACTGTACAATATATTTATCCATAGAATTCATTTTGCAAGAAAAGATATTCGATACCAAATGTTTCAACAGTTTTTGCTAATTAAATGAATTATATACATTAGCATACAATTAAAAAAAAAACATTGGTCCAGCCAATTGTTTCTATCCCACATCTTCTTCATACTGTTAGATTTATGATGTAAAGCCACTTCTGTAATTTTGCACCAAAATACAAGTTAAAACAAACTGTTCATCAATTCATCTTGAAAGTCTTGCCACTGAAATAAAACAAAAAAAAACATAATCTTTTTAATACTGGAGTTGGTTGCATTAATTTCAAAACCAAATTTGCCTCAAGTCACTAAATATCATCATTTAAGTTTTTTCTAAAATCATAGATACCAAATTTCTGACATATAAGTGATGACATCAATTTCAAAATGTGTCATTTGATTGACTATACAGGTTTCACTAATTCTCAGACAATTTATTCTTTCCCTGAGTGGTTGATCTTATTATTGTCCCCCGTGTAACGCGTTGCGGGGGACATGGAAATACCAGGCGTCCGTTCATGTGTCTGTCTGTCAGGTCTAGTTAGCACTCTCACAGGTACAATCCTTGCCAGATTTTTATAAAACTTATACTGTAGGTCAATATCAGCAATATCTCGGACAATTCTTTAATGGTGGCCGATCGACTTTTTTAAAAAGAGTTATGCCCCTTGGAAATATTAAATTTATGGAAAATGGCCTCGTTAGCGCTCTCATAGGTACAATTCTTGCCAGATTTTTATAAAACTTATACTAAAGGTCAATATCAGCAATATCTCGGACCATTTCTTTAATGGTAGCCGATCAACTTTTTTAAAAGAGTTATGCCCCTTGGAAATATTAAATTTATGGAAAATGGCCTCGTTAGCGCTCTCATGGGTACAATTCTTGCCAGATTTTTATAAAACTTATACTGTAGGTTAATTTTAGCAATATCTCGGACAAGTTCTATAATGGTGGACAATCGACTTTTTTTAAAAGAGTTATAACCCTTGGAAATATTAAATTTATGGAAAATGGCCTCGTTAGCACTCTCAAGGGTACAATTTTTTTATAAAACTTATAGAACACTATAAGTAATGCCCTTGAAGGTCTGTTTGAAATATTTAGAATATAATAAAAAAAAACTTTTTTGTCCCCGCGCACGCTTTTTATTTATAAATTGTTTTAAAGAACAACAAAAAAAAGTTTGGTTTTTTTTAGTTATTGCCCCTGGATAGATAAAATATGTGCAATCCAGGGGACATTGGAACTCTGTTCTTTTATCTTTTATAATCAAATCAACATGTGGTTTGTTAGATTTCAGTTCTTCAGTGGTCAAAATTTAATTATGAGTTGAAATTTTCTTGCTTTTATGTGATTTTGCTGTTGTGTAGTCATGAAAAAAGGTGACCATGTCCAACAATGTCACAAAGAAAGACCACATCTTTTTGCAGATCATTTGAAAAAAGGTATAGGTTTGCCTTTACATAAAACAGATTAAACCATAAGATCTTGTGCAATATCATATTTCTCAACTCTTGAAAGTTTAATTTCAAATATCTAAAAAGAATGGGAAGCCTGGCATTAAATTTCAAAATCTAGCTGTTGAGTTGAGAAATATTGTATCACACTTGAAGCAGTTGTAGAATCTATATTTCTCTAATTCTTCTGCATTTAAAGCAGTTCTGCCAGCTGGAATTATTTTGATAAACAACATGTTGTTTACCGGTAATTGTTTCACAGATGATGATGGATATGTTCCAACTGTCATAACTACAATCTGGTTCTCTTTTCCTCAAATGTGACCTATCAAATGAGACTTATCACCAGTGTTGTACTTACATGAGCAACATGTAGGTTGCCACGTGTGGCAGGATCTGCTTACTTTTCAGGAGCACTCTTTTAGATATGATTGATGTCAAAATTATTTTGGAATTACTTTTGTCATATGTTTTACTAGTAATTTGTAACATCAAATAACTATTTATGTTGCATTGCCAAGATTTCACAGATCACAAGTTTTTTTATTCATAGAGTATACTTACGTGATTGTTTTCTTTTCTTTCTGTTGATCTGGTCGAGCTCTGTTCAGTACTTTTAGAAAATCTGAAGTCTTTGCTCTCATTCTCGAATGGATATAGGCCTAAAAAATATAAACAATTATGTTGATCAAGTGGATTATCTTATGATAGTTTCTTTAATAATTCATGAATAAATGGAGAATGTGTCCATAGGACTTGCATATAATGTTATAAAGGGACATAACTAGAGAACTGTAAAAGTGACACCACCCAAATTCCAACTTGATCTGTGTTTCATTGTAATAAGCATTTTGTAGAAGTTTCATAACATTTAGTTGAGGCAAACAAAAGTTAAGAGAACAGAAACCAATTCTGGGATGTACAGACATACGGGCAGACAGGGGTAACACTTTATCCCCCCCTCGCCTAGAGGCCGGGGCATAAAAATGTGAATCTAGACACTTTCTAATCATAAGGAAAGTACAAAAGGATTCAATTCTTGAAGGATAAATTTTATCTCACATATCAACTGCAGTATATCTACTGTATATTTACATTATGGGTGTTGAATAAACATACTGTATGTGAGCCACAAGCTAGACTAATTTTTTTTTAAACTTAAAACATTCTAAACAAAATGCATGTATTTGTAATTGTCTTGAGATAAAAGAATTTTTTTATGCACCAAGTTTCATTTTTATAGAATAATCAATATTCTAAGTTCCATGACTTCCAAACTGTCTAGTATTGAAAAATAATTTACCTTAGAACACTTTATATGATAATGTAAATAATCCCTGAGTGTGTGGATTAAGTTGATCGTGTTATCACGTACTGCTGCACCAGTGTGACGAGGAAACAAAACTGTAATAACAAATAATTCATATATCAATAAAATATGTACCTACAAACCAGATATATGTTTCTTCCTTATCAACATTACCCAATATATTTTAAATTAGAAAAAAACTAGTTTAACATCTCCATGTGTTAATGTGAATCAGAACTTTAAATATGGTAAAGACAATTGTCTATAGTTGGAAGATCACGTTTCCCCCTTTTAATCTCTCTATTAGTTCTTTTTTCTCATTGAGTTGCTGTCTCATTGATGAACACGTATTTTTTTATTTCATGTGTAACATATTTATTTTAAAAAACACAACTGTCACAACTAGCAGTCAATTGCACATTTTTAACTAATGCAGTCTGTAATTGAATATTCTTTTAAAATATATTCTTTATTCCAATATAGCTTTACAGTGATGACTCGAATGACAGCTGACAAATAATTCATGCATAAAATTAAATACAATTATTCAAAACTAATCGTCAATACAACTAACCCTACACAAACAATCAATATATATCAAATGAAAAAAAAAATGAAATCCAGTTTTGATTTAAGACAACTTTGAATACATTTTTTATCAAAATTGAACAAATGAGTGTAGAAAATAATGAAGAAACAAACCTTTTTTAAGAGGCTTAATGAAACTTGATTACAAGACACTTCATATAACATGTGTATCTCTACACAAAAAGTCATACAGTTAGGAATGAAAAACCTACCAAAAGTAATATATCCTACATTATCCCCACCACGAGCATCCGTTCCTTTTAATTCCATTGGAGGTTCTTTGTGACTAAACAATACTTGTGGTGCTTGTTGGTAATTTCTTCTTCCTTCTTTAAATTCCTAAAATTTTTAGAACAGATTTTTACTTGCATGCCATACAAAATAAGTTTACTAGAGATCTTAAACCTCTTTGCTATCAACATAAGTGTAGGTTCTATCTGTTTAAATTATCTAAACTGCATTCTACTTCTGACTTATCTTGATTACATGTAACTTGACGAGTCAGAAGAATGGAGAATTAAGAAAATGTTAAGGTCTAGAAGATATCAGGTGATGGCAACATCTTATACTTTGAGCAAGAGAAATACCCAATTTTTCTATGAATTGCATGTATAAAATCAAATGAATTACTTTAACATTACAGTCCTTGATTATTTAAGATCAAAACTGCATGTAATTATAGATTTGCTCATAATCCTCGATAATAACCTTCCATCCATACAATATCTCATACCTATTCTGCCTGTGCTTCAGCTAGAAACTGAAAGGGGCAGGGTGACAGGGAAGGACAGGGCACTTTTTAGTGTTGGGAAAGTACACCTTTTTGTGTGAATCTAAATGATCCCAGGAAAGACAAAACCGGTAATAGTGTTTTATAATAGTCTGAGACTCCAGCACTGATATAAAAAAACAATTTTGAAATCACTGATAAAATTGATAACAGACCAATTTCCATAGTTTGACATTTTTTAGCGTATTTTCACACTAGAGTGAAGTCATATCAATAATTGCAGAATTTGTAAATATTGATTAATATGCTGTGATAAAAAGTTAAGCACAGCGACTAATTTAAAAGATGTGGTCTCTGAAGGCACTGTTAAGGATGTATTCTTCTGACATTTCAGTCTCGTTGAAATCACGTTCTGGAATTATTTCCAAAACATGTGGTACAAGTGAAAAATATCAATGAATTTAAAAAATATTGTAATCAAACTTAACTAATTGTGTATTTACAATAAGTAGTTTTTGAGGAATAAAATTTTCAAATTTTATAACCAATCAAGTCAGTCTCATTAGCCAAAATGTTGAGAAAATGGGTGAGGGGTACAAGAAATGATTTTACCAGATACATGTACATCCAATATCATTTTTTTCCTTTCAAATTTCTTAGATATGTATTTTTTCAATCATTTATAACAAAGAAGTTGAAATAATATGCTTTTTGTTCTAAAAAAAGAGAAAAACCCCAAATTTACAAAATTGACAACATGGTAAATTTGACACGAAAAAGCAACAAATTTTTATAAAACTTTATTATATTAACACCTACCTATAGTTTTTTTTAGGTTAAATTTATTCAGATTGGTCCACTTCATCTTTAGTGAAAGTATGAAAAAAAGTTTAATTGTGAAACTGTGATTTTTTTTATGATAATAGCCCAAAAATGGGTAAAAATTTATGAAAAATGGGAAAATCATCAAAATTGGGAACTTTCAAATGGCCATAGCAAAAATAGAAGTCCACAACCATATGATTTTTTCTTCACCAATTATTTTTTTACAGTCATATAAACCCAAAAATCAGGTTAAGAAAAAAAGTTTAATTCTAGAAGTTTTTGGTCCCTCAGAGGTGTACATCCTTACCATATATGGATTTGGAGGTCAGATATGTTTTGAGAACAAACTCACTTAATCATCATACTTGTGTACAGCAAATTGTAATATTAAGATGTCATTTATCCCTAATTTTCCAGATATTTGCCAACTGATATTAAACCTAAGAACTATATAAATGGCAAAGTAGACCATCTTATTTAAGAGAAAGAATCATGAGACAGACAAAACTAAACTTGAAGCCAGTTGCCTTTAAAATTAATATTTCTATATTTCATACCTGCATAAATAATTTTCCTATCACAATATCATCATCATCTTTAAACACTGTACTGAATATAACTGTCACTCTGTCTTTCTGTGCTTCAACATACCTATAATTTCATATTCAAAGTTAATTAGACTCAAAACACATTCATAATTGTAACACAATACTGTAGTATGTATGTCCAAGATGCTGAACAAACAATGTATACGTCTTGAAATCACATGATCTAGCTGTCCTCTAATTAACTATTCATATTTTTTACTCCGCTGCAACTAGTTGACCTCAACTTATTTATTGAGAGGTATATTCTAAATGTAAAATTAGGAATTAAATATTGTAACAAACAAATTGGATACCCATAGTTTCTTGTCATTCTGTAGTGTCAGTGGATTTGTGGCTCATATAAAACCAGTATCTATATGATTTACAGAATGATACATATCAACTCTATGAATACAGTATTATTGGTACAGGATTCCACATTAAATTTGACCAAACTTGTCCCTTCTTATAAGTGTCATTGAAGTTTCACTTGTAAAATGCTTAAAGCAATTGTCCAACTTTAAATGATCCAAAAATACCTTTTAAGGAATATACTAGCTTAAGACAACTATTCTACTGGAAGAGTGTACCACATATCTTTCGTTGTATCTCAACACTTTGATAACATTCATGGTACATTTCAATGATCTCTATGGATGTGATCACCATAGTTCAGTACTTAATAATGACATATTTTCATTAATAATTTTAGAAGAGAAGAAAAATGTGTATGTTTTCAATATTCTTTTTTTTTAATCTGATTAAGTCAGCAATATAAACTCAATTCATGGTTCCTTAATAACATGAATAAGCCATCAAAAATAGTGAGAACAGCTGATTGGTGAACTGAAATATACATAAACTAAAAATCATATTCTGATAAGCCATTATTATTAAATGATCTATAATAAGCAAAGGGAAATATGCACTAAAAATAAGTGAATTTGTCAATGTGGTCAATGCATATGACACCCAATGACATTATGTTTTTTTTTTTTATTTAACCCTCTAATTTTTTTAAGTAAAACCTTATGGTATAGAAAACTTACATAGTTTCATCATCTCTGTACTGTATGACAGCTCTTTTGGTACCAGTAACTCCCTTTTCCTGAAACTCAAAATATTTCTCAAACACTGATGCAAAACAGTTCCTTTTCAGTAAAGCTGCTTTCTTAACAATGTCTTCAAAATCATCAGGAATGCTATCTAAATTGTACTGAAGCGAAACACTGTAACCTAAAAATATATACAAAATATATATGTATATAAAAATACAACATATTTTACTTTAAAATACAGATAAGTGCTTTAAAATAAATTTAACATTACATTCTTAAAATCATAATTACCAATATCAAATATGCAATTCCAACAAAACTCCGGTAATATCAAGTAATCAATTTGAAAATGAAAATGCACGCAAAAATTCTGTACAGGAAAAATCTAAAACTATTCACAAAATTTAACCATTTTTTAGACTGGATACAAATTCATAGAAAAGTTCTGCCATTAAAAAATCACTATTAGTCCTAGCTGTCATGTTGAAATAATATCACAACAAAATTCTTTTTTTCTGATGAGGATATTGCCAAGCATGGGTAGGTAAATTATCATATTTGCTGCACACTTGCCAAAAAAAGGTTCACATTGCAGGTAGTGGCTAGTACTTTACTATATCATTGAGACGAAAACCTACTAGTATTTTACTATATCATTGAGGGGAAAACCTGATAGTATTTTACTATATCACTGAGAGGAAAACCTGATAGTATTTTACTATATCATTGAGGGGAAAACCTGATAGTATTTTACTATATCATTGAGAGGAAAACCTGATAGTATTTTACTATATCATTGAGGGGAAAACCTGATAGTATTTTACTTTATCACTGAGAGGAAAACCTGATAGTATTTTACTATATCATTGAGGGGAAAACCTGATAGTATTTTACTATATCTCTGAGAGGAAAACCTGATAGTATTTTACTATATCACTGAGAGGAAAACCTGATAGTATTTTACTTTATCACTGAGAGGAAAACCTGATAGTATTTTACTATATCATTGAGGGGAAAACCTGATAGTATTTTACTATATCACTGAGAGGAAAACCTGCTAGTATTTTACTATATCACTGAGAGGAAAACCTGATAGTATTTTACTATATCATTGAGAGGAAAACCTGATAGTATTTTACTATATCATTGAGAGGAAAACCTGATAGTATTTTACTATATCATTGAGAGGAAAACCTACTAGTATTTTACTATATCATTGAGAGGAAAACCTGATAGTATTTTACTATATCATTGAGAGGAAAACCTACTAGTATTTTACTATATCATTGAGAGGAAAACCTACTAGTACTTTACTATATCATTGAGAGGAAAACCTGATAGTATTTTACTATATCATTGAGAGGAAAACCTGATAGTATTTTACTATATCATTGAGAGGAAAACCTACTAGTATTTTACTATATCATTGAGAGGAAAACCTACTAGTATTTTACTATATCATTGAGAGGAAAACCTAATAGTATTTTACTATATCATTGAAAGGAAAACCTGATAGTATTTTACTATATCATTGAGAGGAAAACCTGATAGTATTTTACTATATCATTGAGAGGAAAACCTACTAGTATTTTACTATATCACTGAGAGGAAAACCTGATAGTATTTTACTATATCATTGAAAGGAAAACCTGATAGTATTTTACTATATCATTGAGAGGAAAACCTACTAGTATTTTACTATATCATTGAGAGGAAAACCTACTAGTATTTTACTATATCACTGAGAGGAAAACCTGATAGTATTTTACTATATCATTGAAAGGAAAACCTGATAGTATTTTACTATATCACTGAGAGGAAAACCTGATAGTATTTTACTATATCATTGAGAGGAAAACCTGATAGTATTTTACTATATCACTGAGAGGAAAACCTGATAGTATTTTACTATATCACTGAGAGGAAAACCTGATAGTATTTTACTATATCATTGAGAGGAAAACCTACTAGTATTTTACTATATCATTGAGAGGAAAACCTGATAGTATTTTACTATATCATTGAAAGGAAAACCTGATAGTATTTTACTATATCATTGAGAGGAAAACCTACTAGTATTTTACTATATTATTGAGAGGAAAACCTGATAGTATTTTACTATATCATTGAAAGGAAAACCTGATAGTATTTTACTATATCATTGAGAGGAAAACCTACTAGTATTTTACTATATCATTGAGAGGAAAACCTACTAGTATTTTACTATATCATTGAAAGGAAAACCTGATAGTATTTTACTATATCATTGAAAGGAAAACCTGATAGTATTTTACTATATCATTGAGAGGAAAACCTGATAGTATTTTACTATATCATTGAGAGGAAAACCTGATAGTATTTTACTATATCATTGAGAGGAAAACCTGATAGTATTTTACTATATCATTGAGAGGAAAACCTGATAGTATTTTACTATATCATTGAAAGGAAAACCTGATAGTATTTTACTATATCATTGAGAGGAAAACCTGATAGTATTTTACTATATCATTGAGAGGAAAACCTGATAGTATTTTACTATATCATTGAGAGGAAAACCTGATAGTATTTTACTATATGATTGAGAGGAAAACCTGATAGTATTTTACTATATCACTGAGAGGAAAACCTACTTGTACTTTACTATATCATTGAGAGGAAAACCTGATAGTATTTTACTATATCATTGAGAGGAAAACCTGATAGTATTTTACTATATCATTGAAAGGAAAACCTGATAGTATTTTACTATATCATTGAGAGGAAAACCTACTAGACTTTACTATATCATTGAGAGGAAAACCTGATAGTATTTTACTATATCAATGAAAGGAAAACCTGATAGTATTTTACTATATCATTGAGAGGAAAACCTGATAGTATTTTACTATATCATTGAGAGGAAAACCTACTAGTATTTTACTATATCATTGAGAGGAAAACCTACTAGTATTTTACTATATCATTGAGAGGAAAACCTACTAGTATTTTACTATATCATTGAGAGGAAAACCTACTAGTACTTTACTATATCATTGAGAGGAAAACCTGATAGTATTTTACTATATCACTGAGAGGAAAACCTACTAGTATTTTACTATATCATTGAGAGGAAAACCTACTAGTATTTTACTATATCATTGAGAGGAAAACCTGATAGTATTTTACTATATCACTGAGATTGAGAGGAAAACCTACTAGTATTTTACTATATCATTGAGAGGAAAACCTACTAGTATTTTACTATATCATTGAGGAAAACCTACTAGTATTTTACTATATCATTGAGAGGAAAACCTACTAGTACTTTACTATATCATTGAGAGGAAAACCTGATAGTATTTTACTATATCACTGAGAGGAAAACCTACTAGTATTTTACTATATCATTGAGAGGAAAACCTACTAGTATTTTACTATATCACTGAGAGGAAAACCTACTAGTATTTTACTATATCATTGAGAGGAAAACATGATAGTATTTTACTATATCATTGAGAGGAAAACCTGCTAGTATTTTACTATATCATTGAGAGGAAAACCTACTAGTATTTTACTATATCATTGAGAGGAAAACCTGATAGTATTTTACTATATCACGAAGAGGAAAACCTACTAGTATTTTACTATATCATTGAGAGGAAAACATGATAGTATTTTACTATATCATTGAGAGGAAAACCTGCTAGTATTTTACTATATCATTGAGAGGAAAACCTACTAGTATTTTACTATATCATTGAGAGGAAAACCTACTACTATTTTACTATATCATTGAGAGGAAAACCTGATAGTATTTACTATATCATTGAGAGGAAAACCTGCAAGTATTTTACTATATCATTGAGAGGAAAACCTACTAGTATTTTACTATATCATTGAGAGGAAAACCCGCTAGTATTTTACTATATCATTGAGAGGAAAACCTGATAGTATTTTACTATCTCATTGAGAGGAAAACCTACTAGTATTTTACTATATCATTGAGAGGAAAACCTGATAGTATTTTACTATATCATTGAGAGGAAAACCTACTAGTATTTTACTATATCATTGAGAGGAAAACCTACTAGTATTTTACTATATCATTGAGAGGAAAACCTACTAGTATTTTACTATATCATTGAGAGGAAAACCTGATAGTATTTTACTATATCATTGAGAGGAAAACCTACTAGTATTTTACTATATCATTGAGAGGAAAACCTGATAGTATTTCACTATATCATTGAGAGGAAAACCTGATAGTATTTCACTATATCATTGAAAGGAAAACCTGATAGTATTTTACTATATCATTGAAAGGAAAACCTGATAGTATTTTACTATATCATTGAGAGGAAAACCTGATAGTATTTTACTATATCATTGAAAGGAAAACCTGATAGTATTTTACTATATCATTGAGAGGAAAACCTACTAGTATTTTACTATATCATTGAGAGGAAAACCTACTAGTATTTTACTATATCATTGAGAGGAAAACCTGATAGTATTTTACTATATCATTGAGAGGAAAACCTAATAGTATTTTACTATATCATTGAGAGGAAAACCTGATAGTATTTTACTATATCATTGAAAGGAAAACCTGATAGTATTTTACTATATCATTGAGAGGAAAACCTGATAGTATTTTACTATATCAATGAAAGGAAACCCTGATTGTTTGTATTTATAAAGAATAATATCTTTCTAATAAATTTATAATTATTATTGGAGTAGTAGTTACCATCTTCTGCAGTAGTCATAAAGTCACCATATTCTCTTTTGATTAACTGAAATGAAATAATGTTTTATAACAATACATGTATCATCATTCCACAAAGGAAAAGTGGTAGTAACAAGTTGTTCATACATTTTCATTTCCTGTTTTAAAAGCAATATTTGGTATCATAAACCTTTTGTTTTTAACCTTGTGGAAAAAAAAAACATTGTGTATTATTGAGAAATCCAAATAAAACTAGACCTAACTTTTAAGACACCAGCTTCCAAGAAAAGCTCTTCACAATAAAAATTCGTAAGGGTTCCGCGGAACCCAGTGTCTCGCCTACTTTTTCTGTTAATCACAGGCTCAACAAAAATGAGGAAGTAAATCAATAAAAATATTTCTCTTGATACTATCTTTTGATTGTAAGAAGCTTCTGTCCAAGTTTGGTAAAAATCCAGGATAGTTTATGAATCTAATAAATGTTTAAAACTTTAACTGCAGACTGAATGTAACGTTAACTGGAAGAAAACAAAATTTCCTTCTAGATACTAGCATTTGATCATAAACAAGCTTCTGTCCAAGTTTGGTACAAATCCAAAATAGTATAAGAAAGTTATTAAAATTTTAAAAACTTTAACCACAGAGTGATGAATGTGTTGTTTCCTGGCAGAAAATCTAAGTCCATTTAAAAGTAAAATACGGAAAAAATGGATTTATTTTTTTACAAAATTTCCTTCTAGATACTAGCTTTTGATCATAAACAAGCTTCTGTCCAAGTTTGGTACAAATCCAAAATAGTATGAGAAAGTTATTAAAATTTTAAAAACTTTAACCACAGAGTGAATGTGTTGTTTCCTGGCAGAAAATCTAAGTCCATTTAAAAGTAAAATAAGGAAAAAATGTTTTTTTTTTTTTACAAAATTTACTTCTGGATACACTCTTATGATCATAAACAAGCTTCTGTCCAAGTTTGGTAGAAACCCAGGATAGTTTAAGAAAGTTATTAAAATTTTAAAAACTTTAACCACAGAGTGAATGTAATATTTCCCGGCAGAAAAACTAAGTCCATTTATAAGTAAAATACGGAAAAAATGGAATTTTATTTTTACAAAATTTACTTCTGGATACTATCTTATGATCATAAACAAGCTTCTGTCCAAGTTTGGTAGAAATCCAGGATAGTTTAAGAAAGTTATTAAAATTTCAAAAACTTTAACCACAGAGTGAATATTTGTGGACGCCGCCGACGACGACGACGACGACGACACCGACGCCGACGGAATGTAGGATCGCTATGTCTCGCTTTTTCGACTAAAGTCGAAGGCTCGACAAAAAACAACAAATATGAAAAGCTGAGTAAGAAGTACAAGAGATTGGTTCTAGAATTAAGAGATTGACATCTGATTCAAAAATTTAATAACACTTTAAGATATTTCGATGATTTATTGGCTCTCAATAATGACGACTTCAGTATGTACACTAAAGAGATTTATCCTGCCGAACTGACTTTAAATAAAGCTAATACTAACAATGAACACTGCCCTTTCCTGGATCTTGATATCTATATCTTTAACGGGAAGCTTAATACCAAAATTTATGATAAAAGAGATGATTTTTCATTTCCTATTGTTAATTATCCATTTTTAGATGGTGATGTTCCCTTGTCACCATCTTATGGTGTTTATATATCTCAACTTGTTCGATTCGCTCGTGTATGTAACAACGTATTTGATTTCAACGAAAGAAATCTCTGTATTACTGAAAAATTATTACAATAGGGTTTTTGATATCACAAACTAGTCAAAACAATTACTAAATTTTATCATCGGTACAAGGACATCATTCGTAAATATAAATCAATATGCAGACATCTTATACGTTCAGATATTTAACATCCAATCTTTTATGGTAATATTCTTTACAAAGCACAAAAATGTCGTCATTCACCTCAAAAGCTAACCAAACCTTTAAACAAACTTATTCAGAAGGGATATTGTTGCGAAACTGTTGTCAGATCATTAAGGATTGCATATTTTGGTATTAATATTGATTCACTCATAGGGTCTTTGCATCGGAAATAAACACATTTATTCTAAAACCAGTTGTTGGCATGATACGGGTTATGTTCTTCTCATATATTTTATGATGGTATGATACTAAACCCGTAACGGGAGGGATTGTACCTGATTTTCATATGATGAAGACATAATCTTTCAATCAGTTTAATTGAGGTCTGGAGCTGGCATGTCAGTAACTGCTAGTAGTCCTTTGTTAATTTATGTATCATTGTCATTTTGCTTAGTTTCTTTTGTTACCTATTCTGACATCGGACTCGGACTTCTTTTAAACTGAGTTTTACTGTGCATATTGCTATGTGTTTCTTTATTCTACATTGGCTAGAGGTATAAGGGGAGGGTTGAGATCTCACAAAACATGTTTAACCCCGCCGCATTTTTGTGCCTGTCCCAAGTCAGGAGCCTCTGGCCTTTGTTAGTCTTGTATGTTTTTTTTAATTTTAGTTCCTTTATATGTTTATGAGTTTAGTGTGACGTCTATTTTCACTGAACCAGTACACAATTTTATTTAGGGGCCAGCTGAGGACCACCTCCGGGTGCGGGATTTTCTCGCTGCGTTGAAGACCCATTGGTGGCCTTCGGCTGTTATCTGCTCTTTGGTCGGGTTGTTGTCTCTTTGACATATTCCCCATTTCCATTCTCAATTTTATTGTTTTGGTTCTAAAATTAACAGGTTAATGTTTTTAAACTAGTTGAATCTGAAATTAACAATTGACACTGTTAACCAACTAAACTACTTGAATGTGTACTATTACTGCATAACATTTAATTTTCAGTCAATCTTTTCTTACCAGTGTCCTGTTCCACGATTTGATTGGACAATAATAATAAATGTTACCAGCTTTTTTGATAAATAGTTAGAAAATTATATATTGATTTTATGGTCTACCCAAATAAGAAATCTAACTTATAAGTTCTTAAAACAATTACAAATCAGATATGCTGTACTATGAAAAACTGGAAATGTAGGGTGAAGCTTATGACAACCACAACTTTACCAAAATCTACAGGACAAAACATTGACATCATTAATGAACAATAAACGAATTGCCATTAATCAAGATTATGAATGTGTATTTTACACAAGCAACAGACGGTCTGGATTGACACCTAGCTCAGTAAATGTATGATGAAACAAGAATGTGTCCATAGTACATGGATGCCCCACTCGCACTATCATTTTCTATGTCAAGTGGACCGTGAAATTTGGGTCAAAACTCTAATTTGGCATTAAAATTAGAAAGATCATATCATAGGGTACATGTGTACTAAGTTTCAAGTTGATTGGACTTCAACTTCATCAAAAACTACCTTGACCAAAAACTTTAACCTGAAGCGGGACAGAAGGACGAAGAACAGACGCACAGACCGAAAAACATAATGCCCCTAGGTGGGGCATAAAAAATACACAAACATGTTCAACATTCATAATCTGCAAGAGACACACAAGTGGTTGAATATATTTCTAAAAAGGGTCAGAAAATCTAGGGGTAAGTAGTGCTCTTGACACAATAGGTATAGAGTATGGTCCAATTAAATCTTTTCAAAATTAAAAAAAAAATAATTGCACAATTTCTACTATACATGCAGTTATGGTAGAAACCATATTGGTAGGTGGAAAATAGTTTTGGGGAAAAAACCTATTAATATCATATCACTACCTTTACTCCCAGTTGTTTTTGTATTTAGTAGAGAATATTATATACCATTATTTAGTTTTACTACTGCATGTATTTTCTATTTATATTAATATGGGTATAAACATTTCATTTGTAAGTTGGGTATTCAACAAAAAATAAAAAGCCATCATCAGTGGGGTTACAAGAGAATCTGAGATGATAAGCTACGAGAGTGGCACTTCTTACAGCTGCTTTACTATTTTAAAATATATTTTACAGCTGATTTCAACGAGTGTGTAGCTAAAGGTAGAATCTTTGGTTAGCTTCCTTGCTAGCTCAACCATGAAATCATTATTAGGTAAGGCACATCCAGCCTTTGGGTGGAGTCAATAGTTAAGCAGAGAACCAATCAGAATTAAGTGACAGAATATAAACATTGTAAATCTAGTTTTACAAGTCAGTTTAAAAATAAGTTTTCAATCTAAATTTAAAATTTAGTGATAATTATAAGCTCATTCACAAGCATATATGTTGTAGGTGTGTTTGATTTGCCAAAATGATGAAAAGTTAACTGAAAGCTGAAATTCCTTATTTTTTTCTTCTTCGTCAGACATTACAAATAATAATATATTTAACTTGTCTGTTGAATTTGTTACATCAAGTTAATAAAATGTAGTTGGATATGATTGACAAGTGCTGACCGTATTCACTTTTACACATACACATATGTTTAAAATACACCCGGACAGGTAAAAAAGATTGGAAGGTGTCCAAAAGTACATATGACCTGATCATTCAATCTAGGTCAGATTAAAACTGAAGTAGAGACATAAAAATTGTTCTTCATGGCTGCATTATTAATCTAAAACTAATAAATAAGGTAATGTTAACGGACCAAGTGGATGTTCATAAACTCTGCAATATTTTCAATTCCAGACTGCAGTTGTTTGCTGTTCAAAGTTTTTTTTTGTTGCATTTTTAACTAAATGAAAGGTCCACAAATGCAACCGTGCATGATATTAAGTAGTATGATATTTTTTTTCTTTTCTGTGTGAATATAAAAGATTTTAGTTCTAAAAACTATGCATATTTATGAAGAAAAGACACCAAGACTATAACAATGTTTTTTTGCGTGCACATAAAGACACTTATTAACTAAACTGCCTATTCACGGCGTAAATATTTAAAAAAAAAACGTTACTCCGCTTCTAATTTATTGTAATAAAAAGATTTTTTAATTCCATCAAAGACTAAGAAATGAAATTTTATTTGCAAAGTAGTCTAGGTAAACCTTTGTATGAAACATACATATATTATAAAAAATAACCAGGCCATTGATATAAATGTTTTCATTGGATGATAAAATGGTGCTTTGCTCATCCAATCTTAAGGTAATAATCATTTCATGGTTGAGCTAGCAAGGAAGCTAACCAAAGATTCTACCTTTAGCTACACACTCGTTGGAATCGGCTGTAACCGTATATATTTATTGATACTTACATCCTCAGCACCATGCTCTTCTAAGTCCTTGTAAAATTTCAGTGAAATACTGACCTAAAATATAAACATTCATTTCTGAATATTATTACTCATTTCAAAATATATTCATCACCTGTTAGTCGATTGATACATACTAAAGTTGGTACAATGTAATAAGACAAGCAAAGGATGATACTTGGTCATACTAACTTATAAAGTTATAATAATTGGGTAAATGGGTTCAGATGATAAAATTTTTTAAAATTTTAACTGAAGACCAATAAAGTATATCATAATCTTATTTTTCATAAAATTAAAGTGATGCCTTTGTATGCAAATAGATAACCTATATTCTCTCATAAATTTTAATAGAGGATCCGATTTGGGGAGCCTGTGTTTCTGTGTATCTATTATAATTTACGAGATAATAGGAAAAAAATTTAACAAGACTGCACATGCTGAAATGTCTCGCCTGCTTCATTGACCATTGATTTTATGTTGATAGTCCTAAATATAAAGTTTTACTACAAGTATCACATTAACTTAACATGATCCAAGAAAATGAGGTCAAGGTCAGATAAACCAAGCCAGAAATACATGAACACCTTACAATCATTTCATACACTGAATATAGTTGACCCATTGTTTATAGTATACAAGAAACAGACCAAAACACAAAAACTTGACATTGAGCAATAAACCATGAAAATGAGGTCAAGGTAAAAAGTCCTGCCAGACTGACATGTTCATTGTAAAATATTTCTATACACCAACTATAGTTGACCTTTTGCATATAGTATTAGAAAAACACACCAAAACACAAAAACTTAACTTTAACCACTGAACCATGAAAATGAGGTCAAGGTCAGATATCATCTGCCAGTTGGACATGTACACCTTACAATCAATCCATATACCTAATATGGTAGACCTGTTGCTTATAGTATCGATCTGAGATATGGACTTGACCACGAAAACTTAACCTTGTTCACTGATCCATGAAATGAGGTCAAGGTCAAGTGAAAACTGTCTGACAGGCATGAGGACCTTGCAAGGTACACACATACCAAATATAGTTATCCAATTACTCATAATTAGAGAGAAATTAACATTACAAAAAATCTGAACTTTTTTTTCAAGTAGTCACTGAACCAAGAAAATGAGGTCAAGGACAATGAACATATGACAGACGGAAACTTCATAAGATAAGGCATATATATATACAAAGTATGAAGCATCCAGATCTTCTACCTTCTGAAATGTTAAGCTTTTAAGAATTTAATGAACGCCGCTGCCGCCACCGGATCACTATCCCCAAGTCGAGCTTTCTGCAACAAAAATGGTAAAATTCATCATTTCAGGGCAATAACTCCTATAAGAAGTCGTCTGACAGTTTTGACGTAAATGGACAATAGTTAGAGCTCAACATTCTTGAACATTTTTGCTCCTGTCAGAATTTCTCTATTTATAGCGGTTTCAAAATAATAAGCAAAATTTCATTTTGCCCCTATGTTCTATTTTTAGCCATGTCGGCCATCTTGGTTGACAGATGGGGTCATAAGACACATTTTTTAAACTAGATACACCAATGATGATTGTGGCCAAGTTTGCTTAAATTTGGACCCTTTGTTTTAGAGGAGAAGATTATTATAAAAGTTAATGGACAACGGCGATAAATGACAAGTGATGAGAAAAGCTAACATGGCCTTAAGGCCAAGTGAGCTATAAAGTTTGCTTACTTCTACTTAAATCTGTGGTGAGTTGTCTTATTGGCAATCATACCATATCTCCTATTTTTATATAAAGAAAGTCTACAATAATCTATCTTTTAAAGGAATGGGATTTCTGTTGTATATTAAGAAAAATTATTGATTAGGATTATGTGTTTTAGAACCATGTTGTTACATTGAGTCCTAGCTAGGTGTAAGCACATGTAACTTGTTTGATATCAACATTTTAACATGAGAAATTATCATCACCTTTTGACATTGCATTTCATGCTATATATTTCACCCAAAATTTTAAAAGTGTAAAAGTTTTGAATAAATTGCTTCGCCGGGCACAGCTGGATAGGACCACAGAGGTCCAACCCTGAAGTTGGTTCAAAAATGGACACAATATTCGCGCTTGATACAGGTCTGAATTTTGATTGTAATTAAATATTTGACACATAATAGGTTTCTGACACAGAATAACTGTAGTCAAAGAACTTAGAATTGGTATTGAATATGATTTGAATTTATATTCAATTTTTTGCTTTTGTGCAATACACTGTGCCTGTGCGAATTGACACCCCCCAAAAAATTAAAATAAAAATTAACCCCCTTTTTTGTTTGCTTTTATGCAATAAACTATGCTGTTGCGTAATCAACCCCCCAAAAAAAATACCAAAAAATGTGAAGAAATTTTGTTTAATTTCTGAAATCTGAAATGAGAAAATGCCTTTTTGGGCCTCTTTTTGGCCCCTAATTCCTAAACTGTTAGGATGATAATCCCCAAAATCAATCCCTACCTTCCTTTTGTGGTTATAAACCTTGTGTTAAAGTTTCATAGATTTCTATTGACTTATACTAAAGTTATTGTTCGGAAACTAACTGTCTTCGGACGACGACAATGTGATACCAATATACGACCACAAAATTTGTTTGCGGTCGTATAAAAATCAACCTGTTAACCAAATCCATGATGTCATTTTAGTACACACAACCTGTCTCTCAAGCAATCAGAGGTTTCTTATGGTACAAAAGGCTCAAAGCCGATATATAAGTTCACATATACATACTATTATTTTGGTTTTGTCATTTTCTGGGTTTGATATATGGTATAAAACTCCATCAAAATCTGTAAAACATAATTGAAACAAAATAATAACATAATAATTGTACCAAAACCTAATTCCACCAGTTACACTGTCATACAAATGTTACCTAGTATTCACAGTGGTTTTTTGGATAGGTGAAAATATAAAAGACAACAAAAATGCAATAATAATTAAATATTGGGTTTGTTTAACAGCAGTATTAAGTTTGTGTTCTTGTAAAATTAGCCATACTTTAAAACAAATAAAAAAGATTTCCTATTCATGGCTATTTATTGTTATTGTCAATGAATAATATAATGGTGTGCAAATTACACAGTTAAGTCATTTGAGTACTTATTGTTTTGGGGAAGGTTAACTTTCTGGTAGTAAGACCCGTCACGGGCAGGCTGGGAAATTGGGTAAACAAATGCTCACATAAAATCTGTACTGATACAGTGTGTTAAATGTCCTCCTTTACACCATAACCCATGGTGGTGCTCCTAATAAAGGAGGAAGATACAGAACATACATACATACTGTGGGAAATACTGGAGAAACCCAGGTTTTACTTGGTAATACGAAATTCTGACCTACATGAATATTTGTGATGAGAATCAGGGCTGTCAAACAATTATTCTTTGTTGGCAAAGAGTTCTATAAGTTCACTTTAACCTATATATGCTCTTTAATATAACATGTACATGTATGTATATATATATATATAGGATTGGAGGGCCTCGACTTTTGTAATTAAATATAAATCAGTGTTCCCGCCTGTCCTAAATAGAAGGGCGGCCCGCCCTTGGTGCCCTTACCCCCGCCCTTCTGCCCTCCAAAGTAAAAGAATGCACCCCTCTGCCTTTTCAAAAAAAAAAAATTTCAAATTTCATGCCTACCGGCGTTTCCGGTAAAATTGTTACCTGATTGTGTAACACTAATTAACTGACAATGGGATTAAGTTAAATACCTAGTGCTTTGGCAGTTTTATCACCTTTGTTAATGATTGTTTACTGCTAATTAGTGGATTTAAGATAATTGAACAAATACTAGATATTTAATACAGAATGAAATGTCCACATGTTATCCATTTGTAAAGTTTATGTACAGCATGTACACCTGAAACAATTTATCTCAGTAGGCATAACATAAAAAATAAAATCTTAAACAATTTTATAGGCATACATAGTTTTGACTTAATTGGTAAAAAATGTTTTGTTTTCATAACCATGAGTATGAAATTTAAAGAGGAATCAAAGAAATTTGTACTTTGAACATAACAAGATTCACTTCCTGTTTTTAATACTTCTTGTATTTTATAATCCTCCTGACATAGGAGCACTCAACAAAGTTATTTTTAACAATGATGGAGAAAAAAGTAAATGTTTATACCTTCTGCAATATATAATTGCATCAATATAAAATATGATTATCTCCTGTCTCACCTGTTATATTTATAAAACTCCTTACTGAGGAGCACTTTGGTGTGCACTTAAAAATAATTTTTTGTAACAATTCAAATGATAATAAATAACTCTCAATAACATATATACTATATGTTTGAACAAGTAATTTAAATGTAGATAATTTAATTACATTCAACATTCAATTTTGCATGTATAACTCCATCTTTCAAAACTACTTGTTTATTTTGGTATAAGTTATAAAACATTGACATTTCTGATGATTATTTTCCATACCAAATGTACAAGTTTGTTTAGATTAGCATCAAAATGATATGCTTTGCTTCATGGTATGATAATTTGATGGAAAAAAATTCTTACTGGAACCAACATCAAGAACACATTAATTTCTGAATATGGTTTAAATACAACTAATGTTCTCCAGCTGAGCCTTGCAATATTCAAGGTAATTTATACACTGTCCAACATTGCCCTTAAAATCTGGGTTATAACGCTAAAGTGCCCTTTCAGACAACTAGCACCCTTCTGCCCTGAGAATTAAGCTGGAACACTGCAAATGTTCCCTCCCAGAAAAGATATGATCAGACCTTGGACCAGCAATAATTTAAAACACTGTTCTGTGACATTCCCGCTTAGGGTTTTATTTAGCAATATGATTGTACATGTATGGTAATTAAATTTTACAGGACACTGAAATCACATTTTATACATCATGATAAGATTTGGCGAAATCAAATCAAGGAAAACTTTGAACTAAATGGTGAACTGTCATTAATGTTGAAATTTTGATTCATGTTTGTCTATATAAAACGTGTAAAATTTAGCTATTATAATAATATGAAACCAAAGTATGTCTTTTCCATTCTGTGTGAAACAATCTAGTGGTTGTCACAGGTTGCTGTCTTGATTTCTTCAATAATAAACAAAAAACTCACTTGTTCACCTAAAATCTTGTTTAGATCAAATTTTAATACATTTTGAAGTGTTCAAGAGGCCAGTTACATGTTATAATACCAAAGAAAAAAAATGAACTGATTCGTTTATTTGTATTTGAATAGAGGAAATAAATGGGGAATGTGTCCATGGGACACAGATGATGCCCCCGCTTGCATATAACTTTATAAAGGGATGTAACTCAAGAACGGTAAAAGTGACTCTATCCAAATTTGTACTTGAGTTTTGTGGTAATAAGCATTGTGCATAAGTTTCATAACATTTGGTTGAGGCAAACTCAAGTTAGAGAACAGAAATTAATATTTCAGGAATTTTTCCATTTGTAAAGGGGCATAACTCTAGCATGGTAAAAGTGGTGACCCCCCAAAATTCATACTTGACCTGTGTTTTGTGGTAAATTGGTAATAAGCATTGTGTAAAAGTTTCATAACATTTGTTTGAGGCAAACTAAAGTTAGAGAACGGAAACCAATTTTGGGACGTACGTACAGACAGACAAGGGTAAAACTTAATGCCCCCTCCGCTACGGCGGGAGCATAAAAATATTTTATTTGAAGCTTGATCTATGTAAAAGTTTTACTGTCACAAATATAGGTAAACTCAATTTGCGAAAGTAAAATTTTATGTAGGCAAAGATTTCAAATTCAATACAGTTATCTTTTAATTACATTATTATATTATATATATATCTATACATTGTTCTTTTCAAGGAGAAAGTGCAGAGCAGTATTTTTCTAGATTCTATTCATTTGTTATACACCTTTTGAATATATAAAAGGGTAAAATGTCCTCACTTATGATTTAGCAGATTCCATATATGAGATCAAATTGAAATGTAAATAACTTACCTGCAACAGTGACGTCAATGGATTCAGGTTTGATCCTAAAAAAAGAAAGCAAAAATAAAAATTGACAAAGACGATGCGCCAAAAGTAGGCTTGAATAAAGTGCAGCAAACATTACAGTGTGATTTACAGTATATAGAAGTCCATTTACTATGCGGAAACAGTATTTAAATGGGCTTTCACATACAACAACAGATGCAGTCAACAGTTTTTTTTAATAAATTATTTTGAAAGAAATATAATCAGTTTCTTGTTTTGCATTTAATTAACAAATAAAAAGGAACTTAAATCAGCATTGACCATGAACATTATATCTTAGCTGTCAGGACCCCCTTTTCTCTATGTATTTGTTTATACACATTTTTTTATACAATTTATAATATGAATACAAGTGTAAATTATTATTTTTAAAAAAAGGCATGGAAGGGGTAGTCAGCATGTTTTACTGTAAAATTAGGGTTAGAAAATCGATCTCGTTATGAGAAAGATATCTTTTCTTTTCCCAACAATCATTGAAATTCATTTAATCAGTTGTCATCCAATTATTTTTTTTATTAGTCACCTTGTTTCTGTACTTTTTGTATCCCATGAGTAAGGTCGCATTGTTTACTTTTACTCGTTATTTAGCCATGATGTGCTAAAATAAGCCCATCAGTTGTGGTCTGGTTAAATAAAGGACTTGTTGATCGGCCAATCAGGTTATTGGTATCAACTTACGAACAATACTTGGAATGACAACAACTGGTAACTACTATTGTTGCATTACTCTAATGGAGAAAATGACAGTGATCCTGTTTGCACATATACTAATACCCAACAAGGAAGTTTAATTTACAACACGGCAAGGTTAAAAATAGAACTATTGTAAACATATCGATCTCTCTCTAAAACATTTTTTTTGTGATTTTCAACATTATAATTTGGGAAAACGTACAATGTAGCTAGCTGATTTCTGTGCTATAGATGGAAAAAAACAAGATGGCTACCAGCTTCTATTGAAAGCCCTGAATTTGTAGATCTAAATTTGCTTGTTTCAATTTTACTTTATTTTGTTACAAGAGGCTGTAAAAATAGTTTCCCCAAAAAAATTTAGTAAATCCATAGCATATTGCAACTACAATACTCTCTATTACAGTTACGTGATAAATATTGATCAAGGTTTAAAACAACTTTTAACAAGCCTAGGGAAAAATAGCTTTGCAAGAATCCCCAAAATATGGAACAAGCTACCAGATAAAGTTATAAAAAGCTTCATCAATAAACGATTTTAAGAATAGACTGGCTAAGCACTGGGAATATGAAGAAATCTATTATTCTGATTATTGAGCTGAATTAATTATGAATTACCAGGAAGCAACAGAAATAATAGAGGTAATTCTCAATTTTACGTAAAAACATAATATATGAGTCTGGTGAAGAGGAACAGTGAGGATTCTGTACTGGAAAACAACATTAAGTAACATTAAGTTAGTAAGGTTTTTTTTCCATGATGATAGTTTTTGCTGTTTACACTTACTGTCTATTATTTTTGAAAATGACAAATCATAAACATGCTAAAAGTCAACCAAGGACTTTGTAATTATTGTCAATTTTGTAGATCTTGCATTGTAAATAATCTATGTTGTAAGTTGTATGCCAAGTAATGATATTATACTGGTAGGACTGATACTATGATACATCGAAAGAACACGGAAGCATGTACTATACCGGGTATATCCCATTATCTGTAAAGCCCCATTACTATGTCTCTATACAAATCTTAAATAATCTATTACCCTTCTTTTGCATTTCTAAATCTTAAAGTCAGTGTTTCTTCAACAATTCTATTATGAAATTCAAGCAAAATCATTTTTGCAGTGACTTTTTCCTCTGAAAAAGGGTGGGTTATTCCTTATTCCGGAACTGTTGTTTATTTCCAACATTACATTTCTGACACTTCTTTTCATTGGTCAATTTTTATACTGGTTGCCGATGACTTGTAAAATTCTTGTGTTTGCTCTATGTATGAAGCAAATAATTAACTCGCCAGATGGCAGTTTTTGATAAACGTAATTTTATTGGATAATCTATTTCTGATTTGAAAACAGCCGGGAAGACGGAAGTTGCTTTTATGGAACTTTTGAATGATAAAACCTATAAGTAAAATTTGGGTATACTAAAACAATAGGTATTTAACAGTAGACACACAATCGGCCCTTAAAATGATATATTAATAGTAGATAAAGAAAAATATCTAAGGGGCAGTTGAAGAATTCATTGTAAAAGACGCCCACAAACACAATCATAAAAAATTGTCAAATGCAGAACATTTAACACTGAAAACAGAAATATGTATCCTTTACTGTCCTCCACACCGTATTTACCTTTGCACAGTAAAAAGGTTAACAACACAAACATTTGTGCATGGTGAACTCTTTGACTTTTAAATTATTGATAAGATTGGTAGCTGGTATGCATCATTGACATTGAAGAATGAAGTGGGTCTAAGTGCGACATGCGATTGCCTGTTTTTTTAAGCGTGACACATGAAAGTCAAATTATTTTGCGTGAAAATTGGAAACGAAGTCGGGCGGGAAGTGAAATTACAAGAGCTATTATTGCAATGATAAGCGTGGAAGCAAGTTAACTTGTACCATTGCAAACTCATACCACGTCAACTCGTTCCAACTTTAATTCGTACCACTGCAAACTCGTACCATTAAAAAATATCTACAATATACGAATGTTTTATAATTTATTTTTTTTAATCTTTATAAAAAAAAGTTGAATTTCTTGAAATTTATACCAAAGTTTAATGAAAACATAGAAAATATACGATTGTTTTATGAATTGTTTTTGCAAATCTTTATAAAAAAATATATGAATTTCTTAATTACCATGTTAATTAATATGTTAAATTCCTTTGATTATGTGATAATTGTGTGATTATGTCTGTAGTTAACTAATCAACTTGTTTAATCCTATTATTAAATTATGATTGTTATCATATAATTTAACAGCTTGGAATTAATTGTATAATGTTTATTTTTAATCACGTTAAATTATAAAAACAAAGGGGATAAAAAAGACCTACCGTTAAAAGGCTTGTATAGTCCGCAGTTTTATTCTTCAAAATTGATCCTGACAGCAGGGGTGCGGACTATAGAGTACAATAAGCAAGATATTAGAGAGAAAATTTCAATTTCGCAATGTGGTTTGTTTACATTCCGCCATGTTTGTTATTGACATTGTAGAGGGCGCTCATCATTTTTCAAACCAATAATTTTACCCAATCCATATTAAGTTATTTTTATTCAATATCAAATTAATACTGATTAATTTAAAAATTAAATTTTTCATTACAAAATTCTCGTTTCTTTTCAATGCATTGCTAAATATAAACTGGTATCTGCTTGAATGAAATCGTACAAAAGAAGTAAAAAAAGACAACCGTAAACCAGCTTACGATGTGTAAACTACAAAACGTAATCGGTTATTATTCGTTCCGTTTTGGTGTTTCCTATTGACAAATATGTTTTGTATTAGCTTAAGACCCTTCAAACATTAATCTGATAGATATATTAAACACTGTTTTACATAAGGAGGGAACTGTTTTACTTTCAAAGTCGTATTATAGTGATATCTATTATGTACGGATTTCGACTCTCACCAGGTTTTTTCATCTTTTACATGTGCTTTTCAAACTCCCGATTTAAACAAACAAGTTTCTAAATTGTTTTTTGTGTGATTTAGACTTATTTTAACCAGCGTGAAGTGTTTTAGAACCATTTACATGCAGTTTCAGCTTCTGTTTGGTGATGGAAAATAGGTTTTTCCAAGAAAATACCACAAACGACCACACACAATTTAAAATTACCGAAGTTTCATTAGACCTTTTCTAACAGTTACAAAAAGTTTTTTTACCTGAAATTTCATGGGGAGAAGGGGGTGCGGACTATGTACCAGTGCGAACTATACAAGCCCGATTACAGTAAAACAATCGAGACCTATAAGCTTATTATGCTTTGATTATACATTAATAACTAAACTCTAGCTAAAAGATTATCTAAAATAATAAATAAATTGGTTGATATAAAACAAACAGGAGCGGGTGAAGACAGAATATATTTTTGATAATATTTTTTCGACTTTGGACATTCATGCCTAAATTGCTTGCCATGAAGAAAGGAAAGATGCCAAATGGCTACAGACGACTTTTCTCATCTACACAAAGCTTATATATACCTTACGTGTCCATGAAATTGAGGCACGGTCATCTAGTTCAGCAAGGAGTTGAATATTGTATATAAATAAATTTTATACTTTCTAAATTTTGGTCATAAACAATTTAAAACTTTTCAAAACAAGATAAATAAATTCTCTCAATAAATAAAATGCATTAAGAAACAATTATAAATACCAAAATCTATTCAATGTTTCTAATTTGTAATGAATAAAAATTAAATCAAATAGTTGTCAGTAAAAGTTAAATAATGGAACTGTTCAAGGGAGACAACAAAGCCAATCTGCCACAGTTTTTTTTATCCAATTATTCAGGGAAAAATCAGCTACAAATTGGTCATTGTCCTCAAATTATATACATATAACAGACTTAAGAGGTATTGAGCGAAATTTAAATATTTATTCATCATTAAACACATTCGAATACATTTAAATAAGTTGATACGAGTTTGCAATGGTACGAATTTACTGTGGTACGAGTTTGCAATGGTACGAATTTGCAGTGGTACGAGTTTGTTTTTAGTGGTACGAGTTAACATTAGTACGAGATAACTATAATTCGATAAGCGTGATATGGGATTCTGACAAAACAATAAGCAGGTTTCGGGATCAGACCCCCCAATGAGACCCCCATTGAAGTGCAAAATATCTTTATATACACCAATCTCAAGTTTTTTTTATAAATGAGTTGCACTGGTTGACCCTGTCATTTAACTATCAGTTCTTATACAGCAACGTAATAATACAAACATTTTGTGACATAGGAAATTTCGGGGAAAGTGCAAAAAGTCGTCTATTATTTATTTGATAGGGGCTCTTTGTAAGCCCACATGGCGATTGAAAATTATTATTATTTAAAATGAAATGATCCTGTATTTAGTGTAGTTTACAGAAACTCATATGTTTACCCAATCAGGATCTGTTTAAATGAACAACAATGCCAAAAACCAGTTTTGATACCTAGGCTATAAGTTTTTTTCGAAGCCTTGGATATTCACTCACTATTCGACTGATGAGAAGCTGAGGTTAGGCTAGGATCATCTGAATACGGACTGTGTTTTCACAACTTATTTTCATTTACACATGCATGTGTCAAACTCTTCTGGCTGTTCTATCTTATTAACCCTTTCACCGATAGCTGCCCAGACAAAAGCTACTCTGAGACGATGGCTTCCCAGGCTACTATTACTCAAGTGGGAGATCTTCATAATAAATGTTAATAAAAACTTGTCTGTAGTTATTTGTGTCTTTATTTCATTCACTAACACCATGTTCACAGTTTTGTTCATGTTTTGATAATTTTTTCTTCATAAAATATTCAAATTTTCAAATTTTCTGCATTATCTAGGTGAAATTCTCAAAATTCTGCTCTTTGACCCAAAATGGCAAAATTTTGAAAAATTTAATGAGGCTGTACAAATTCCTTACACTGAACGATGTCCATTCCAAGTGTTTTGTACATAAAACGACATTTTATGTCAAAAAAGTATACTAGTTTGGCTTCAATTCTTCCATATTCTTTCAAAAAAAATGTTCCCTCATTTCAAATTCTCGTAAATTCCGTAAATTTCCTCTGATTTTGACACGGTTTTCAACAAACGGAAGTGCCATGTTTACACTTTCATCCGGGTATTCAACAAAGAAAGATAACTCGTGTTTGCACTGTTTTGAGCGGGAAATATAAAAGAGGTATTCCGATCTCAGTAAAACGGGACTCATCGTCAGCTGTCTGAAGCGTGAATCCTGGTAAACCGGGACTCATCGGCGAAAGGGTTAACAGCTATTCTGTTATGCTGGCATGTTATGGTTTCTAACTTTGTTGTAGAAATATTTTGATCTGATCCTGTATACATGACCCCTGAGGGTATATTTGTCTCAGATTATATAAGCATATTAAAAAGATTTAAATGAAAATTGTTTTACTGTCTTAGATTATATATCCAAGATTTTGGTATATTTATTGATTTAAATGTCTTAATCTTATTTGTGCAGAATTTTCCATTACAGAATAAGTATTTTTCTTCTTGTTTTATTGCTATACCCCCATGGGTAGTCAAGGTCGTTAAACACCCCCCTATTAGTAGGTTTATCCTCGTATATTTTAAAGTCAAATGTATATTTCCGGGAATGTGTTGCCAGGCAAGCCTGAGCACACTCAGCAATCAGACTAAAATGCCATGTATTTGGTGAGTATAATGAACCATCCCCTCTTTTCTACTGATTCTAAACCATTAAAAAAAAATCCTGAATTAAAAAGAGCTGAATATTTTAAAGAATACATGTATGAGCAAGAGAAGTGATCATGACAATTTATGAAAGAATGGCAAACACAACCTTAACAATTATTATGAGAGTCATACAAGTTCCACTTTCTTAAGCCTTTTTTAAAGGGGTATTCATTTCTACAACTTTTTTTCTCTTTTTAATACTTGTTTTCTTTTCTATTATGACTTAATACCAGTGCAAACTCTAATTACAAAAGAAAATACATGTTAAGTTAACCATAAAAAAAATTTCAAGGTTAAAGAGCAATTCCAAAGAAATGCATTGTCCCTAGTATAGGAATGTATGAAAGTTAGAATTATACATTTATTTCCTTTCTTTAGACATGTTAGATTTTATTCAAATTTAGGAAAAGAGATTATTAATTCTGTAAAACATATTATTGCATTACTTTCTGTCTTAGTTTCCAATGATTATAGTTTATACACCACATATACATGTTATATTTTGATCTATCAAAATTTGATATTCTTTTTAATAAAGATTTATGCTGATTATTTGACTTTTCTTAAGCCTGTTTCTGTGTTACTTTCAATTGTTTTTTTTGTATGTGATTGTTAACATTTTTTTAATATTGCAGGTGACAATGGATACAAAGTTGACTTTCCTTGCAGCTTTTGATGACTTAATGAGGAATGCCAAGGTTCTTCAAGTTGGAATTGAGCCAGGTATAATCATATACAACATCCTTAGTCCTTACATGGGGCCGGCCAGGGGTGTTATTTACTACAGAGCTCTAGAAAATGACATAATGTATAAATGACTTTAAGCTAAAACAAATCATTTACAGCTACCATCTGAAACATCAAATCTGAACGAATAACAGATTATTCTTGGAGTTATGCAGTGCTATGAAATGATAGGAGAAATATTATATTTTTTTATTTATCAGTAAATGTTATGTATGAATAAAAAATGCATATAAATATTGATTTGGTAAATAAGTATTTAAAACAAATAAGGGCACCTCTTCAATGTCAAAAACAAACATGGTGTAATGTAAACAAAACATTGCTTGTAGTTTTCTATAATCCATACCCTTGCCTGACAAAGATGTATCCGGAAACATACCAACAATATCAGAAATGATATATATATATATTTGGAAAGAAATAAGCATTAAATATTGATGAAACATTTTTAAAAAGTAATATCTCTTTCAAATGTAGTTAAGAATAAGCCCTGATTTGTTTTTCAGTGTATTACTGCATTTGCAACTACACAGAAATTACATTTTTGTCGAGCCTTCGACTTTAGTCGAAAAAGCGAGACATAGCGATCCTACATTCCGTCGGCGGCGTCCACAAATATTCACTCTGTGGTTAAAGTTTTTGAAATTTTAATAACTTTCTTAAACTATACTGGATTTCTACCAAACTTGGACAGAAGCTTGTTTATGATCATAAGATAGTATCCAGAAGAAAATTTTGTAAAAATGAAATTCCTGTTTTTCCGTATTTTACTTGTAAATGGACTTAGTTTTTCTGCCGGGAAACATTACATTCACTCTGTGGTTAAAGTTTTTAAAATTTTAATAACTTTCTTAAACTATCCTGGATTTGTACCAAACTTGGACAGAAGCTTGTTTATGATCATAAGATAGTATCCAGAAGTAAATTTGTTCAATTTTTTTTTAATTTTTTCCGTATTTTACTTATAAATGGACTTAGTTTTTCTGCCGGGAAACATTACATTCACTCTGTGGTTAAAGTTTTTAAAATTTTAATAACTTTCTTAAACTATCCTGGATTTGTACCAAACTTGAACAGAAGCTTGTTTATGATCATAAGATAGTATCCAGAAGTAAATTTGATAAAAAAAAAAATTCATTTTTTCCTTATTTTACTTATAAATGGACTTAGTTTTTCTGCCAGGAAACAATACATTCACTCTGTGGTTAAAGTTTTTAAAATTTTAATTACTTTCTTAAACTATCCTGGATTTGTACCAAACTTGGACAGAAGCTTGTTTATGATCAAAAGCTAGTATCTAGACAGAAATTTTGTTAAAATTTTGTACCTGTTTATCCGTATTTTACTTATAAATGGACTTAGTTTTTCTTCCAGTTAACATTTAATACAGTCTGCAGTTAAAGTTTTTAAAACATTTATTAGATTCATAAACTATCATGGATTTATACCAAACTTTGACAGAAGCTTCTTACAATCAAAAGATAGTATCTAAAGGAATATTTTTATTGATTTTTTTTCATCATTTTTGTTGAGCCTGCGATTAACAGCAAAAGTAGGCGAGACACTGGGTTCCGCGGAACCCTTACGAATTTTTACATAACCAGTTCTCTGATTCATCACTTCAACAAATAATGGGATGTTAAGCAAACAACAATGAATCAACAACATGAACAATGTCTAATCAGTGATGCTTATTTAAAATACTGTAAGGGTGGCAAAATAACAATAAAACACGCTTTACCGTTTAAATTCATCAGGAAATTTATACATTACACTGATAATAGGTTTGTCTTCTACAATTCAATTCAAGTGTCCAGAAATAGCCAGGTGGTAGACTATTGGTATGTGCAAGTCTATTGCTGGGCTAACATTTTTTTTCAGGGCCCTTAAATTTACTTACTTAGGAGCCTACATGGCCTAGTTGGCTACTTCTGTCAAGATAATTTTAACCCCTGACGTTATGCACAATTGTAGTTTATTAAGAATTATATTATACCTTCATTTGCAAAAATGCAACTGGCCATCCTTGTCATAATAAGATATTTTAGAAAATAGTTTTATTTTTTTTTATGGTAATTTATTTTCAGAATTTAGAAGATTTGTTGGAAATCAACAAGAATGTCAAAGAAAATGGAGAGATGCTGAGGTGGAGCTGGACAGAATAAAGGAAAAAGTTAAAGCATTAGAGGAAGAAAACAGTTTATTAAAAACCAAGCTTAGACATGCACATGTCCAGATTGAAAGAGAAGCTGACGAAAGGAGGAGGATTGAACATAATAAATTGGAATTGGTTTGTTTTCATTAATGCAATTTACATACACGTCTCATGTATTCTATATGACAATATTTAATATGTATATAAGTTAAAGACTGCATAACGAACCATAGTTATTTGTTTACCTTTTTACTTCATTAAAATTTTAATTGGTCTGAATGAACTCGATGGGAACTAAACGAAGTATCTTTGTTTCTCTATGAAATTGACATCTTAATAAAAAGCAAACCAGAAACAGCATCAAATCAAATATATGCACATAATAGTATATCAAAACAAAAAGTACTTGAAAACATGATGGCAAAGTAACAAAGCAATATGGCACCTCTATTCAATAAAAATCTTACAAGGAAAATAACTTTTATGCATGAAAATTTTGGTATAACTGGTTACCTATTTAAATCATAAAGGAGTATTTCAAATTTGCACATCATGTTTGTAAATGCAGAAGGTAAAAAAAATATGAATGAATAACACAAGATTTTTTGTAGGTCAATATTGCACCTTTATCATGAAAATGAAAAAAAATGACAATGGAGTTTTCCATCCATATTTCCTTTGTTGAAACATTGTGCGCCTCCAAGAAACAACAAAATCATTATGTATAAACTTCATTATAGTTTTTTAAATAATCTCAGCAAATATAAAGTTGTTTTGGGGATATGCACATACTTTTCCAATCCAAACTATGCATAAAAAGAGGATGAAAAACGTGTAAAATCAATCAATTTAACAAAATGTGCAGATTTCGCCATGGATTGTTGCCATGGTAACTCATAAAATGTGGAGAGAAAAAATTTAAACACTTTGTTTAGTAAGGACAAATTAATGAAAACATGTGGTAACTTTTTAATTTGCACTAATATGTCTTCCTATGGACTTATACATTATGAACTAGCACTTCAAAAATGTAGCTCAGCATGACAGTCTTGTACATAGCAGGGTTCATATTCATATCATAGAAACATTTTCTTACATGACATGAATTCGATATTTTCCACTGGACACTAAACACTAATCAATCATGATAGTTTGTACATTTTTATGTAAAAAAAATGCTGGTTCTTGAATCCTAAAGCTTAATTTGAAAACACACACTGATCCTTTAAAGAAAAATTCCTAGATGGATTCTTGTAATATATAGTATATAGGGCATAGTAGTTAATCACTGTTTATTTTTCCAAACAGGACCAGCAGATTGGATTGGTAAGGGAATTGTTGTGTGATAAAAATAGTAAAAGTATGTTGCACGACCATGACAGAGAGAGACTTGCTTTCCTTAATACCTTTACACAACAGAAATCAAGGCTAGACACATCACCTTCTAGAAGGTAAGTAATCTCTTTATTTAAACCAATGCATAAAAAACAAAAATGCTTGTTGAACAGTACAGGATTTTGAAATAAACCCTTCTCTTTGGGAAGATTAATGACATTTTTATGCTCAGATCTATATTGCCTTATCAATAGAATACTTTCATCATCTCCATTTGCATTTGATTAGTTTCTAGTACAGAAACCTTTTTATTTGGGCAATAGTCAATACTTAGCTAACTTGATTTTTTAAATATATGCAAAAAAAAGAATGAAATAAGTAGGATACAAATGGCAAGATATGTCATTGTTATAACCAAACAAAATGCCACTTGGAACAAGCATTTCTCTTTTAAATCTCAACTTCTCCCTCTCATTTTAAAATGTGACTTCTCCCTTTGATTCTCAAGTAGTGTGAGCTCTGCAATTATAAAGCCATGATGACCAAGTAATGGCTTTTGAATAAGCTCAATTTTCTAGGATGTACACTCACTGTGAAACCTTTGTCTTTTAATAGAATTAATTTTTGTTATGCCTTATTTCAGATTAAATACAATAAATGAGTCAACACATTCTATTCTGTCTGACTCTGATTATGACAAGACAGAAGATGATTTACAAACAACATATCTCCGTAGTGGTCGAAAGTACAAACGGCCGTCAGCACCACCTATGGAGGAAGCTGAACCAAAAAGACGAAGAAGTGATGAAGAGGTATCAGGAATACATTTTTTGAAAGTACATTTATATATTGGTTATACAGTGTTTTCTTTTTGTTTTTGTCTGGCCTTGACACAGTTGCAAAGTTTAGACTAAAGCATGCTGTTTTCAATGATTGCAGCACCAACAATTTGTTAATTTATTAGGTCAGTTCAATGGGAAACATTAATGATAAGTCAATATTAAATGGAATGCAAGTATATTATCATTGACACATCTCATTTCCTTGAAGATTATTTGGCCCTTCAGTCATGGTCTTTTGACTGAAACTTTTTCTATGTTTAATTGTTAAAGTTTGTGATTAAGTCAATGTGAGGGGAACCACTAATTATGAATAAATGATATTTGGTATGCAGTTGTATAAGCAATGGCATATATCATTTCCATGAAGAGTAAACGTTATGTCATAGGCAGCGTGACGTCAACATGGGTTGGCTGCATAACTAGGTCAGTAGTCCTGTTCATTGACGACATGACGTGGTAGCCAAGTGATGCATTACTAAAATGAATGCCAATGATCAGCATAATAGGATAAAATCGTTAGTGGAATACATATTTAATGACAGACATCATGGATAATCTACAGAATTCAATTTTTCGCTGGGAACAACTACAGAACTAAGGATGTGATGTTCCCCAGGGTAATGGGTAGCAACGCCTGGGTATATGGTTTAGCAACACCCAGGGCTATGGGTTTTTAACGACAGCCATTAGCCAATCAAAATCCGAGAAATATACTAAGGTGGGGATAAAATACTTTATTATAAGTTTTCTTCTTTTTTCAAATAAACGATTTTTTGGAAAGCTAAATAAAAAAAAAATTACTAGACAAAGATTTTTATATTTTTATTTATGATGGAAAATTTGAATATTTGTTATAGAAAGAAAGTTCTCTGATCACAACAACAACAGTGACACTAGATGCAGTAGGTAAACCAATAGCTGCCACAACAAATGTTACTTCAGGTCCTCAAAGGAAACTAAACAAAAGTTTTAGTGAACCAGCTCTTGACAAGTATGGTTCCCCAACAACAAGAATGGCAGGTATAGTAAGATAAACTTTGTTAAATTCAGCTTATTCACCAGAAAGAAAAAAGTAGTTACTGTGGATTCATTATTATTCGTTGGATACCAATTTTCGTGGATTTCAAGGTTATATGTTAACCACGAAATTAAAAGTTCAACGAATGGCAAATTTACTATAGGCTTGTATGCAGACATTGTCAAAAACCACGAAATTAAATATCCACGAACATGTAAGTTTTCCTTAATCCACGAAAATTGGTATCCACGAAAATAAATGAATCCACAGTATTAAGTATATACTATACATGTCTATCCACAACTTATACAGCAGAAATGGCTATGTCAATGTTTATATATGAGAAACCCCAAAATTTAAAGAGCAGCAGCACAACTTCCTGTTCTGTATCTTAAACATAATAAGTATTTTCCAAGTTAACACATAGGATTTTCTCTAAAATTGATGTGCAAAATGAAACCAAATGTGTCAAAATGTATGGCTAGATCATATTCTATTAACAACAGCTGTACTGTCTATCAGGCAATGGAAGCTTTCACATTAAACTGTAGAATATGCAGATGGACTTCTGTTTCTAGTCCAGTTTCACCCCTTTTTGTCGAGCCTTCCACTTTTGTCGAAAAAGCGGGACATAGCGGTCCAACATTTCGTCTTCGTTGGCGGTGTCCACAAATATTCACTCTGTGGTTAAACTTTCTTAAACTATCCTGGATTTCTACTAAACTTGGACAGAAGCTTGTTTATGATCATAAGATAGTATCCAGAAGTAAATTTTGTAAAAAAAAATCCTGTTTTTCCGTATTTTACCTATAAATGGACTTAGTTTTTCTGACAGGAAACATTACATTCACTCTGTGGTTAAAGTTTTTAAATTTTGTATAACTTTCTTAAACTATCCTGGATTTGTACCAAATATGGACAGAAGCTTGTTTATGATCAAAAGCTAGTATCTAGAAGGAAATTTTGTAAAAAAAATTCCTGTTTTTCCGTATATTACTTATAAATGGACTTAGTTTTTCTTCCAGTTAACATTACATACAGTCTGCAGTTAAATTTTTTAAAACATTTATTAGATTCATAAACTATCCTGGATTTTTACCAAACTTGGACAGAAGCTTCTTACAATAAAAAAATTGTATCTAGAGGAATATTTTTATTAAATTTTTTCCTCATCTCATTTTTGTTGAGTCTGCGATTAACAGCAAAAGTAGGCGAGACACTGGGTTCCACGGAACCCTTACGAATTTTTCTTAATTACTTAATTTGGCTGCTGGCTTGATAACGAAATTGTCCGTTGTAGAAAGGACTGAGAGGTACTTTTGCATGTAAATACTTTAATACAAGAGAAACCTGTCCAGATAAGGGAGTGGCCATCCCTAAAAGGGGCTGTTTCATACAGGAACGACGTTATTAGTTCAGGGGTTGAATAAGAATTTTGATATGAGGCAGGTGTGCCTGTAAAAAAGGGCAAAGTCTGTATTATTTTCATGATACTTTTTTGGTAATCAGATATACAAATTTGCAGGGCATCATAAAGCTTTTTCAACAAGGAGGCCTCCATCAACATGAAAATGCGCAAGTGCAAATTTAAAAAAAATATTTAGTTGTAGATAAGACTCTGTTAATTTTTTTTACATTCACAGATAGTGAACCTGAATCCGATGATTCTTGTTATGCTACACCTGGCAACAGGAATAACAACAGACGCAAATCTAGAAGTAGAAGAACAACATCAACAGCAGAGTAAGTTACAGATTTAGATCAATTAGTCATTAGATTGCTCCTACTGCAATAATAGCGGAAAGAAAAACTTCTGTTCTCATTTTTGTGTAGTTTATTATACCCCCGCTTTAAAAAAGTGGGGGTATACTGTTTTACCTCTATCTGTCCGTCCATCCCATGAATATTTTTCGGCGCATCTTTCTCAGGAACAACATCATAAGGATTTCTGAAATTTGGTTTCATGGTTTATATAAGTCAGCTATGTCGTGAGATGCGTTTTCAGATTCATCAATCAACAACTTCCTGTTTACCGAAAACTTACATCATTTTACACATGACATCCAAGTAGTTGAAAATTTTCGTCATATTTATCTCAGGAACTACATTACAAGAATTTCTGAAATTTGGTTTCAGGGTTTATATGAGTCAGCTTTACCGTGTGATGCGTTTTCAGATTCATCACTCAACCACTTTCTGTTTACCGAACACTTACATTTGGGCGCTGGTATCATCAGTGAGCAGTAGCTCGCAGTTTCACTTGTTTACAACATATATTAACATCAATCTTTTAGTTGGAATTCTGAAAAAAAAATTAGGGATCAAAGTTTTATTTCTTGAGAGCGAGCCTAAAACATGTAATATGTTAAAGCTCTTTTCAGTGCATTATACATAAAACAATGTTACAATTGTTTTCATAAGGATACTTCGGACATTCTTCAATCTTGATTTCAAGGATGAATGATTTTACAATGCATTATACAGCTTCCTTTCATTTAATGTTTAATGTACATGTATAAAAAACCATGAAATTTGAAATAAATAATAGTTGTATGTGAATTGATTACAATACATGAATGAGATAAAACAAAATTAACAACACCAGTACATGGTCAATCAAGCAAAAACCATAGGTGAACAGGGAACACTAAAGGTGTGTGCCATATAAACTCCAAAAAAAGAAGAGTGCTGCTTTCACCCTTCTTTCAGTTGGTAGTTCTCTGCTTGGTGTTGTGTGCCCTTAAATGTCAAATGTGAAACTCAAGCATTATCCAGATAAGTAATAGTTGGTTGTATGTCTTTCTTATAGAATTGCAGATTATTTTTATGCCCCACCTAGGGGCATTATGTTTTTCAGTCTGTGCGTCCATTCGTCTGTCAGTCTATCCCGCTTCAGGTTAAAGTTTTTGGTCAAGGTAGTTTTTGATGAAGTTGAAGTCCAATCAACTTGAAACTTAGTACACATGTTCCCTATGATACTGTGGAATCATTTATTTTCGTGGGTACCAATTTTCGTGGATTGAGGAAAACTTGCATATTCGTGGATATTTAATTTCGTGGTTTTGGCCAAGTCTGCATACATTCCTTTAAAAAATTTGTAATTCGTTGAACATTTAAATTCGTGGTTCCCCTGTACCCACGAAATCCACGAAAATTAGTATCCAACGAATATTAATGAATCCACAGTAGGATCTTTCTAATTTTAATGCCAAATTAGAGTTTTGACCCCAATTTCACTATCCACTGAACATAGAAAAGGATAGTGCGAGTGGGGCATCCATGTACTTTGGTCACATTCTTATTTTTTATAAAATAAGATACAGTATTCATTTTTTTTCAGCACTCCTGGAATGAGAAAAGCTCTATCTGCCAGTAAAGGTCTAAATAGAGTACATTTCTTCATATCAAAAACAGTCATTAAACCAGAGACCTGTACACCAGTAAGTATACACATGTGTTACTAGTTATACACATGACTGTAAGTAAGTAAGTGTCTATGTCTTTTCACTGAAAGTGGTAAGATAGGCCAGCCTTATTTGTTATAGTTTGACGAAAAAGAACGACAAAATAGAAAAGATGTATTGAAGACTTTGAAATTTCTATAAGAACAAAGTCAGTGGCACCAAAATTTACCTGGAAGTGTTGATATACATGTAGGCAGACCTTTTATCTCCATTAATGGGCAAATAAAATTCACTGAAAAATTCTTAAGAAATGCAAGCGTGTGTGTGTGATTGGAAGGCATTTAACATTATTAAGTGAAAAATAAACATTAAAACTACTTTGTTCATGTGTATTTCTATAGGACATAAATGGATCATTTCCATAAACATACTTTTCATCTTGAATAATTTTCTTTTCAGTGTGGTAAAAGAATAGGGTTTGGAAGAATGGCAATGAAGTGTAAAGGTATGAAACGTTTTTTTTTAAACTTACAAGTGTTATCATTTATCAGCAAAAAAGTTCAGTATGTGGCAACAAACCAGACAAAAGCTGAGATAGTACAGCATTTCTTATTGCCATACAAAAGCAGTGATAAACTATCAATTTGATGACAGAAAAATAGATGCAATTCAATTCCATAACTATTAAACATCTTTTGAAAGTATTACTGCTATTTAAATCAAATGTAGTTGCCTCATGTCTTTGTATGTCACTCAGATATAAGACTTCATTTATTGCGAACCAAATGAAACTTTTCCACAGATTCATCTATTGTTCAAACTATCTAAACTTTTGTCAGTTCTATTGTCCCATTGAATAAATCCAATAGCTATTGTTCTCTGTGTAGTTTATTCACTTGGACCTTTAAATTTCTTCATCACTCATTGATTAATTTACCTGAGTAAAAAAATTGTCTTCTAAATAGATGAAAATACATGTTTTACACTCACAAAACTGCATGGGAATTTGTATTTATTCAAATCAATAATATATTTTCAATCTGTTGAATGTAAACAGTGATTCAAACATTAATAAAAGTTGATTTCTGACAAAATTTTCAACATTGTTTCTATTTAAATTTCTAATATAAAAGATACTATCAAACATGAACATTACTAATCTGATATCTTTGTAATGAATGACATTTCAGACTGTAGAGCTTCATGTCATCCTGATTGTAAAGACAGCTTACCACTTCCTTGTATACCTACAGCACCTAGTACACCTGGTGGTACGAAATTAAGTGGAGTAAGTCTCTCAGTAAACTTGCACATTATCTTACTCAACATTTAAGATTTTGCTGTATGTTTTAAAATTGAGGAGTCTCTGCAGTTTCAATTTATATTGTCATTTTTATGATTTTGATATATACGTAGTTAATCGAGATATAACATCATAAAATTAACCATAAGTTTCCATTTTTGTTTTACAGTTAATAGAGGTTCAAAATTGGGAATTTTTGATAATTTGTTGAAATGTTATGGCATGTTTAAGATTTTTAAAACCAGTATTTTTAGTAATAATGGAGCCAAATTTGATTTATTTAAAAAGCAATGATAAATGTGCATCAGCTAAAAATTAAATTATTAAAAACATGTCAGCAGATTTTTTCCATTTCTTGGGTGTAATTTTTGTGTTACTTCAAAAGTAAATTAAATGTTTGGAAATTTATTGAACAGTTACTTGGCTTTTGTATTGTATATTTTTTTTTTTTTTTTACATGACTCTGTGTTTATAGAGATTTTTGAAAAGATTACATAAATAGGATGTGTGAACATGCTAAGATTAGAAGAAACCCAAAAACGTACCTTGATAGCTTTTTTTTCCCAATTGTAGCCTCATATTTTGCAAGAAAACATTAAACAAAGCCTCCCACCAAATTCTAAATGCAAAGCTAAAATTACCATTAATTATTGAAAAAATAAATCATCTTTTTGACTTATAATTGACAAAGAATATCTTTGGTTACTTAATAGATGTAATATTTATTTATTTATTATGCAAATTTTAAGTCCTGAGATAAGATTCCATTATACAACGTCATCTAAAACACAACTAATAACAATGAGACAGTTAACATTCATTCACTCGTAAAAAATTATATCCCCTCACACTTTATCAACCCTCAAGAGTTTAGAAATGTGGTGATCTTACAGGCTATAACAGAAGAACAGTTTAATGAATTTTTAGATTGATTTTAAACTTATACAGATGGCGTTATGTAATTTAATCTTCATAATATGAGAAGATCTGTGGACATTACCCAGAGGTGATATCAGCAATGCTAATTTTCAACATTAATTATCAACATAATTTCATCTTTCAATAGAGACTGGCAAAAAAAAATCAGATTGTTTATTGCAGATTGTTTATGAATTCCCCAAAAATTTATTTATATGTTTCTTTAGTTTTCAGGGCTGGTTTTTGAGAATTTCATTTTTGTATGATTTTTTGTAGGGATTATTATCTGACTACACACCATTAGATCCACCATATATTCCAGGAATAGTCGTAAGTTTTTACTGTACAATCATGTGTACCATTTCTTAGACAAAAGCAAAACATGAAAAAGGTACGAGTTTGCAAGGATAGGAAAAGCTTCTGACATTTCAACTTATTTATACTTGCAGATCAGCATTGGTTCAATGTTGTCTCTTGAACATGGAAAACATGCACATTTTTGTTTGAAGCATCACTATGTGTAACTTAACATGCAATATTTCTGTAGCTGAAAATCCTACATATTTTAATTCACATGGCTAAATTGCCAGTGGGAGCTATTGCCATCACAGTTTCATCTGTTTCTGTTATAAAAAAAAAATAAAAAATTTCCTCTCAACCTTCCCCAAATTAAACCGAATCCTAGCAGTTATCCTTTTGGTTAGTAGATTAAAAAGAAATATGTGTTGTGCAACGGTTCAAAATTAAATGATATTTAAGACTTAAAATTGCCAAGTACTGAGGAATTGATCATACTGTATCACTAACGATTTGGAGTGAAAAATATCAACCAAAAGTTTCAAGTTGATTATAGATTGTAATATAATAAATGAATTTGATTAATGAAATGGGTTTGTTTTAACAGATCAAATGTAGAATATCTTCATAATTTTAAATAAAGACTAATAATTATAGAATAACTATTCAAAGAATTCAAATATTGAAAAATATTCAACAAGAGACCTAACAAAACATTAACTCTTGAATGCGGGTAGCGCATAAGTTAATTATCAGTGTTGTTCGGTCACAAAGTGAATATTTTTCGATATTTGAAATATTTGATTAGTTATTCGTTTTATTACATTGACAAAAAGTTTTTTAATGGAAATGAAATAGAAAATGCAAGGGACTATATCTTTTTCTACGCAATCATAATTTGTTTTGATGTAACATCATCGACAATGTCTTGACAACACTTATTGTTATATGACGTCAGAGGAGTGAAATTATCAAGTTTATTTCACATGTGAAATTATCAGTTTTTATTTCACTGGGAAATCACAGTAATTCATTGCAAACAATGTAATAAATGTGATTTAACATGATTTGTTAACTTTTTTACCCATGTTATTTGGCCTGAAATTATTGTGAATTCTAGGATTAAGCATTTAATCTTGTACTTGTTTGAAAAAGGGGCACTTGCATGCATTGGTATTGCGTAAAAAAAAAACCATGTTCACATTGTGAAAAATTAGTTTTTGGATTCTTATGAACTTAAAAAAAAATGATTTTAATCCTAAAATATTAATATATTTTCTGAAAATTTCTGTGTTTCTGTATGGACTGTGCTCTGACATCCCAAATTTCACGGCAAGTCCTAAAATGGGTGTTGGATGTCAGAGGAAAGTGTCAAGAGTGGAACTAAAAAAAATTATTTGTCAAAATTTTAAGAAATTGAGAGACCATAATTTGCCTATTCATACCATTAAAAAATCTATGAATATGTAAACAATATATAAATGATGTTGATTTGTATAACAGGTACACTGTGTTAATGAAGTAGAAGCTAGAGGCCTGAATGAAATTGGTTTATACAGAGTGCCTGGGTAAGTGTTAAAACATAAAACTAATAAATCAAAAAGTTTTATGAAAAATTATGAAAACTGGATAATATCATAAATTATTAAGGGAATCTCAATACTTTATTACTGATTGCACCAATAGGTAGTTGGCAGTTATGTAGTACAGATATCAGGTTTACAATAAACTTGGGTTGATTGTATAGAATATAATCTTCATTCTTACTTTGTACCTACTTGAAATTTCCTCTCAAATTATGTTTCAAATTGTCAAAATACCTTTGATAATACCTTTTTTATTCAAGGAATAACGAAAAACAGAAATTTTTATCAAGTAATGAAAAATATTGAAAAAATTGAAAAATAAGGGTAGCATCTGATATTTTTTTTTCCTCACTTTTCTGTATTTAGTCATTCCACAGGTGAAAAATATCTAAAACATTGTAACTTATTCTGTGGGTAATTTTTTGGGAATTCTTTTTTCAGAGTTATAGTCCCGTGTTGGGAATTTAAATTCCTTTATTATGACATAATTCATCAAAAACCAAACTAGTAACAATAGGATATTGAAGTTCATAATCGGGTCAACAGTTATCTCCCCTGAATATATATATCGACTCCCCAAAGAATTGTGAAATTATTTACAATTTGTTAACTGATATCTGTTTTAGATCTGACAGTCAAGTTAAAGAATTAAAGAAAGATTTCTTCAAAGGAAAGGGTATTCCAAATCTGGTAAGTTGTTTTTGCCTCGCCTCTGCAAGACATTTATGATAAAAAAAACTTAAAACATTCAGTTCTAATTAGTTTTATTTTATTTGTAAATTTATTCTTTTCTGTAGTGGTTTATTTTCTGGAATACAAAGAATGAGGGAGAACACACCACCCATGTATAACTTTTTATCCTAAATTGGAGATATATCTATTATTATATCTTTTATTTCAGTCGCATATAGATGATATACATGTAATATGTGGTTGCATCAAAGATTTTCTTCGAGGATTAAAAGAACCTCTAGTCACATATGGTCTATGGAAGGACTTTGTACATGCAGCAGGTAAATATACATATTTATGACAATGTCCTTGCCTATCCTGCAACAAAAGTCTATGCAAGATATAAAACATGCAAATTTGGCAGTGGCAATGCCCTAAACTATTTGTATAAAGCTTCATATTTCAGAAGGTAGAAGACCTGGATACTTCATACCTTGTATACAGTTCCTTATGTTCTAAAGTTTCAGTCTATCATATGACAATTGTCATTGACCTCATTTTCATGGTTCAATTGATGCCTTAAATAACTGTGTAGCTTTTCTGTCACTTTAATTCATCTTTTATTATGAGTTATTTGATAACCATATTTGGTAAAGGACTGATTATTGAAGGGTCTTTTTCTCGGATACTGTTAGCAATAGGTCAATTATATTTGTTGTATGGAATAACTATAAGGTGTACATGTCCACCTAGCAGGTTTCATCTGACCTTGATTCATTTACATAGATCATATGTAGTAAAAAATTTACCTTAAAGACGTTCAACATGAATTTAATCATAATTTATAAAGCAGGAAATACATTTCAGCATATGCACTCTTGTAAATAATATCCACCTCTGTCATTTCTGTATTATAAAGCTTAAAAAAATATTCAAAACATTTTCTTTAATCTAATCATGTAAAATGATGATATGATCTGTCAGAGCTAAACTAAATCTTAGCTAAGTTTATTTTAAAATTGTATAAAATAGCATATAATATTTGTTCTTTGTGTATTTAAGAGAACAGAGATAAATGTATGGGTGAATCAGAGGTCTACCAAGCCATCAGTAAATTGCCAACACCAAACAGAGACACACTAGCATTCCTTATACTACATCTGATACGGTAGAGTATTTTGGTCTAAAAGGTTTTTTATGTAGATCAATTGTGTTTGAGTCAAATATATATATGGGTTTAAGTAATGCTGTATGTATAATATAGGAAAGTAAACATTTCACAAGGTACAAATGATGGCACACACAAACCAGTTCATAGTGTAAGCCCTAAAGTAGATTTTTATGCCCCACCTAGGAGCATTATGTTTTTTGGTCTGTGCGTCCGTTTGTCCGTCCCGCTTCAGGTTAAAGTTTTTGGTCAAAGTAGTTTTTGGTGAAGTTAAAGTCCAATCAACTTGAAACTTGGTACACATGTTCCCTATGATATGATCTTTCTAATTTTAATGCCAAATTCGAGTTTTGACACCAATTTCACGGTCCACTGAACATAGAAAATGATAGAGCAAGTGGTCAGGTTAAAGTTTTTGGTCAAATAATAATAATAATGAGTGTAAGATGCCTTCCAGTAACCTTGCCAAAGTGTTTTGTCCAACAGTCATAGGATATTTATTTACATTACAGGGTATCTGAGTGTAAGCCGTGTAAGATGCCTTCCAGTAACCTTGCTAAAGTCTTTGGTCCAACAGTCATAGGATATTTATTTACATTACAGGGTATCTGAGTGTGAGGAGTGTAAGATGCCTTCCAGTAACCTGGCCAAAGTGTTTGGTCCAACAGTCATAGGATATTTATTTACATTACCAGTGATCTGGAAGGATTTTTTCTCTATGGGCCCAGGGCCCCATAAAATAAATTCAATGGGCCGTTTTTGTCGAGCCTGCGACTTTTGTCGCAGAAAGCTCGACATAGGGATAGTGATCCGGCGGCGGCGGCGGTGTTAGCTAACTTCTTAAAAGCTTTATATTTTAGAAGGTGGAAGGTCTGGATGCTTCATACTTTGTATATGGATGACTCATGTTACGAAGTTTCCGTCAGTCACATGTCCAATGTCCTTGACCTCATTTTCATGGTTCAGTGACTACTTGAAAAAAAAGTTCAGATTTTTTGTAATGTTAGATTCTCTCTTATTATAAGTAATAGGATAACTATATTTGGTATGTGCGTACCTTGCAAGGTCCTCATGCCCGTCAGACAGTTTTCACTTGACCTCAACCTCATTTCATGGATCAGTGAACAAGGTTAAGTTTTGGTGGTCAAGTCCATATCTCAGATACTATAAGCAATAGGTCTTGTATATTCGGTGTATGGAAGGACTGTAAGGTGTACATGTCCAACTGGCAGGTGTCATCTGACCTTGACCTCATTTTCATGGTTCAGTGGTTATAGGTAAGTTTTTGTGTTTTGGTCTGTTTTTCTTATACTGTATGCCATAGGTCTACTATATTTGGTGTACGGAATGATTGTAAGGTGTACATGTCTAGCGGGCAGGTGTCATCTGACCTTGACCTCATTTTCATGGTTCAGTGGTCAAAGTTAAGTTTTTGAGTTTTGGTCTTTTTTTCTAATACTATATGCAATAGTTCAACTATATTTGGTATGTGCGTACCTTGCAAGGTCCTCATGCCCGTCAGACAGTTTTCACTTGACCTCGACCTCATTTTATGGATCAGTGAACAAGGTTAAGTTTTGGTGGTCAAGTCCATATCTCAGATACTATAAGCAATAGGTCTTGTATATTCGGTGTATGGAAGGACTGTAAGGTGTACATGTCCAACTGGCAGGTGTCATCTGACCTTGACCTCATTTTCATGGTTCAGTGGTTATAGTTAAGTTTTTGTGTTTTGGTCTGTTTTTCTTATACTGTATGCCATAGGTCTACTATATTTGGTGTATGGAATGATTGTAAGGTGTACATGTCTAGCGGGCAGGTGTCATCTGACCATGACCTCATTTTCATGGTTCAGTGGTCAAAGTTAAGTTTTTTGAGTTTTGGTCTTTTTCTAATACTATATGCAATAGTTTAACTATATTTGGTGTATGGAAATATTTTATGATCTATTTGGCAGTCACGCAGGTTTTATTTGACCTTGACCTCATTTTCAAGGTCCATTGCTCAGTGTTAAGTTTTTGTGTTTTGGTCTGTTTTTCTTAAACTATAAGCAATAGGTCAACTATATTTGTTGTATGGAAGAATTGTTAGCTGTACATGCCTGCCTAGCATGGTTCATCTGACCTTGACCTCATTTTCATGGTTCATTGGTCAATGTTTAGTTTACTTGGTTAATGTTAAGTTTATGTGACAGTTGTAATAAAGCTTTATATTTAGGACTATCAACATAATATCAATGATTAGTAAAGAAGGCGAGACATTTCAGCGTGTGCACTCTTGTTAGAATTAATGGGCCATGTTGTCAAATGAGTGGGCAATTCGTTTACAATCAATAATAAAATGTATATTTCAGCAACGAGGCAGTGGTACTTACAGTACCTGTATGATTCTAATTGATATCATGGATATTGTTCCTGTGCTTTGTAATTTCAATTTCAATGAATAAACAATAATTTCTTCCAAACCGGGCAATATTTACGATAACATTTATTTACAACTGGTACTGTTGCCTTGTTCATGTTCATGTTTTTCTTTACATTAAAGTTGGGTCTTCGTCGATTGCCATACTTTATTCAAGACGTTCCGTATTAGAGGACATTTCTGGCATTTCCTCTGCACTTCTTGTATTATTATTACTTCATCGCGATGACAAGAATAACAGTAGAGAGTAACGTTAATTGATAAAACACAACAACAATTCGCTGAAGGCATGTTTACAAAATGTTCAAACAAGCCAAAGACCAAAAAATTGACAAGGACAGTTAAGCGCCTTTTATGGAAACAAATACTACATTCATAAAAAGGCTTTTGGGTTTTTCAATCGAAATAATAGCAAGCTTACTTAAAAGATTATAATTAGAGAAAAAATTTCGACTGTACTAGCCAAATTTCACAAATTTAAAGTTGTTTATAAAAATTTATATCATGAATGATGGTTTATTACGTATTTTGGGTAATCAGTTATACCGCATGTTGCTATTGTTTCCATAGAAAAAAACGCCCGAGACGTCCCAAAAATCAATAGGTGGTGCTCCTATCATTGGAGGGAACACTACACAGTTTTGTACACACACATGGCGACACGATTCACGATTGGAAATCCATTTTACGATATCTAAAGATTGAAAACGAAGTGAAAAATATCGTGCGCCATGTGGGCGCTTACATTTGTCACCCTATGCGACATATATGGTTGAAAAGCGCAATTGGCGCATGGCGCACGTCCTTCCCGATCACTGCATTACAGGGTATCTAAGTGTAAGGATTGTAAGATGCCTTCCAGTTACCTTGCCAAAGTGTTTGGTCCAACAGTCATAGGATATTTATTTACATTACAGGGTATCTGAGTGTGAGGAGTGTATTTAAAGATGCCTTCCAGTAACCTGGCCAAAGTGTTTGGTCCAACAGTCATAGGATATTCTCTATTTACATTACAGGGTATCTAAGTGTAAGGATTGTAAGATGCCTTCCAGTTACCTTGCCAAAGTGTTTGGTCCAAGAGTCATAGGATATTTATTTACATTACAGGGTATCTGAGTGTGAGGAGTGTATTTAAAGATGCCTTCCAGTAACCTGGCCAAAGTGTTTGGTCCAACAGTCATAGGATATTTATTTACATTACAGGGTATCTAAGTGTAAGGATTGTAAGATGCCTTCCAGTAACCTTGCTGAAGTGTTCGGGCCAACAGTCATAGGATATTTATTTACATTGCAGGGTATCTGAGTGTAAGGAGTGTAAGATGCCTTCCAGTAACCTTGCTAAAGTGTTTGGTCCAACAGTCATAGGATATTTATTTACATTACAGGGTATCTGAGTGTAAGGAGTGTAAGATGTCTTCCAGTAACCTTGCGAAAGTGTTTGGTCCAACAGTCATAGGATATTCTCTATTTACATTACAGGGTATCTGAGTGTAAGGAGTGTAAGATGCCTTCCAGTAACCTTGCTAAAGTGTTTGGTCCAACAGTCATAGGATATTTATTTACATTACAGGGTATCTGAGTGTAAGGAGTGTAAGATGCCTTCCAGTAACCTTGCTAAAGTGTTTGGTCCAACAGTCATAGGATATTTATTTACATTACAGGGTATCTGAGTGTAAGGAGTGTAAGATGCCTTCCAGTAACCTTGCTAAAGTGTTTGGTCCAACAGTCATAGGATATTTATTTACATTACAGGGTATCTGAGTGTAAAGAGTGTAAGATGCCTTCCACTAACCTTGCTAAAGTGTTTGGTCCAACAGTCATAGGATATTTATTTACATTACAGGGTATCTGAGTGTAAGGAGTGTAAGATGCCTTCCAGTAACCTTGCTAAAGTGTTTGGTCCAACAGTCATAGGATATTTATTTACATTACAGGGTATCTGAGTGTAAAGAGTGTAAGATGCCTTCCACTAACCTTGCTAAAGTGTTTGGTCCAACAGTCATAGGATATTTATTTACATTACAGGGTATCTGAGTGTAAGGAGTGTAAGATGCCTTCCAGTAACCTTGCTAAAGTGTTTGGTCCAACAGTCATAGGATATTTATTTACATTACAGGGTATCTGAGTGTAAAGAGTGTAAGATGCCTTCCACTAACCTTGCTAAAGTGTTTGGGCCAACAGTCATAGGATATTCAGTACCAGATCCTGAACCTTTACAGATGATTAATGAAACAAAATACCAAGCAATGGTAAGGGCTGTTGATTGGGTAAAGTATTGAAGCATTTCTTTCAAAAACTATGTTTCATTAAGGTCAGATTGTGTCTTCCAGAGAAATTTTTCAATAGGTTTGTTTTATTGAACGAAACTCATTAAGTAGATAAACTGTTTAAAAAGTTTTAAGTATTAAGGCACAAACAAACAAAATGATAAAGTTCAGTAGTAATTTTTACCTGCGTCACCTTATTTGTCTTGTAACCGCTCGACTCCGTCCGTCTGAAAGAAAACTTTAATGAAAGTTTTCTTGGCTTTTATAGAAGGGAATGATTTGATATTTGGTATGCAGCTTGATTACGTTGAGTTGTAGTGAGTAAGCAACTTTTACATCTGCCGCTTAGCCACTTCCTGTTTGCCGATAGTTTGAAATTTGACAACACTCATTGTACAAGAAAAGATTTTGTCAAAAGTTTTCTTTGCATCAGTGAATTGGAATCAGTTATGCTCCAGTATATATATTACTTCAATCAAATGCATGCAGTGATGCAGATCCAGACCCATTACTGGTCTTGTTCTCTGATGTAGGATTATTTATAAGAACTTGACAACTGGTGATGAAATAAAGGAAGAAATAAAAGCAGTTCTTAAAAAAAATCTAATATACTCCCACTATAAGAGTGAGGGCTATATTGCAATTACCTTGTCCGTTCTTTTTCCAACAAATATTTTCATCACTTTTGTCAGAAACATCTATACAGAGTGACTTCATATATGGTCAGCAGCATGACAGTGATCGGTTGTAACTTATGAGCATTTTTTTGGCTATTTCAGATTCAGATACATTTTTCCTGCTTGCAGATGCTTTGCCTTAGAAAAAGTGTTTTTTTTTTTTTTTTAATAGGTGATGGACAAGTTTTTTGAGATTCCAGAGAGTTACTGGGAGAAGTTCCTGAACATTGATGAAGAAAATTTATATCCAAATACATACAATACTCCAAAGACACCAGATGGTTTGTACTTTATGGGAGTACCTTATAGGGTTCATAGTAGATATGTATAGTCTTTTTATATGATCAATCTAATTGCAAAGCTTGAGCGGGGGCTTAAAAAAATACAAAATCGATTTTTTTTTTCTCTTACAGAAACCAAACAATTTGTTTTTATTTTGTTATGTTGTTTCACATGCTATAAATGTTTGGTGTAATGGGCATAAAGCTTATAACAATGAATTGAAGAAATAACATATAGTTATTAACTCTTATTAGTGTTTTTTATTTGTATATTGTGTTGGTCATATATTTAGCTTGAAAATGTTGTTCGTGCAAAATTTCCCCCTAAGCTGTCATAGTTGAGGGGGAGATCTCCCTCTTTGAAGGTTTCAGAGGTTGGCAGGTATGGGAGGAGAACATTTTTTTACCATAAAGTAATCTTATTCCAAAGTTCGGTTAATTGATGCTATTCAGGATTTTGATAAACTTTCATCAAATTGGAATGGCATCTTTTAACTCCCACAATGTAAAATACATTTGATGAATAATTAAACTTTACAATGAATCTTATTTATTTCAGAACGGTAAGGATTATAGGAACATACCTAATTGCTGAAAAAAAATCTTTTTTTTTTTACAGTTCCAAAGAGCTATCTAGGGCCAATTCATACACCAGAGACATATGAGAATAAGAGTAAGACCTGGGGAAAGAATGGAATGACTCCACGGTTAGTAGTCTTTCTGTGTATAGAATCCTTTTTTACTATGAATTACTAAAAAAAGTGGTTAAAAACAAATTCACAATAGTTTGTCCATTATTTCCTGTATGCCTCTCTGAATATACTTCCCATTGAGGACTATTCAAGAAATGAATTTTTGAGTAGGGAAATTTTATTTCTCTCATGCATAAAACTCATTTTAATTACATTGTATGTAGTTCTTTAATTTCAACTTCTAAATTAGGGCTATTCCATTAAAGAGGAGGTACTAGGGTCGGAAGGCAATTTTTAAGTACCCCCATGACCAAGAGGAATGTACCATGTATCTTAACACCAACCAACAGGAAGTCATTTCATGACAATACAAGAACCAACTGGAATATATCTAACATTTTTTACTGGCCCTTCAAAATTGAGAAGAAATTACCTCTTGGAATTGTAGATATATGTATACTCTATAAAAACATCTACATGAAATATCAACATTTATTAATGATAAAGAAAATTACTGTCACATTTCATTAGATTTTGACATGAAAATTTGTGAACTAAAAGTTATTCTGAGTTTCTGCATAAAATATTTCATGCTTTTTCTTTCTTTTCCATATATCTTTTGGTTTTCAATTCTAGTGTTTATATTTCATCATCATAGATGTATTTTGTCACCTGCCTGGAATTATTGTTTTTTTTATTGTATTTGATCGACGAACCTGGAATTACCCTTATCCGACCCCGGAATCTGATCCGGTATTGTAATCTTCATTTCCGGTTTATGGCTTCCATTGTTTTTCAATGTTGTTTTTGTCATACGATTTTTTCTCGTATTTACACATTACTTGTTGGCGATTTTCAGTATAAAGCTAGCGGATGAACAAAATTAGCATCGCTGTCATGAATAATAAAGATAAAAATAAATTTTGAGATCTTTTGGAAGTTTTGGTCCCAAATTGAAAATTGGGAAAAACGTAGGGTATTTGCCATTGCCAATAGGAATGGGTCCGGTATTTGGACCCTGTGGAATACTAGAAAAATCCCTGGAGGGGTATACGATCTCAATAGTAATATGGCTTTAAAATGACCATACTGATGGTTAAAAAGGTCGGCAAAGTTAATTTTTATTTTCTTTCAAATCGAAGGTCCTTTCATTAGAATATTGACATCAATCGGCATGTGCTTGTCATTAAAGGGAAGTAACTCTTGCACTTCCGGAACTGGTACCATAGGTAGATTACAACGTTGCGCCTGCCACTGCGTAAGTCTCGGGAACAGTTATGTTTTCCAAAATATCACGATATGAGCAGGAGACAAAAACAATCGGTTATATAAGTCCTTGCAAAAACAAATAATAATAAATAACGAAAAATAACACAATTAAACTGACAGTCACAAAAACTGACTGTCAAAGAAGACCAACAACCAACAATACTTCGTTTCTCTTAACACCAAGGACCACTGGCCATAAACTCTTCAACACATCAACAACCAACGGGATTTTTTATAATTGCCGTCCGACCCTGGTACATTCTTTTTAATGGAATAGCCCTTACCAACCATTCATGATATAAAAAAAATTGCCACCTGACCCCCCTTGTTTAAGTTGTACATTTGTTTCTAGAATAGTTCTCATTATGAAATGACTTTGAAACTCTTATTATAAATCTTAGCATGTTGTGTTTTTTCCTTCCTTTTCTTAAAGGGGCACTCGCTGTCAAATTCATGTTAAGGATTTGACTCAAATTCTCATATTTGATTTATAACAATGTAAAACATTCATCCAAATTATAAAAAGTCTAAAATAAACAATATAACGGGCATGGGCTCGATAATATGTAGCTTTGTTTCGTGTGTATTTTAGTCTAAACGCCATCTAGTTAACTGTCGAGTTGACCTCCGAAGACCTTCGATTGCCATATAAGCGATATAAACATAAATATAGATATAGATAGCAGACTCGTGCAATTGGATTTTTCTAGGTCTGTTTAATTTCATATTATAGATTAAAAATATATGTTAATCATCGTTTTTACCTGTATAGGATTGATTTTTTTGTGGATCGAATCAGTCAATCAAATGATTTACCTTTGTTTCACTTTCAATGTTGACATTCTTTTCCTTTAAATAATTGAACACGCACAATGCATGCAGTATCCATCTCTAGCTAAGGGGTTAAATTGAAGTTCACATGAATACGGTTTCAATGAGGTCAAATTTTTCACTTGCAAGTGAATAATTCATCAACAATGTTTCTTGGCTTATTTTAATAAAATTGAACCATACTGGCTGCTAAAATCGATTGAACAAAAAACATTAATATTTTATATTTTTATATATCTCGTAGCTAGTGCCCCTTTAAAGCACCTTAAATGACTTCCAAATTCTTTATGCATGATACAATGTTAAATATCTTGAATTGCAGCAGTGGATCAAGCAAATTTAACACATTTGGCTCACCTAGGTATTGTATAAATTTATCAAATGGATAGAAAGCATTTTGTGGCAGATTGAAAAAAAAATACTTGCATATCCGTTGTATATTAGTCCTATGTTTTCAGCTGACCTGGCTTGAGGCTGTGTGTGACTTTGACATCACTTTTGTGTTCATTAATGGTTCATACTTTGTACTTAAAATTTTTAAAGATCATCATTTGTCATACCAGTGTTCCAATTTAATCTCAATTTGACCTGAATCATCCTGGGGGTCACTTGTAACTATGATTTCAATGATACAACTGACAAACAGTATGGGCCCTGGAATAATTATAAGAACATACAGGTGAAAGTGGCATAGGTAATTTTTTGTGGCTTTCAACTTCTGGTTCAGTTTGCTTTAGAGAACAATGTTATAACTGAATGGTGAAAAAAAATCTCCATGAAAATGTAAGGGTCAGTAGAGAAACCTTAAACACACATACCGGTATGTTCTTATATGGCCCAACATGATTTGCCGTCATCCATGGTTGCCACAATAACTAAACAATAGAATATATGATATAAAACACCAAGGACCTTTGATATGCTGTCATCAAGCCTGCTTGGACAAAAATTTGTTGAAATGGTCTCATTGAAGAGGTAAATGTTCGTTGACTTAATCTAGAGCATATAGACTAGAGAGTTATACATAGAAATCAGGTGCATGATACAGTTTCCTCAAGGCTATAATTCTCTTTTCCATATCCTTTATTTACTCCATTGTTGAAAAATATAACTCAATCATTTTGATTGAAGATCTGTTCCTCACAAAATGGTTTCAATCAGCATGATATATATATTTGGAATATTGTGAACATGTATTTGCATCTTATATAAATCATAGCTTTTATAGGTTTGAACATATTTATATATACTTGCTTCTTGCACACATTTTGTAGATGGTTAAAATGCCTGGTTTTTTTTGTGATTGTAATATTTGGACATACTATAGTAGATAAGTGGTTGATGGGATTTAAAATGACTTAATTTCTGTCCTTGCTCAGGAAACCAACTATACAAAACCAAAGCATATAAAATTCACAAACTTTCATACAATGCATTATTGAAACACGCAAAATCAGAATGAGGATGAATAATTTAAAATATTCGATCTTGCATTGTTTTTCTTGCCATCTGTTAACATAATTAAAATAGAAAAAAAATTAACCTGTCAGGGAAAGTATAAATCCACTAAGAAACAGAGCTTGAATATTTATAAACATACAAATTACTTTTGAAAGAAAAAAAAAGAAACAGGATTTTATACTGTCATGACTGTACATGAAAAATAATCTGCTAGTGTTTTTTTTCAGTTTTAATTTTAATAAGATTATTCATTGCAAGTTGGATATGATGCTAGCAAGTCTTTTCTGTATAATTACATGACAAAATTTATGGACCTTTTTTTAGGATAAAATTTTTGGTATTGAAATTTATTCAAATGACACATAAATAAAGTATAAACTTAATTGCTCCATGTACCTTAAAAACATTAATTCTTCAATATAACTTACATCGGATACATTTAAAATAATTGAGAAGAACATTGGTAGAGAAAGACTTATTACTAATGGTAATATACATTCATACTGTTGAACCTCATTTCAAAACTAGCCCTGGCCTCAATTTCTTGTAAGTTTCGTATCTTAAATGAATATTTGTTGGTTGAAAATTCCAGAATGATAGGTTTTCTTCTTTAGCACACAACTATGATTGTGTTTAGTGACTTGACCTTTAATATTTCCTGGTCACCAAATATATAACTTATTCAACATTGTTCATCGGATAAATATCTGTTTTACATACATATATCAACAGCCTTCTATTCAACCACAATAAAGCAACGATGAAAATTACCATGTGCTTTCAAAAGTTAACAGTTTGAAACGATTAATTGAGGTTCAACTGTATTAACAATCTATTTGATGCTGACTTTATATTACATGTATATATCACAGCTAGTATCAACTTTAACAAGACTCAAGGCAAAGTCATTATATATGTATAAGATTGGCATGGGGATTACATAATATATATATTACATATGTAGTATGTTTTCTGTAAAAGTTTTTTGATGGAAAAATGAAAATTGTTTGAAATCAAATAATTGTGTGTAAAAAATATTTAAACTGTAATTATCTCTAAGGAAAATAGCACATATTTTTTGAAGATAGTATATGAATCTATTTCAAATAAAAGATATTTTAGAAGCTAAATTTGATACATTTAATGCAAGTGAAACAAACATTTTGTAAATATCTTCTGGAATTATTGATACATTTGTTCATGTTTATAGAAAGGGCAAAAAATCCAAACTTATGCCACCTCTAGTTCCATTCAGACGGTCTATAAGTGAGACAGCTATTTGAGATAATTCTCTATTATATCAGGTAGGCATCTGTAAGCCGTACAGATTGACAAAATAAATTTCAAGTATCTTTGTAAGTTGAGGGTTTTTGCTTGCCATATCTACTCTGATGTAAATACAGTCTTGGTATTGATTTTCTTTTAAAGCTTATTTTGTAAACAGTATTTTTGTGTTGTTGTCAACATGTATTGTATTTCCAGCATTGATGGCTACAGTGTTGACAATGTTTTTAAATTTCTGATTAAGTCACGTTAACAGGAACCAGGAACATACATGGTTGGGATCCACAACCTTTTGTCTGCATGACATTTACCAAAGAGATAGATTTCACATGACAAGAAGTTTTTAACCTTCACGTTAAACAGCCACTATACAGGGAAATACTGTATGATGAAAGTACAATATTAAAAATATAATTTTACAAAAGTACAAAATATAGATACATAAGCCTAATGGTGGAAAGTTCAATTACATGACTGTTACTGTTTATTTATATCAATGTTATAGTTGTATGATTGATAGTTTAGATACATGTTTAATGTTGTATATTAGGATGAAGTCTGTAAATATTCATGTCTTGTTGTTGTGTACTTTCATATATTTTTTTATTTCCACAAGTATCACCCTTCTCAAAATACACAGTGTCAACAGAAAAATAAAAAAATACCCATAATATAAAGTAATTTTCAATTTCAGAATCTAAAACGATAACAAGTTATTTCATTGTGTGTAATCCAACACAAAAATTAAAAATAATGATACTGGTTCAACATTCATTGAATTTCTATTTTGTAAGACTTTTTAGACATGTCGAAATGTTTTTTGGCATTTTTTTTAAATTATCATTTAAAATACTATAGATTGTAAAACAAATTATTTTATCAGTTAAAGGGAAGTCAAGTTCTTGTTGTACTGCCTGCTTCAGTAAATATTGATGGTGGAGACCATCTTACAGTTCATTCATCCTTCTATTTCACTCATGTATCCCAAGCTACTCCTTTAACCACTGGACAGAATTTTGTTAAACTCAACAAGAAAAGAAGAATTTGCTGGATTTCAAAACAAAGCTTTTATGTAATCACTTCCCTTGTAAAATTAGTTCCAGAACTTTAATATGTTAGAAATAAGACAAACAGGCAAATGTTATGATCATTTTGCTGCTGTTTACTTCATAAGTGTGATATTAAGGTATTGATTCTAAAATTTTACATTTATTGAAATATCAAGAATTTTGTACACATTTGAAAGTTAATATTATGTTTAAGACTTTTTTATTTTTATTTTCAGATTTGGTAACAAAAGTAGACAAGTGAACAAAAAGCCTAGCCATTTCTTCTCCTCACCTATGCTGAATTAGTGTACCCATATCACCATGTTACAGTCAATAATCATGATACTGATTACGTCTATGGCAATGTACTTATATACCAACAATTTTACATCTCATTACTGGATTAACTAAATTGTGTATTGTATATATTTTTGTGTGTACAATATGTTATTTTACAATATGTTTTTGTAGACATTTTTGAAAATGATAATTGATAATAGCACAGTAAATATGTGACTACTTATTCTTGCTTGATTTTCATATATTGAGGTAGTAAAAAGACTTGATTCAAGCTACTATGGCACTGAATTATGTGGTATTTAACAAATTTTTGAATTCCTAGGGTAAAATTTATATTGATTTAGAAGTTAAACACAGTACATAAGTTTACTTGATGTTATCTCTACATACACTGTCTGATTTCTCCCTTTTATTCATGTTAAATGAAATCCTTTCTACCTCAAATTTAGATTGTATATTGATCAGGTCTCCTATGGTAAAACTAAACTTTTTTATCTTAAAAGTTAATGAATTTATTGATTAACCAACTTTCAGACATGTATTATATTAAATTGATCCTTTTTCTACCATTTTACATTTTTAAAAAGATTTTAGATTGGTAATATATTGACAAGAATAAATATATATATATATATATATACACTTTTGACTAAAAAGCATGCTTATGTACATTACTTTCTTTCGCACTATGAGATCTAAATATTCATTGGATGTGACTGTGTAAATAACCATAAGTTTTCATTCTTCATTACTCACACTGGTGCTATATCCATGGTATGTACATAGGTCCAATTGTACATACGGTCTGTAGAAAGTGTAAATATGTGTTGTCAATGGTGTTAATATTTTTTTAAGATATTCAAAACTATATGTACATGTAGGTTTGTGTTTTATGTTATTTTTAATGTTTTATTGAATAAGTCTTTCATTTATTTGGGATGAAATTAACAATCAATATTAAAAAAGAAATAAGGTAAAAATTAGTAGTAGTGAAGAAAAACTTCGACAATGGATCAGATGTCCATCGAAAAATGAAGTAGTAAAGTAGATAAAATACAACACTCTTATACTGATGATAGGAATTAGAGAAACACCTATTGTTACCTGTTAGGATAAAATGTATTGTGTTGAAATGTTTAGCTATGAGATTGATATGGACTGAAAAGGTTTGTTTAACTTATAACTTGATTAACATAACAGACATGTAAGCAATGGTCATTGCTTTGCATGAGGTATGGACAAAGTGGTTTTAGGACTCAGAGCTAATAAAAGTTGACAGGTTTTTTTTTTTTTAATATTATTCTGTTTCATTTGTTTATTTTAAGGTACAATGTTGTATCAGTGACTAATTCAGTTCTAAAGAACAGTTAACCCCTTTCTGTGCCTTAGAACATAATAGAAGTAAAATATTTTAAAATTCAGATTTCAGACCCATGACATTAAGCAAACAACAATCAATCAATCTGATCCATGGCCAAAGCAACTGAGCCATGAATGTGTGATGAAAAATATAATAAATGCGCTGTTATTTCAACTACCGGAACATAAAATAATTTCAGGAAAAATTCTGCAAAACTTAGTAAGTGTAATACCAAAAAGCACTTTAAAACTAAATTTTGAATAGCTAGTAAAATTGACAATGAAAAACTATGTATGTTTTATGAATATCCTTCTGATACATTGTAATTCCTACATTTGATATTTTTATTAGTTATATTTAGTACTTTTTATCTTTTAGTTGTTATCCTTATTTTTCAGTTTCTTTTATTTGAACCTATACAAATATATCTGAATAGAACTTTTAAGATGGTATTTTGTGTTGTATCATTATTTTTATTCATTTAGTAGTTCAGTTATCCTAAATTATGTGTCTCCCCTTGTAATGTATAATTGGGCCAAAGTTTTGTAGTAATCGACTTGTTGGTCACAAATAATTTCCACTATATAACTTGAAAATCCCTTGGGAGTTGGATAACGTAACTTGGTATGATTTTTCCCACTTTTGGAAGATGTGTAGAATACAAGACGGAATACCGTACCATGATTGGAATGTTGCAAATAAGTTCAACTATGCATATGTACAAAAATCATTCCTGCTGTCTTACATTTAAACCCCTTGGAGTTGGATTTGAAACTTGACATGATTATCCACCACTTCTTAAAGGAGTGTCAGGTATAAAGAAGAAAACTTTACATTGCAGGTAAAGGTGAAAAACTTAGTTTAACTTATCTATCAATTTGCATCTGCTTCTCACTATCTTTAAATCATCTTTGAGTTTAGGGATGAATTAGTGGTGCATCAGTAAAATATCTGCCTCCCGTGGGTATAAGTGGTTAAATGGAATAACCCAGATTACGTTTTAAAATTGCATCTCAATTTACTTATATACTCAACTGGGGCCCTCTGTGATATCTCCATAACTATCCTTTAGTTATAAATTGCATCCCATTTTCCAAAAATTCCTATCTACAGCTTAGAAGACTAGAATATGTTGCTATGAAAAGAATGTGATTTAGGTCTCTTAGTATTGTCTACAAATAAAGGTAAATGTACACAATTTTTCATATATGTAAGAAAAAATTATTACATGTTACAACTATAAAGGTCACCGACTACATGGTTAATTTTGCATCATGGAACAGCTCCAGGACGCTTCATTGTGATTCTGTTATCTTGTAGATATAGTCAACTAGTTTGAGCAAAAACAGGGGGGGGGGGGGTGTTCCATCCCCTGGATATGCCACTGCTATCAGCTGTGGCTCTAAGACTATACACTAGAGGAACTCTTGAAAGCTAAGACATGACCCCAACATGAGAATAAATATTTAGATCATTTATATTTGTTGTGTATTATAATACAAACAGGACCTTAAAGGAAGTTTTTCACCTTGCCAAAAGGGAAATGTATAATGTAAGATTAGATTGAAATCAAACTCGACAGAAACTATCATAGTGCAGTAAAATTGACAATTATTTATGGCTGAAAAAACCTCAGTGTCCTGTCAGCAGATGAATTTAAGGAAATTATTTTTATCACTAAAAGCAGGGTATTAGCTTATTGAATAGGAAAAACGTTGACCTCATGTCTTTGTTGTTTGGCACTTAACTTGACGTGGTTGTTCAGAAAGCTAATATATATTTGAAATGTTAAATAATAAATAAAATGCAAATGATTCTCTTGTAACAATGGTAAATGATATCAGTATAAAAAAAGAAAATATCCTACATATGTACATTTAAGTTTGCAGTACTAATCAGAAAAAAAGTCTTGTCTTATTAAGAATAGGTAGTTCAAGGCCTATCCTACTGTAGTGTTTTAGTATCAGTCCCTGTTCAATATTGTGTAGAACAGTGACTCATAAAATTTGATATTGGGTTAATATGAACTCCCATAAACTTCTTTTTTTTTTTTTTTTTTTTTTTTGTGGTCTAATAAGTTTGCAGGAAGATATTGATGGCAACACTGATATAAAAAATTCAGTTCTGGTAACATTATATAACTCATATAAAGCCTTTTTCTCAAACAAGAAAGATAAATATGCTAGAAATACTTACTGGAGGTATGATGAGATGATTAAAGTCATAAATTTTCCCCTTGACAACATTTATGTTCATTTTGGCAAAAAAGTTTATTGACAGATTGTAGGTATTTCTATGGGCACCAATTGTGCCCCTCTAATAGCAGACTTGTTTCTATACTGTTATGAATCACAGTTTATGGCCAAACTCAGAAAAGACCCATCTAAATTTCATTTTTTTGATAAATTCAACAACACTTACTGTTATCTTCATGATATTTTTTCATTTAAATAATCAAGAATTCTCTATATATACTGCAGAAATTTACCCACAGGAACTTACCTTAGATAAATCAAATATTAACAGCGATAAGTGTCCTTTCGTAGATTTAGACATTTTAATTTTACACCAGAAATTCAACATAAAAATTTATAAAAGGGATGATTTTTCTTTCCCTATTGTTAATTTTCTTTTTTTGGATGGTGATGTTCCTCTGGCACCATCTTACGGTGTTTATATATCCCAATTCATTTGTTATGCCCATGTCTGTAGTGATGTTTTGGATTTCAATGAGTGTTATCTATATATTACTAGTAAATTATTAAGTTGGGGATTTCGTTACCACAAATTACTTAAAACCTTTACTAAATTCTTCCATAGACACAATGATTTGGTTTGTAAGTTTGGCTGTACCTGTAGAAAACTTATTATACCCCACGCAACGAGTTGCGGAGGGTATAATGTTTTTGACCCGTCTGTCCGTCCGTCAGTCTGTCAGTCCGTCAGTCCTATTTCTTGTCATCGCAACTCCTCTCAAACCACACAACAGAATTTCACGAAACCTTTTTAGATAATAAGGACATACTATGTAGTTGTGCATATCGACAGGAAATTACGATTCAATTTTTTTTCTAGGAGTTACGCCCCTTTGAACTTATTTACTTTAATGTACTACTGCAACAGTTTGTCATCGCAACTCCTCTCAAACCACACAACAGAATATCATGAAACCTTTTCAGATAATAAGGACATACTACGTAGATGTGCATATCGACAGGAAATTACGATTCAATTTTTTTCCCAGGAGTTACACCCCTTTGAACTTATTTGCCCAAAATACTACTGCAACCTTTTGTCATTGCAACTCCTCTCAAACCACACAACAGAATTTCATGAAACCTTTTCAGATAATAAGGACATACTACGTTGATGTGCATATCAACAGGAAATTACGATTTTTTTATTTTCTAGGAGTTATGCCCCTTTGAACTTATTTGCCCAATATACTACTGCAACCTTTTGTCATCGCAACTCCTCTCAAACCACACAACAGAATTTCATGAAACCTTTTCAGATAATAAGGACATACTACGTAGATGTGCATATCGACAGGAAATTACGATTCAATTTTTTTTCCAGGAGTTAGGCCCCTTTGAACTTATTTGCCCAATATACTACTGCAACCTTTTGTCATCACAACTCCTCTCAAACCACACAACAGAATTTCATGAAACTGTAGATAATAAGGACATACTATGTAGATGTGCATATTGACAGGAAATTATGATTCATTTTTTTTTCTGATACAATTTTTTTTTCTTACACTTATTTTATTTCTCCAATGACAATGTGGAAACGTGGGGTATGTGAGCGCGCTCACTAAGGTTCTTTAATTTCAGATGGAATAGCACACCCTAAATTTTACAGTGATGTTGTTTACGGAGCCCGGAAATTTAGATAGATCCGGGTGAACTTATCAATCCTTTAAATAAACTTATTCTAGAAGGTTACAAATTCAACACTATAATTAGGTCTTTGAATATTGTTTTTATTGGTATAAATATTGATTTTGTTATCAGTAAATTACTAAATAGTTTTGTTATACACATATGCACCTTAACGGTAAAATTTACTAGTTTCACATCATAGTACCTCCAGGAATGACATTTCCTCCAAAATTTGTTGGTTTGGATGTGACATTGACATTGACTTTCATGACATAATTTCTCATTGAAAGCACTTGTAAATTGAGAAATGAGAAGAGCCCACGGATTGATCAGTAGAAGACATACATTATTCAGCTTGTCTGTCACAAGCGCTAAATTTTAACCCCCTTCAAGTTTAGTAATGAACCTTGCTATGATTGTGATCGCCGGCCCACTACACTATGTGTCTCATACAAGAAAAAAAAAGACCAGTCAAAAATTAGTTTAACGTAGTTATCCCTGTGCTTGTGTACTAAAATCGTTTCTGCTTTTAAAAAAACCCTTTGAGGTCAGGATGAAACGACATGATTATTGACCACTAAAAGGTTAGCCGGATAGAAGGAAAAAAATCATGCTTTAAAATTCATGAACAAAAACTTAGTTCAACTTAGCCATCGCTGTGCATATGATATGTACAAAACTATTCAGCTTTAAAGCCCAATGCACTTATGGGTTGAATTCGTGGTGTGTCAGAAATGTTCTGCCTTCCATAGGTATATACTATGTTTAATCAAATAAAACCATTTACTTGTTTAACCTGAGTGGGACCATCAGTGACTGCTTCCATCACTATCTTCTAGTTTGTTTAATTCAGACCTGCATGGCACTTTTACAGACAAAACAAGAATAAAATGTAATTGCAAGAAATGCCACCCAAGAAGAATGAGAGCAGGACCCATAACCTGCCACTTGTCACAAATGAGGAGGGTAATTGAAAGAGTATATTTCACACAGTGCATAAAACATGTCAAAACAGTAATGCAGTATTTCGAATAACAGTTGCTAAACATGCATTCCTATGGTACTTTGAAAAACACCTGTACAGAAAGAAGATCATTGCTGTGTTGTCTTATATGCTGACACAATAGAAATACATTTTTCTTGTCACAAATAATGAGACTAGTTTTACGTTTCTGGTGAACATGCCATCTTTCAACACTGATGTTAGGTTTCTGTTGAACATGTCATCATTCAACAATGGTGTTGGGTTTCTGGTGAACATGTCATGTTTCAACGCGAATGTTTGGTTTCTGGCGAACATGTTATCATTCAACGCTAATGTTAGGTTTCTGGCGAACAACGCTAATGTTAGGTTTCTGGTGAACATGTCATCATTCAACACTAATGTTAGGTTTCTGGTGAACATGTCATCATTCAACACCAAAATTAGGTTTCTGGTGAACATGTCATCATGTAACGCTAAGGTTAGGTTTCTGGTGAACATATCATTCAACACTAATGTTTGGTTTATGGTGAAATTGTCATCATTCAACACCAATCTTAGGTTTCTGGTGAACATGTCTAAT